TATCCTTTACTGTAGCAGTATCTGAAGACTGCCGTTGCCGCCGCAATCTCCTTCTTCCTCGTGCAACCGGGGCAAGCATCTGTCCCATCGGTGGCCGCTGCAATTAAAGCATTAGGAGCTGTTTCAATGGCAGTCTCCTCCGCCTTCCTGGTGCAACCAGGGCAAGCGTCCGTTCCATCGGCATCAGTTGCAGTAGCAGTTTCTGGCGATGCTGCTGTCGTGGCACTCTTTAATTTCCTCGTACAGCCGGGGCAGGCATCCGTTCCGGCAGTGTCCGTGGTAGTAACAGCGTTTGAAGCTATTTCCGCCGCCTTGGCCGCCTTCCTGGTACAGCCGGGACAAGCGTCCGTTCCATTACCGTCTGTTGTAGTGGCGGTGTTTGAAAGTGCTGTGGTTGTCGCACCTATAATTTTCCTGGTACAGCCCGGGCAAGCATCTGTTCCAACGGCATCCACTGCAGGGGCAACAACTGAAGCTATTTTCATCGCATTCGCCGCCCTCCGAGTACAGCCGGGGCAGGCATCTGGTTCGGTTTCCATGTCCTTGAGCAGGAGGCCAGCCTGCTGGCGAAGGAACTTGGCCACATGGTTGTCACGCAGGGACGGAGGCGTGGTGACCTGGGCAAAGGCCTGCTGTCGGGGCGATGAGGAGCTCGTGTCCTTTTCCTCCGAATCCTTTGCCTCGCTTTCAGTGGGAGCATCCTGTGAGTAAAAGAGCAGGGAGCTGAAAAGATCCCTCAGATAAGTAAAGCTAAAGCCGTCGGTGAGGTTGGCGACATATTCGCAGGCCTCCTCGGGCAGTTCCACGAGATGGCTTTCATCCAGCTTTGATTTCCACTGCTTGGCAAAGGCAAGGCGCTCATTGTGGTCAGGGAGCTTGAACTCATACTTGAGGTTGAATCGTCCTGGGCGGGCTCGGATGGCAGGGTCCAGCGTTTCAAGATTCTGGGTGGACCCAATAACAAGGATTCCATCATTGTCATCGCTATCGAGCTCATTCAAGAAGGCGCCACGGTGGTGCTCAGTCATGAAAGAGTCGATGTTCTCAATGACGAGCAGGCAGGGAGCAATTTGGCGGGCGTGAGAAAACATGTCTTGAATATTGTACGAGGGAATGACAGCATCTTCGGCGAAGTTGACGTACATGCTCAGTACAGGGTGTTCTTCCTCTGCCAGCATGGCCATCATGGCCTTTGTGATGATTGTCTTGCCGGTACCAGACGGACCGTGGAACAGTATTTCTCTCTTCCAGGTAAGATTGAACTTGTCGAACTGATCACGGGAGGTGAAGAAGGACTTGACCTCTCCAGTCAGCTTCTTCTTTGTATCGGCGTCCAAGATAATGTCGTCCAAGTTGGATGATCGAATGGGCTTCCACGCCTCATCATCCACCTCGTCCCGGAAGCTGCGGTAGGCATCCTTGAAGACCAAAGCCTTGTTCTTGTTCTTCCTAGCGTATTCACCGGCGGCGAGCAAGAGCTCTCGAGCCTTTGGGTGGAGACCGTCTTCCATGATATCAGTGCCGTGAGGGGTGAGAAGGAAGTGGTATTCGGTACGACGTCCAAATACATCGGGCGAAAGGACAAAAAGAACAAAGTCGGTGCCGTCCCAGGTGTAGTTGTACTTGGCAAAGAGGGTATTGGCTTTCAGGGGACCTGTGTTCTTGACATTGGGCGTTTCGCGAGTGTAACGAACGCTGGTGACATGACCCGTGTGCTCGTCTAGAGTCAACTGGGCGCGCCCGGGACCGGTGAAAGAGGGCAAGTCGAAAGTAGGCTTGTCGACTTGGATGACGAGGTGGTCTGGAAAGTGGTCTCCCAGGATGCGGGCAACAGAGAGCCCAGAAAAGATGCGCTCTCGGCTGCACTGGGCTTCAATGGCACCGAGAACATCCAGGGGCGGTACAAATGACCCCATATCGAGGTAAAGGAAATGAGGTTGATGGAAAGAGATGTGTGACAAATATGTTTGATATCGTGAAGGATTTAATGTGTATAGTATCCAGCCACAGTGAGGGACGTAAATTCCTTCAGCCCTATCTTATACATATCTAGAGACTCGATAACTGTCGCGCGACCCACACACGAGAGGCTTACTTGCCTTTCCTGCCTTTCCTGGCGCCAGGGAAGGCATCCTTCCTGGGGGCTGTGGCATCATTAGCTTTTGCAAGAGGAAAAACAGTGAGGCAGATTATTGTCTTGAGGAATCATTAGAGGCTGCTCACCGAGAGAATAGCCTACCTACGTATGTAGACACTAGAGATAATACAACTGTGGCGGAGTGGGTGGTCACGACTCACAAGAATAAGCAAACCCAGGGTTCCAAGACCCATGCGTACATGCTTATCATTGGACAATTATTTCACGGACCCTGGAACGGGCCCCAATAGCGATGAGTAAAAGGACCTCATTGCATTGGCGCTGCTGCAGGCATAACCGTCCGGACGTCCAACGTCCAACGTCCAACGCACAAGCCGTTTAGCCTACATTATACATGTGTAAATAGAAAAATGGAACAACCCACATCGTCTATCTGTGTGGTGTGACGCACTCACCCTCTTGCGATGCACGATGCTCAGTGCTACCCTTAAGCGAGAAGGAAGAGGGTGAGAAAGAAAAAAATTTAAGGATCTCACCTCACATGCCGATCGATTGGTTGTAACGGCGGCATGCACACCCAGGTAACAAAGCCACACGGCGTTCTTGAGATTGTTTTCACAGCAATCTCAACGGTGATGGGTTCAACCAGTAGCGTAAAATTGGCGGGCGGCCAGGGTCAAAATAGAACGGCCCCCGCAAGCTGAACTATAGCTGGTTGAAAGAGGGTAGCATATTGACAAGAAATGGTGACCCGGCAGATATGTTGACCCGAAAAATGCTCCAAAAAAAAGGTATTAATATTCTATTTGTCGTCATCGGGGGAAATTGTTCCCCGCCGTCTGAGAGATTGAAATCTTGAAGAAATTCAAAGCTTCTCCTTTTGATTCGTGCGATGACGGTTGTTGAAGGATTATAACCGCCAACCCCGCGGACGTTGGAGGCCAAAAATATCACCAACAGCCCCGCCAAATGCTTACAACATTAACCAGGCTGCCCCTATCGACTAACCCCCAACCCCCAATCGACCCCAATCGATCTCGCTCAACATGCATTTCGAATGCCCCAATCATTGCCATACTCTGGACGAGGCGTCGCTGTTGGATCTAGCACGAGGGGGTCGTGGAAATGACAGCAGAAGAAGTCGGATATGATTCCTGCTTCAATGTCGCCAGCCATGAGATATCCATTCCACCCCGTGCAGTCATCATCATCAAGACACGCCTCCTGGCAATCCTTGTCGCTATTAACCAGGATGTTCTCGCAAGAGGGCACTGGCTTGACCTGAATGATTCGGCCACATCCGATCAAGAAGTTATCGATGCACTCATTGCCCGAGTCCTGGCAAATTGACTGGCCTGTGCCGCTGGGGCTGAGTATTGATGGGCTCGGCGTTGGCTCACTTGTGATTGGTGTTGGCTCAACTTCGTCGGTCGGCTCACCGTCAGTCGGCTGAGCATCATTTGTTGCAACATCAGTCGGCAATCTCGATGGAACCGAATCTGAAGCAGTGATATCTGCCTCTTCAGACGATATCACTGTCAGACTCGGTGTTACGTGCGTATACTCCAAGGGGGCGGTTGTTGTCGGCAGACTGGTGAGCTCCTCGTACACAACCCCTGTAGGGGTCCAGCCGTGTTGGCAGCGCCCATAACCCCGGATTTTGAGCTCCAGTTGTTGCTTGCCGGGACATACACCGTAGTCCGCCTGACATCCTACGCCGCAATGCTTCTCCGTAGAGCCGCTGCCATTGATTAGTATTATGTACACAGCTGCATTGCATCACATTGCAAGACACCTACCAGAACCCATTGGCGGCGCAGCAGTCTCCATAGAGTGAGCCGACACAGGTGAAGTTTGACGGCAATCCACATTGACTGTTGTAGGATACTATTGCTGCCGCCGTTTTCGCCACGAGTGCTAAGCCATGAGCAACTGACACCATACAAATGTGCCTCATGATGTCGTAGGGTGGCTTCTCTTTTTCCTCCCCTTGCCGTGTATCTCCAATCAACTGCCGCGAGAAGTGACTGCAGATGCCTGATGCATCATGCAGCAGTAACACCTTCCATCAATGGATGACGGGAAAGGGCCTCGGCGCTGTTCAAATATGGCGAAGTCTTGAGACATGCTCGACATGTTCCCTGAGAAAAGATTGGGATACCGCTTTTAGCATTGCGGGTTGGCAAGATTGCGAGTCTCAGTGTCAATAGTCGTTAGGTTTTGGCCAAATAAAGGGAAAAGACGCGGGATGCAGGCTCAAACGTCCCGCGTCGCAGTGGTCCCGTGATTATTGTTACACCGAAGAGACGCGGGCCCCGGCAGCCTCGCTCAGGCAGTAAGGCAGACATATATCTCTACTCACTCAAAACAGGGAGAGCAGTTGCATGGTGAGGCCATGAGAGAGGGCTGTGCAAAGCAAAGGTCCACAGTTTTTCAATGGCAGCAATGAATTTTCGGCGATGACTTTCGGTATGAGCAACAGCATTGTCCAGGTGACAACTCCTGCACAAATGACAGACTTGCATCTCTACTTACCGTTGTGGAAAAAGGCCAAGCGAGGAGCCTCAACAGCGGCTCGTTACGGTCGACAGTAAGGTTGACACCTAATTGAACGCGTCACAGCCTTGCGAAAAGCAAAAACTCTATTGGCAGGGAGGATGCAAAAAGGCAAGAGGGAGGCCCAAATCGATACACGACAAGTTGCATCACTTAGGGACAATGCAAGACTTCATGTGAGATATTGTGATGAATTTGAACAAAGTAGCCGGCTTGTGATTGCAGTCAATTGGGATCAACGATTGGAGGGAGGACAAGACAGCTAGCGGACCGCCGTGTGGTCGTATGCACCTCTGCTTTTGATGTGTAAAAAGCAAAAAGTTGGTTCAAAGTCGGGATACTGTTTCGCATACCGCTTGGGCTGTGCTTGGAGTCTGGATATTGTCGTACAGAGCTCGTCGTATACTTTTGTATTAGTGGCATCAAACCTTGGCGTCTTGACCTCTGCCAGATACCGCAATGTTCTCTTTCTACTCCAAATTTCATAGGCAGAGCTCAACACGATCCTTTCTCATTGTGATCGTTACTAAAGGTGGTAGGCAGCTTGCTCCTGTGAGTTCAACAGGAATGGTTGGGGCCAAGCTCCGCAGCCCACAAAATATACTGCTAAATGAAGATGCATCGGGCTATGATTGGATCAGCATGTGCTTCTAGGCCTCACATCCTTCTGATGGATGCGCATGCGTTGCCCTCGATTGCCTCGTTGGGACGAGAAGCGAGTAGGCAAGAAAGCACTCGGCGGACACGCGTGCTGAGGTGAAATAGAAAGTATTTAGTGAAGATTTCGCAATATCTATTCCGTATATCGTGCAAGCCGATTAGACCTGTGGGGCGCGCTAAAACGATGCTCGAGTTTATCTAAGCAGGACAAAAGCCAAAGCAAACGGGCCGAAATTTGACGATTTTATTGTATACCTAATCTATATCTACAGGTATCCGCATGTGCCATTATCGCATGAGTTGCTGGACTGATCATAATGTCTTGTTATTAATCATGATAGATGCTGCCATGGTGTGTCGTCGGGGCAACACAGTAAACACAATGCAAGCCCTGTGGTCAGTGAGGTCAATCGTCGATGCATGACAAAGATTCGGTTGCAAAGCCGACCACGCCATGCGGCCGGGATGGAAAGCCGAGAAAAAAAAGTTGCATTCTCCTTCCAACTTGTTAGTAATAATGATGGATCATGGCTTTCAGAAGAGGGTCCTGATCGGTCTTATTGTGGAATTTGTCGTTCGAGATGAGTATAACGCGCATGGGCTGGTCCACTGTAAACAGCGGGCGGCAAGCTAGCGGGAGCAGGGGTCGGGGGCGGACGGTCTCGGAGAACGTCAACGTAACATTCGAGCTCTCATAGGGCGGATTGATCTGTTTCAATTGTCATACACAATTGAACGCCCCCTCACACGCAGCATCATTCGATATCATGTAGTCGCATTTTTGTGCTGTTGCAAGCAATGGAAGTGTAGGGGCAGATCTCGGGCCCCAAAGCGGCCGCTGACATATTACACTCTATCAGTCGGCCGCCGATGTCCGGCAGTGTAGAGGAGGCGATGGCCAAGGTGAGTGGTTGCATCCAGTAATGTCATAGATCCCCGGATGTCCAATTGAGAGAGGGATGCGAAATGGAAGCGCCCATACAACACATGGCATGCACACTAATAATTAGTACTAATGATCTACCACTCCACTTTCCGACGCAGCTTGTTCTTGTAAAGACTTGCAAAAGCATGAAAGTGTTCATCCTAGTTACGCCTAGTATTAGATTGCCGTGGTAGGCACGAATCGTAGTGCAGGTTCATCGGCTATATTACCGCTTGTGACCCTCAGCGTCGGGCTGCGGACGACGGAAATCCGCGGGGAGTGATAGACCGTGACTGGCAAAACTGGGCTTCGCTGGGCTGAACTAGTCGGACAGAGTCTGGGCAGCCTCCAATCTCGATAGTATCTGTGATTTGGCATTGCAGAAGTTGAATAAAACCTGCCGAGTGGAGATCCGAAGGTTTACACTTCAGGGGTCCTTGGAGAATGATTCCTCATAGCGTCCTGCCGGTCGATGCAGAAGGGAAAAGGCCCAAGACTTGTGCGGCCGTCGTTGAAGGATGAAGGACCCCCTCGTACTTTAGTCATTGTGTATTGCGACGGTCTAAGTGGTGACCAAAGCACCAGACAAAGCCAGAGGGGACCGACTGGATACTAAGTAGTAGTAAGTTTCTGTGTATCCATCCCAGATGATCCCAGACGACCAGATTCCAAATGTCTGCAGCGACATCCGCGGAGAGTTGCCACTTTATTGCTATGAAACCAGCGAAACCACCAGGCAAGAGGTCCGACGGTGTCCGATACCGTGTTGGCCGTGTCGAGCGTCTTGATTCCACCATTCGCCTTCGGCATGAGGCCATCCATGTTTGCACCATGTCATCGAACATGCTCGCTCCAAAAGCACCAAGCCCAATTGGAAATTTCCCAAGCTCTCCAACTGCAAGAGCAGCTCCCCGAACCACCCCGCCAGACTGCCGAGCACCAATGAGAGGGGCTGTAATTATTTATAACGCCGCGGGGTTGAGGGTCCTGGCACTTCGACCGAGTGGAAATCGAAGCTGTTGAAACGCGGGGCCAGGAAAGTGGGCTTATAAAGTGCGGGGGTGGGCTCCTCAAGATCCACCCGTCCTAATCTATTCCACTTTTTTTCTCGTCCTCCATTCACTCACGAGAGACCCATTTGAAATATAAGCCAGTGGTGCTCCATTCTCAATCTCCATCCCGTCCCAAGTTTTTTTCCTTGTTCCCTCTTCTCTTTCCCTTTCTTCTCCAGAATATACGCTCAAGGGGATATAACCAATTAAGAAAAAGGGGAGATTCCAGGAAGGGAAGCAGAAGACGAATCAAACCAAAAATAAACAACTCAATATCATGGCCGAGAGCAAGTGCCCCATTCACCAGCGCGCCAATGTTGGCGGCGGCGGTACCAGAAACCGCGACTGGTGGCCCGAGCAGCTCAAGCTCAACATTCTGAGACAGCACACCGATGTCAGCAATCCTCTCAAGGACTTCAAGTACTCCGAGGCTTTCAAGAAGCTCGATTACTTTGCCTTGAAGAAGGACATTGAGGCTCTGCAGACAGATTCTCAGGACTGGTGGCCTGCCGACTTTGGTCACTATGGCGGTCTCTTCATTCGTATGGCCTGGCACAGCGCCGGTACCTACCGTACATTCGATGGTCGTGGTGGAGGCGGTCAGGTAAGCTTCATGTTCCTACATGCCTAGTCCCCTAGTCTACTACCAGTCTCCTGGGAGAGATCTACATGATGCTGACTCGGTCATCCTGTGCTATAGGGTCAGCAACGCTTTGCTCCCCTCAACAGTTGGCCCGACAATGTGAGTCTCGACAAGGCTCGTCGTCTGTTGTGGCCCATCAAGCAGAAGTATGGCAACAGTATCTCCTGGGCCGATTTGCTACTCCTTACCGGCAACGTTGCCCTCGAGTCCATGGGCTTCAAGACCTTTGGTTTCGCTGGTGGCCGTGAGGACACATGGGAGGCCGATGAGTCCACCTACTGGGGTGGTGAGAACACATGGCTCGGCAACGACGTTCGTTACTCCTCTGGCCACGAGGGTCTGTCCGAGGAAGGCGTCGTCACTGGCGATGAGCACAAGAAGGACCACTCAGATATCCACACCCGCAAGCTTGAGCAGCCTCTTGGTGCTGCCCACATGGGTCTGATCTACGTCAACCCTGAGGGTCCTGATGGCAACCCAGACCCCGTCGCTGCCGCCAAGGATATCCGAACTACTTTCGGCCGCATGGCCATGAACGACGAAGAGACTGTCGCACTGATTGCCGGTGGTCACTCATTCGGCAAGACGCATGGTGCTGGTCCTTCCGACAAGGTTGGTGCTGAGCCCGAGGGTGCCGATCTCGAATCCCAAGGCTTCGGCTGGCACAACGCACACGAGACTGGAAAGGGTCCTCACACCACTACCAGTGGTCTGGAGGTCATCTGGACCAAGACTCCTACTCAGTGGAGCAACAACTACTTTGAGTACCTCTTCAAGTACGAGTGGGAGCTTGAGAAGAGCCCGGCTGGTGCCAACCAATGGGTTGCCAAGACTTCCGATGAGATCATCCCCGATGCTTACGACGGAAGCAAGAAGCACAAGCCAAGAATGTTGACCACGGATCTGTCTCTTCGATTCGACCCTGAATACGAAAAGATCTCGCGTCGCTTCCTAGAGAACCCGGATCAATTCGCTGATGCTTTTGCAAGAGCTTGGTTCAAGCTTCTGCACCGTGACCTTGGACCCCGTGCCCGCTACTTGGGTCCCGAGGTTCCCAAGGAGGAGCTCCTGTGGCAAGACGTCATCCCCGCCCTTCAGCACCCCGTGGTCACTGCCAGCCAGATTGGTGACCTGAAGAAGGAGATCCTGGGCTCCGGCTTGTCCGTGCCCGAGCTCGTGTTCACTGCCTATTCTTCTGCCTCCAGCTTCCGCGGCAGTGACAAGCGTGGTGGTGCCAACGGAGCTCGCATCCGACTGGCTCCCCAGAAGGACTGGGAAGTCAACAACCCCAAGCAGCTTTCCAAGGTTTTGGGCGTTCTTGAGGGCATCCAGAAGAAGTTCAACGGTGCAGGTCAGAAGGAGCAGATCTCTCTGGCTGACTTGATTGTTCTTGCTGGATCTGCTGCCGTCGAGAAGGCTGCACGCGACGCTGGATCCAGCATCACCGTGCCCTTCACTCCTGGCCGCGCCGATGCCTCGCAGGAGCAGACCGACGTCGAGTCCTTCTCGCACCTGGAGCCATTCGCCGATGGTTTCCGCAACTACGGAAAGGGTACCTCTCGTGTCCGCACTGAGCAGTTCCTCATTGACAGGGCTCACCTGCTGACCCTGTCGTCCCCTGAGCTGACTGCACTTATTGGTGGTCTCCGTGTGCTGGACACCAACTACGACGGCTCCAAGCACGGTGTCTTCACCAAGACACCTGGCAAGCTCACCAACGACTACTTCATCAACCTGCTCGACATGAGCACCGAGTGGAAGCCTACTGATGACAAGAAGGAGGTGTTTGAGGGCAAGGACCGCAAGAGCGGCCAGACCAAGTGGACTGGTACCCGTGCCGATCTTGTCTTTGGTTCTCACGCCGAGCTCCGCGCGATTGCCGAGATTTATGCTCAGGCCGACAGCAAGGAGAAGTTCATCAAGGACTTTGTTGATGTCTGGACCAAGATCGCTAATCTAGATCGATTCGATCTACATGAATAGGAACTCGGCTCAACCCCAGCTGCTCTGAAACCGCGTCTTTAAAGTGGGACTTTATAAGTCGCGCGTAAGATAATTCAGACACACGGAGCTGGGGTTGAGGTGGGAAATTGGAATACATGGGTCGGGGGCTTTTATCTCCTTTATATAGATCACCAAGACTGCTTTGACTTTCTTATCACACTGCAACTCAACACGACACTCGATCATGAGACGTCACAACTCAATTTACAATCAGTAAAATTTGCACCAAAAGTTTTCACTCATGAATATCGCCAATGTGAAATGGTTGTGTCCTAGCGCCACCAGAATATATTTCGAAGCGTGTGGACGTAATGCGCGGTATTCGTTACTCCATTCCAGAAGTCGATACTATTTTGTATACCACATAATATCAAACGAGTGTACGAATATGGGGCCTGGATACAGACAACATTATCCGTCTTAAAAACTGAGCAGCAAAGGGGTTGATTGGCAGAAGCCCCTCTCTGAGGAAATCATCTTCCCGATGATAGAAGTCTGTGCCCAATCTTACATGTTCATGTCCTTCATATTCTCCATATTCTCCGTGTTCTTCATGTCCTTCATGTTCTTCATGTCCTGGTTGTTGTTCATGTTTCTCATACTCTTCATATTCTTCATGTTCTTCATGTGCATATTCATATTGATGTCGACACCGTACTCCTTGCACATGTCGCGAGCCCAGTTCTTGGTCGTGTCACTGAAGTGCAACCAGAAGTATTAAATTAGTGTTTTCTTTTGTTCCCTCCTTCATGGTTTGCAGAAAGAGAAGAGTAATGACTTACGCCTCGTCGCGGCTGCACGCGTTCTGCACGCAAGACTCCATCATGGAGATGTACTTTGAGTCGCTAAGACCAGTTAGCAACTGTTTGGCGGCGCCGGCAAGAATTTCCGAATTTTTTTTTTTAAAAAAAAAAAGATCAATACTGATACGCACCTGCAGAGACACTTGTAGTCCATGTTGTTGCTGCAGCTGGAGCTGCTCATGTTGTCCATGAAGCAAGTCATGGCGCACTGGGGCGGCTGTTGCATATCGGCCATGTTGGCGACCGCAACGGCGGCGAGGGCGATGATGGAGGCGGCAAACTTCATGGTGTCTGGGCTGCTACAGAGTATAGTCGGGTTACTAGAAAGTGTTTGTAGAGACGTAAATGGTTGCGATGAGAATAATTGATGATTTCGAAAGGAGGGAGGCAGAGAGCTATATAGGTATCTTATAGACATGGTTGCGTGCTACCGTCTTGCAACAGTGCTAACCAAATGCTGTTTGTCGAACATCTCGGACTAGATGGGTAAAGTACTACCCATCTCTGTATGACCCGAGACGGGAAGCCGGTCATGACAATTGTGTAATACCCGTCTCTGAATCGAGCGCGTGCTTTTTGGTGACCAAAAAAATGAGGCCACGAGACTCGGACAAAGTGTTGCCTCCAGATCAGATCTCTGGAGAAGCGCAGTAACGCTCGGCAACTCTCTACTTTAAGCATTCATACCACGACCGGTAGGTAGTATATTCGACTTGATCTTGATCGGGGCCATTCATCCACGCAAGCAGCCGAGGATCTGTATCATGTCACGCGGCATCGGGTTGTGCTAGAGCACCGGGATCGAGGCCACAAACCAGAATGTTTGTGACGGTATGGATTTGTGTCACTACACTATACTTTGTTGCATGAAAGCACAAAACGCCACACTACCTGAGCAGCTACCAAGACGACCTCACCGCAGTGATCTGTGAGCATAACGTGTTGAGAATGTCACGGATTTGAACACGTTGAATTTTATCACGAGACCCTTCTACTTTGTAAAGATGCCCGGAGCACGATCACGACACCTGTGACGTTATTGTTCACATAGATCCGTGTCGCTCGACTGAAATGCCGATCTCTGTTACTCGGCTTCTATGAATAAGAACTTCAAGGCTTTTCTGATCGAATCTTTGCGGGGCGTTGGTTCTCAAGCTCATCAAGGGCTCCTCTCTTCTGTCCTGATGCCGGAGGATAAATTCCTGCTTGGACACTAGATGCCGGCTCAAGCAACACAAGTCTGGAGTACGAACCATCCCCAATAGCTTGTCGAACAGACTCTTGTCGCAGTGGCTGTAGGCGACGGTGAACCTCACTTAGTCTTTGCTGGTAGACCTTGTAGTCATCGGCATATTCTCTGCCTGGAATCTTTGTGACAACAAGGATGTGAGCATGTCCTCTTTGTGGTTTGGTCTCAGTATGAATTCTGAAGGTCCCCCGCGTTAGACGATACTCGACATGCTCCCGCCGTTTCTGGGGCGCTTGTAACTCAAAGACTCGCTCAGTTGGGGAGACCAAGAAGGCGTCCAGGCTTTGGCAATCTGCACACGAGGGAGATTGACATCCCCGTGGTCTGTGGGCTAGACCGCTGAGCTGCTGCGGTGGAGTCGGGTCGCACATCCAGAGATATTCTCGCAACAGTGCCTTCCATAGCTGCTTGATGATGGGCGAAAAGGGTATATTATGGTTCAGAAAAATGGTGCAAGTTTCGCGCAAGAAATATTGCATAGGCTCAGTTTGCATCGACTCTTTTCTGGGCAAGTGACCAGACAATATGTTAGTGCAGCTTGTTTCCATCAACTCCATGGCTATTGAGCCATAACCTCGCTCAAAACAGCAGTCGACAAGCTTGAGGAATTTAGCAGCGTGATTGCCGTCTGCGGCCGGCTTTGTTGCGGTATTGATGGGTGCATTCCATGAATATGTATTCGCGTATCCAATGGGAAAGTCGGACATCTCCAGACACAACTTGGGGATAGATTCGCGCAATATGACATCCCCTATGTCTTTATATGTTGCCTCCAATGTTGGATTGTTTGGCCTCTGGCGCAGCAGATCTATTAGAATGCGATATAGCAGATGTTTGTGCCCACGTTCTGCAATGGCATATATCCAACTAGTATTTGGTGGTGAGCAAGAATCGGTCACGACGTGAAGTAAATCATAGAGTCTTGAACATACCTGCTTTTCAACATTTCAGATCCGGAGCCTCCCACGATTACGCCAAAGACCTGGTACAGGAATGCTTGGTCTGGCAATCCGAAGGATTGTTTGTGGTCCAGCTGCCGTGACAACAGCGTTCCCTGCCAAACTGAAAGCGATTCAAGCAAGGTATTGCTCTCGATGAGAGACTTGAGCGTTCCGAGGAGCGTCTCCATCCATTCCAGATCCCCAGTGTACTCCAGGAATTCTGCAAGCCTGTACGTTACGTTAGTGCATATGCTTACCAAAGATGAGAGAGGAAGCCCTACCAGAAATCCCAGCCTTTGAACTCGGCATCAGACGACTGGGCATTTACATGACGTGCGATCAGCTGAATCAACGGCTGACAGTCGCGTGCCGATATAGCTTTCCGTGCACATTTGTGGTAGATATCTTCCCGCTCAAGCTTGAGAGACCACTCAGCAATGATGGCGTAGGTGGTGCCGTTATAGGGATCGCGAGGCACGGATGCACCATACGTCGTGATCACTTGATCCATGAACGCCGCCGCAGATGCTCGTGTTGTCTTATCATCCGGGTTCTGTTGCAGATCTTCAATGACCATGTCCAGCAAGATTTTCCCACTCTTCTCGTTGCTTCATAGGAGTCGGTGGAAATGCTTCTTTGGTATGACCATCGCAGCCTAAAACAAAAATTAGTATCATTTTTGCACCCAGAAATTTCGTCGCATGGATGAGACCCACCGTGTCGTGATACCGATACGTGGACGGCATGCTTTCGTTTCCGGTAAATTCTCCCTCGTCCTCGCTATCTGGTCCTCGTTGGCTGTATAGGTTGTCACCGATAATATCTTTGGCCTCGATTTCTAGATAGCTGGAGAGCTCCTGGCCGTCTAGTGAATGAACAGAATCGAGATCCAAGCTTGTTTCCTCCTCGTCGTAATCATCACAGGATTCCGTCTTGGTGAGATTGGCCAGCAGCAAGTAGAAGCCATGTTTCCGACAGACAAGATCAAGAGTCTGGCACACAGCACGGTCGCGTCCTTTCATGTTTCTCAGTGAAAGACTTGCTCGAGTGTACTTGTGTTCAAGTGGATAGAACATTTGCTTCATTCCCTTGAAACGCTTGGCGGAACCTTGCAGCAAATTTTCGATTGCAGTTTGCTGTTTGATCAGATCAGAGGGCGAAGGATTCTGCAAGCCTTGCTGGACGATATTATACGTCAGCACAAGCCGATAACCAGAAGTCAACTTGGTAATCTCATGAGTTACATCCGAGTACCAAGCAAGCGCAGTCAGGTCGTAAGCTGATGCAGTACTCGTCGAGAACCTCTGTGTTCTCCCGCCGAGCGACAGGACGACATCGCCCCCTTCATGACGGGAGGGCAGGCAGATGACAAGCGTTCCTATCATGCCGGCTACCTTCTCAGAATCTTTGTGGCGCCTGAAAAAGGAGCCCTCCTCGTAGAGCAGCAGCTTGTAGGGCTCAACACGGACGCTAAGCATTCCAAGTTTAGCGGTAGCTTCGCGAGCAATATGCTGAAGGAACTCCGACCAAGCTGGGTTGGCAAGTTTGAACTGGGTGTGGTCCAGCTCCCAGGTTTTGCGCACGGATTCGTCCACGACAGTCTCTTCACCCCGACCAAAAGGAGCCTGCCGGCAGGCAGCTTTGAGCAGATCGGCATCCCGCGGCACGAGAGGCAGCGGAATTGAAGTGCCATTGATTTCGAGTCCGGGATTGGCGAAGACGCTCACATTATTGCAGGCGGCAAAGTCTCCGGCCGTTTGGATGCTGTCAAGACGAGTTGCCAAGTCTGCTTTCCAGCGCTTTAGCTCGGGGTTGTCGTCATCAGAGCTATCTCCATCAGAGCTGGATTCCTCCTCCTCCTCCTCCTCCTCATCGTCGTCATCGCTGCTATCATCATCCTCGTCGTTTTCGTCGCTTTCATCTTCCTCATCTTCGTCATTCCCCTCGGACAATTCAGGTTGAGAGTCAATTTCATCATTCATGAGCTCCTCCTCCCCGGGCGCGTCCGCATTAGAGTCCGAGTCAATCGTGATTGCCGAAACGGCATTTTGGCTCCAGCTAGCCATCACAGTGAAAACCCACTAATAGTAGCCAGTGGACGGTGGAATTGGTCAGCGAAGAGGTTTCCTATTATCAAGTTTGAAGAAGTGGTTCAAAGATGCGCAATTCACTCAGAATGCGAAGGGAATCAAATAAATAAGCCTTAATTACAAATGAAGTCCTTCCGATTTTCCTCTTCTCTTCCTTTTTTTCTTTCTTTTTTCTCTCCTTTCTTCGCGATTGACGAAGACGCGTCACGCGTTTGACCCAATTTAATAAACCAAAAGAAGAAAGTTGGGGCCGTGGGACAAGTGCCGAACACTCAAAATCGCACCCAGGTGGGGGACCCTAGGCCCCGCGATCCAGGCCAGGCCTTTGTCCAGTGGTTGATCATCTCTACTCTCCAGTAAACAATATAGAAGTACGAATTACACACATAGAAACGCGTAAACGCTTCAGCATCATTCTCAATCGACCATCTTGAGCATAGTTCCTAATGTAGATGTAGTATTATCTTCGTACAATAAGTTTGCGTATGAGTTACCATACAATAAATGAATTGCTACTTCTTGTAAATCATTTCAATTCCACTCATCTACGATCGAAGTCCGATACCCCTACAACGGCATTGTGATGGCATTCTTCTCGCCTACCGTGGTATCATGGCTCAGAAGAATCGTCGCAAGCAATCGGATCAATTGAGTGATCAAGTAAAGTCTAGTTATTCTGCAATGAGAGCCACTCTAGAACACTTTTGTTCTCGTGAAGCTTTGCAACTTGTAGCAAAGTCATTCCGTCTTCCCTTGTGGCCCCTTTGATCGTCTGCGCATCTCGAGGTATTGCCTTGAACATGGTTGCTGATCCCTTGGCGGCAATACGGAAAATTGCCATATTCATAACTCTTTCATTCAGTAATCTTTGCAAGAGGTCGACATCCTCATTCTTGACCGCATGCTCGATGAAAGCTTCTCGTTCGGCCGAGCCAATTGAGCCATCGGCGCTCCTTCGCATGAGCAATTTCCTGGCCATCAAAAAGTCCTCGTGTCCAATCAAGGAGTCCATCAAGGGATATGTTCCTGTGCCCTCCAATTTCTTGATCATACTCAGTTCTCTTTTCAGGATCTCGGCACCCGAACCAGAAGCAGAGATGACCAAGAGATCGCTGGCAATATGAGGTAAACACACCATGAGACTTCGGGCTTCGTCTTTGGTGACTGTGGGGCAAAGCTTCGAGTGTCCCTTTTGAATGATATCTCGCATCACGTCGGTCTCACGAGTTGCCGCCGCTGCAATCAAAAGAGAGAGCTCGTCGGTGACGCCAACGCTGGATATGTCGATACGCCCAGTACTGAGAAGTATCTGAGTGACTTCTCTGCCGTCCCAAGGCATCGTCCCAGGGTCTCCATCGTTTTGAGGGTGTTGATATAATGCCAATTTGATTGGAGTGACTGCCGCGGCTCTCATCATTCGATGTTTGGCGGTGATGTTCTCCCGTACCCTGCAAGAAAACTCCATTATCTCCCTTTTTACCTTTTCATGTCCATTTGAATAAAGATGTTCTTTGTTCCGAGCCTCCCACAAGTCTCGCACATGACGTTCGTAAATTTCTTTCTCGCCCTCGGATAGCATTTCTTGATGTCGCACCCCCTCTGGTTGATACATGACAAGACTCGCTGACTCATATGTCGACAAAGTCCTCACCGGGAGCAATGTTGCGGCATTCAGATCTACTCCTTCGACCGATGCGATGAATTTCACCATCTCAGGATCTTTTGCATTCACAAAACCATGCAGGAGCGTAGCACCAGCATCGTTCTTCTTGAAAAGAAGAGTGTTGTCAGCATGTAGCATTTCTTTCAGGGCACCCGTATTCATGCCTCTGAGCCAAGGTTCTAGGGGGAGGAACCTGATGTGTGTGCCGATGATGTTCCAGACGTTCCTAGGTTTCAATCGCTCGATGACCCGTACCAATGGATGTGAGCTCTCGATTACTTCATGATGATCGATGAAATAGCTCAAATTCTCCTCGAAGCCAAACCATTCCGAAAGCTCTGGCTTCATGGGCGGAAGGCGGGATAAAATAATTTGTTTCCCTAGGGCACAGGCTTCGAAGAAAATTTGCTTCAAGGCCAGGTCTTCTTGTTCATAAGATAGGAGAGTCTGGAAACACTCTCCAGATGTTCTAATGATGTATCGCAACAACGTGTTGCCCGTCATTTGGTAATCTAGCGTCTCTTGGAAGTAGTAGTACTTTGACGGAGGAAGGGGAAGGATAGTTTTGTTCCTATGGGTTCCGTCTCGGCGTAAGAAGTAGAATTTGATACATTCGCGTTGCTTGAGTCTGAGAGCATTCATGAGCCACTCACAAGGGAGCAAAATTTGGGGGTGATAAAATTCTAGGGCGTTCATGAATGCATTCTGAGTTTCCGCACATGCATGTTCAAGAAGGCTTTTCGTCTCAGAACCCATCGCGTTTTGGATGTCTTTAGTTTGGAAATGACTGATGAGCATGCTCATGATGTCGGCATCGTTGGCCTCGATTGCGATTTGCAACGCGGATGAATATTTCGGATTCAGGTCGAGTGGCCATGCTCCTTTGGCAAATGGCGATGCCCCTTTAGAAAGGAGCAATTGGCAGATATCGAAGTTTCCGAACATGACGGCACACTCGAGGGCGGTGGTCCCTGCCAAAGAGTCTCCTCCCCTTCGGTATCTTTTACTAAAGTCAAAGAAACCCGAACTCTTGATTTCCTTGTCAATGATCGTAGTAACAGCCTCCAAGGCCCCCTCTGCAATGGCGGCCCACACATTCTTGTATTCTTTTGGTGTTTCAGACACGAAGAATCGAGGCTCCTCTGGTCCTGGATGATACCGTTTGTCATGCTGTTGAAGCTGCAGCTGAGATGCAAAGCCCAGACTAGTCGCATAACAACCATCAACCGGACAACGGAACGGTCTCATATGCTGGTTGATGTGGTCATCGCGCTCTTTGCGGTGCAGAAACCCATCTTCGAAGCAATGACACCAACTGTGAGGGCATTTATAATGTTTCGGCCCGTATAACTGGAGACCTGTGCTGATCTTTGTGTTTGGATGCTGTGGTACCAGCTTCCATACGAGTTCGAGAGCTTCTCTGACTGATCGAGTGCGCTCTCCGAGACTTCCTGACTCCTCACGACTTCGCTGATCCACTGGAAGCCGACGAAACTGTGCAAAAGTCTGATCTGAAGTTGAGTGAATCACATGCTCGTCAACATATTGCGTGAAATGTTGTCGAAGATATCTAGACAGCGAAATGACCATCTCTGAAAGAATATTCTCCGGGCATGACGAAATGTGCTTGAAGCTTTCGTTCGTGTGATGCCACCAGGATGTAACGAAATAGTCATGTACATTATAGTACCCACTCAACGCATAACCCTGCACCTCGTCGAATGCCTGCGATTGAAATGGCTTTGATAGAAGGTAGCGAGAACTGAACAATGCCATCTTTGCATGTTCGGAAGCGAGGCAGATGGATTGGGTATGGATCAAGTATCTATTTTAGCATCAGTCCATCTAACCCCCGCGCACTGATGAGCTGCCACGCCAGCCCACAGAGTTGATTGACCCATTTGGGAAGACTCACTGTTTCGCAGAAACATGTACCAGTTCAATGCGGGCTTCGTTGCCCTCCGAATCGTTCTTGCATCCCGTGATATCAACGAGGGAGCTGCAGAAGTACTTGCACGACTTCAGGGGGCGGCGGCGCGTATCTGCGGTCCCAGCTTTCGAGTCAATGCAAAACAGGCTTTGAATTTCCCTCCATCGCAGAGGTCTGTAGGCACAAACCACCCAACCTAGAATCTTCTCGGCGATTTGTCTTTCCTGTTCTTTTGAGTTTTTCAGAACCCTCTCGACGACACGGGCATAACTAGTTTACAAGGGTCAACATCAACATTCGCTGTCTGAAGCAGAGAAGACTCACGCTTGCTCAAGCTTTTTCGGGAAATTCTTGTCTTCCATCTCGATTTCAAAGTCCAAGACAGTCATTTGCTCGATGAGATTATCGAGAACGACCTTGGCATACAGAAACATACCTGCAGAATATCAGTTGGATGCAAATTAGCATGAAATGAGAATAGCAACACGAACCCTTGGAAGCAGTGGTGATCTTTTCAACAATCTTGCTTTCAACAGCGACATGGCTGTCAGAGAACCTCTGGCAGATCTTTTGAGCTTTTGATCTAACATATCGTTGTATGTCGATTTCATGTGGCTTCATATTTTCAAGCTGCAATGTAGGGTACTCCTTCAACATGTCTTCAATGACGCCATCCCTCTGAGCCGAGACAAGGATTCGAATGTTGTTTTGCACACTGGAGGAATGTACATTGAGACCTTTCAGCCACTCGAGAACTCTTACAGCTTCGCTCATGTTTGAATTTTCGTGTCTGGCACATTCATCTAGCCCATCAACAACGAGGAAGCAAAGCCGTTGAGAGCGAATTGCAGTCTCTGTCAACTTTTTGAGTCGATCAGATGAAAGGCTGAGTCCACTACACATTTCTTTGTAAATGAAATCGAGCAAACTTGGATCCTGGTCGACCAGCTGGGAGAGAATGCTCCGCATCATTCTCTGCAAATCGCGCTTGTCGTCACACGAGTATTTGAAATAAAAGTACACGACCGACAGCTGACTTGCGCCTAGATTAGTCGTTCTTTTCAATTCAAGGAAATGATCCACGATGCCGGACACCAGAGTGGTTTTGCCTGCAACATGGTTAGAAAGCTGCTCCAAATGACATGGACTAATAATCGGACCTGCGCCTGGTATTCCACTGAGATAGATCAAGGGGGATTGTGTGCTTGATAAATCAGACCAATCTTTGAAAATGGGTTCGTTTGCAATCCAATCTCCCGATGAACTTTCTCGGAGCACAGCAAAGCTATCCTCCTGGTCTTGCTGATAGTCTGGAGATCCGAGCTCGTCGCGAAGCATGCGACGCTTCTCGCGCCGTCTCTCCTCTGTTTCTGCAAGAATCTTGGCTTCATCTCGTGCAATTATTGCAGACATGTCATTTCTCAACTGTTGAAAATTGTCCCTTGTCGCGCATTTCATGCGTTGCATCTCGCTCATGAGTGAAGTCAGCTTCTCCTCCGATAGGAGCTTTTGATGCATTTTGAATTTGGAAAGAATTGGCCTGAACTCTGTTTGAAATGTTTTCCACGTCGAATGAAAAACCGTTTTCCACGCTTATATAAATGGTCAGTGAAATTTACGGAAATGGAGACGTAATCATATCATGTACGAGGCAACTCACCAGGTCGCGAAAAGACCTCCAACGCGCTCTTGTTGAACTCGAGCACATCACAATAATAGTTCTTGAGTTGTTTTCCGACTTCGTCATAATCTTTGAAGAGTGTGCCAATTTGAGCAAGCCCAGGAAGAGTCTCGCCGATTTCTGCATACGTGTCCAGCAATAGATCCAACGTCTCGACACAGGTGCTTGCAGTCTGTTTTCATAGCATAAGCGAGAATCAATTACGGCGCTCGGATTGTTAGCTATACCTGGAGTAGGAACTTGACGGGCCCCTTTGCGAAAATTGTCAGGATTCAAATTTCTTTTCTCTCTCTTCTGTGTGGCTGACTTTGACATACCCAGATGAAGGCCACAGTGACATCCACGTTGAGGAAAACCTCTATCACCTGACCCAATTGGGACATACCCTCAATGAATTTCGACACCCGCCTCATATTCTTCTGTCGTCTTTGGGAACCGTGTCGTTGCTGTATATCGGCGATCGTCTTCTGGACTTCTTTCTTGTTGCAGCCAGCAAACTGTTCTCGTTGGTCTTTGGTGAGGTTCTTGCGGAACCGCTCGAGGGCTTCGCTGAACGCAACATCTTCCGCGGCGTCCGACATTGCGAGAATTTCAGGTTTTTTTTTTTTTTTTTTTTTTTTTCTCTTTTTCCCGCAGCAGAACAGTAAATGCAAGACAGAAAGCTCTTTGAAACCACAACGACCACCCAGTGTGGGACATGGCAGATACATGATTTTTTTCAACTGCAGGCTTATCGCTGCACTGCCCCGCCAGACTCTTGTCGTTGGGGGCGAAGCGCTTAACGGATCTCCAAAACAGGAGGTTCCCCTGCGTGCCATCAGTGGTTCATTTGGTTGGGCTGAGACGCAAGGCGTCTTTTGGACGGCGACCCAAATTCTACTTTCTGACCAACAAGTCTGATTCCTCCGTTTTCTTATTCTCAGACTGGATCAGCATTTATACGACACGGTCGTGACGTGAATGCAGGGAGCTTCGATGATAAGTTGTCATGGGACGATCTAATCGGAAGCACAGTACTGAGGGTTGGGTGTCTTCGAGAGCCTTGCGTCCTGCTAAGCGATTGCGCTTGCCGTCACTTGATGAAGGCACAAGACGGAACATCGATTTTGAACCGCCTTTTGCAATCGCGGCAGGAGGACCTGGAAGCAAGCAGACTGATGCTGAATGGGGGCAGGCACCTCTACTTCCTTCAGTCCAACCCAATGACCACGATTTGATATGCTATGGGGCTGTAAGTAAATTATACGACATTCTTCATCATGTTATTCGTCTCTTACAAGGTCCGAAGCTGTTTGAGGTGCAAGCTGCGATCGATCTACCCAATGGTATCGCTCATTGCCGAAGTCTCATACAAAACTCAGAATCAACGCAGCAATACCCCATTGATATTCAAGACAGCAATTGCCACCTTCTGTCGACTCTCTATGGAAAATTTGCCATTATAGATTCCCAAACGGCCACTTTTATATGTGCGCTTCACAACATACCACACATCCGCTTCTTGGCCGTGGTTAACTCAAACAAATTGAGGCAAATGAAATTGAGCAAGAAAAGACTTTGCATTGTGCCATTGTCAATCAATATCTATGGTCAGTACAAAGATGGCGAAACTGTCGGAGATCTATTAGGAACGATTGGTGCATTTTTACAACATCCAGCCTTCTTGGAATCCGGCATTGAGTATTACAACCCTCAGCTGTACTATCCTGATGGCAAGCTTGAGTCACTCACGCACCTTGTTGGACTCAGTGATTGTGATATTGCCGCGAACCTCCTCTCTGAAGACGTCGAGGCAGTTCTAGCTTCGCTGGACGATTATGGCACAGGTAGCATTGACTCCATTGTCAACCTGACTCAAATTTCCACAGAGCTTCGACGGTAAGAAAAAAAAAACTCCTTGATCAAGTTCAGCATAGAAAGCACAGTCTGACTATTTCAGGCACCAAAAGCTCGCCCTTGATTTTATGCGTCGTCACGAAGATTTCAACGAAGTTCAGGCGATCCATAGAGATCTATCTCATCTAATCGGCTTACCGTAAGTGAAGTACTGCAATATCTACTACAATCATACTGACCACCATGTCATAGAAATTCCGAGAAAATCCCAGTGTCTTGCACTGGCGGCATCCTGGCAGACGTAATGGGTCTGGGCAAGACGCTGTCTGTGCTTGCATTAATATTATCTTCTCTGCAAAATGCATCAAATTACCAGTCATGTCTAGACGTCACACCGCAGGAGCGCCGTAATACCGCTGGCACACGCACCAGAGCAAGCTTGATCGTCGTTACGTCGGCGCGTAAGTGGCCTTGGTCTCCAAGATAATTTTGTGTTGCTAATAGAATTTCAGAGGTCTTAGACACTTGGTTGACTGAAATCCAAAAGTAGGTGCCTTAATGAAGAACGACTAGGTAGATATGCTAATGGCACCAGCCACCTCCAACCAACAGCGTTGAAAGTTTTGATATTTCATGGCGACAAACGCCCAAGAGCCAAAGATCTGGTTGCCAATCACGACGTCGTTTTTACTACATATGCTACCTTGGTGGCAGACTGCAGATCAGCCAAGATCCTGCAATCCATGACATGGTTTCGCGTCGTGCTCGATGAAGGTAAGAGAATAGGGATTATAGGTCGACTCAGCACGACTGACAAACGGGAATAAGCGCATTGGATTCGAAACCAAGCCTCACAGCAGTTCAAGGCCATAATAAAAGTGCCAAGCCAACGCAGATGGTGCTTGACGGGTACCCCCATTCAGAACCGCATCGACGATCTTGTTTCTCTCTTGCGCTTTCTACAGTTTGAGCCATTATGCAATAAAGCTACGTTCGAAAAATACATCCTAGAGCCACTGAGCAAAGAAACTCCAGAAAGGACAAGAGCACTGCACGTTTTACTGCGCGGGCTCTGTCTAAGAAGAGACGAATCCCATCTCAATCTACCGAGTCCAACTTACCAAACCCTCGAGGTAAGCTTCGACCCCAAGGAACGAGAGCTCTACGATGGAGTCCTCTACGCTTGCCAGAGAGACCTGGACGACGTTGTCAGTGGACAATCAAAGTCAAAAAAGTACTCTGTGCTCTTTGCCGCCATGACCAAGTTGAGACGGCTTTGCAACCATGGCACAATGCAGTCGGTCGAAGCAGGGTCAAGCTCAAGTTCAACCACGCTCAGGTTCTTGGAGCCCGGATGCGACTACTGCCAAGGAAATCATGAAGAGAGCCTTGCCGCTTGGAATAAGGAAACGGCTTGTCCACACTGCGGTAGAAGCCTACAGCAAGTACAGAATCTGGGATTATTGACCCCCGAACGCGATGCATCAAGGACTCCGACCCCTGGTGACATACAAATTCAACTAAACGGGGACCGGTCGCCTAGAAGTCAACTGGCACACAATGGATCATCTTCCAAATTACTTCGTGTCGTTGACAACCTGGCCCAGACTTCGAACCAAGGCAAGAGGTGAGTTGTGCTTGCTGTCGAGGTTAAAAGACTTAAGCTGACTAATTCAAGTCTTGTTTTCTCATTTTGGACGTCGACACTTGATCTACTTAAACATATGCTCATAAATGCGAATATACCATGCCTGATGATCGATGGGCGTGTACCTTACGCAGAAAGACCAAGGATATTGGAACAGTTTCGCAACGATCCGAATGTACCGATTCTATTGATGACAATTCAGACTGGAGCAGTAGGGTAAGCAAGAATCTGGATACCATATCTTATATGTGGCCAGCCAGTTGACTCGCCGCAACTACAGATTAAACTTGACGGCTGCCAACTTCATACACATTGTCGAGCCACAGTGGAACCCGTCGACGGAAGAACAAGCTATCGGGCGAGCAGTGCGGATGGGCCAGACTCGGACTGTCACTGTCTTTAGATACGTGGTTGAATCATCAATTGAGCAGGTATGTCTTCTCTCCACCTATCACGCCAGCTCGGTACATGCTGACGAGGGCCCACAGAACATACAGACTCTTCAAAAGAAGAAGAAGAATCTGGCCAAATTCACTCTTGATGGTTCTGGCACAGAGTCGGGGAGCCTCGAGGTATGTTGGAAAAATCCCAGAGCGCGTGATAGTCCTGCAGAGAGCCACCAGACTGACTTGACCAAGGATTTCAAATTCATGCTAGATATGTGACAGCATGACTAGATATATCGGAGTCTAGAACTACCATGATTTTGATCCCGTATTACCAATAAAGAAGGAAAGCTGACTGGCTTGGATGGGTTTACTCTGACTGAAACTCGTGATTTCTTTATTTGCTCAATTATGTATTTTCCTCTGTCTGATCAACGTGGTTGATAGGCCACAAAGGCAGGGAAAAGATGTTTACTATTCGCTCGCAAGAATTCCATCAAGCTTTTGTCCAATGTAAATGCAACTGCAACACTTTCAAATCTCAAATCGCCGAAATGCAGACTCGATTTTTCTATTTACTTTGCGGCCGAGATCCATTTGCTCGTTCGTTTCAGAGAAAATTGGTTCTTTTTGTTGGTATCATCAAGAAAAGAAAAAAGAAATCCACATAAGCCACCTAGCTACGCTTGGTCTAATCGGTTTCTTCTTCTTACACTCCGCAACAATCATGGAAAAGTGACAATTACATCACAACCTATTCTAAAGTTAGCATGTTGCTCTGCCAAGTCCTCATGGCATGGGGATGTGCAATAACTTACGCATTCATCGTCTTTCTTGGCCTGGGGAATACCCATTGCCTCAAATGTCGCTGGCCCCTGCTTGGCCGGTGCAGGCGCAGGTGCTGGTGCTGGTGCTGGTGCTGGTGCTGCCGGGGCAGTTTGCGCAGAAGCAGCGCTTGGCGCAGGAGATGCGACGCCCGGCCTTGCGGGGGGTGCACTGGATCGTCCGCCTCCTTGAGCGGGCGAGTCGTAGCCAGAAGGTCGCGCGCTACCGGGCCGTGATCCAGCAGGTCCGCCCGAGGGAAGTCCAGGCCTTCCATAAGCATCGGCACGAGGCGGGCCCATCCCGCCGCTCATGGTTGGGGTCGACGCGCCTGAGCCAGCGGACGGCGCACGGCCACCGTATGGATCCTGATGAGAGGAGGTAGGACGAGATGAATTGCGCGGGCCATACTGACCACCACCAGGACCGTAGCCACCCGGCGGGTACTGGCCAGGCGGAGGTGTTCCGTGTGCTGGGTATGCCGGGTTGGGGTTTGTCTTGGTCAGGCGGTTGTGTGCCGGGTTGTTGGGTGCTGGACCGCCATGCCCAGGATACTGGGCGGAAACGGGGCGGTTATAGTCCTGGTTGGGATGGCCACCATATGGGCCCGTCTGTCTGTAGCCTCCAGGTCCTTGAGGCCCGTAGCCAGCAGCAGCTGACACTGAGCGGCCCTGGTGCGGGTCCATGCCGGCAGGAGGGATGCCGAGCTGACCACCTTGCGGGCCACGCGAGGCAGGTCCTGGTGGCCCTTGGTGGCCGGAAGGTGACTGCGTGCGAATGCCAAAGGAGCTGCCGGGTCTGTCTGCCGAGGGGCGGATGTTTGGGTTGTAATGAGGTGAGAGCTGCGGCTTGCCACCTGCCACGTCGTCTTCGGGATACGGTGCAGTCGACCTCGGCCGTGCTGCCAGGTTGAGAGGCGTTGGCTTGTTGTCTTCGGGGTACGGTACCACTGACGACTTTGGCCTCTCGGCAAGGTTGATACCGAATGCTGGCTGTCTGCCGCCACTGGGCATGTTTGAGCCACCAAATTCGGCCTGTCTAGGCGAAGGCTGGGGCGACACCCTAGGAGACCCCCGAGGAGAGTCTTCACTGAGCGCTGGCATCCCGCCCACAGGCTTGTTGAAACGATCAGGCCTCTTTCCACGCTGAGAACCGTGAGTCGACTTGATCCTAGTCAACGTCGTAGTCTCATGGTCCTTCTTGGATAGGACTTGTGAGTGACTCAGTCCCTCGAGACGTCCAATAGCGTCCTTGTTGCCATGCTCGGCAGCCAGCTCGTACCATTTCCGCGCTTCTCTGACGTCCTTTTCGACGTGGATACCAATCTCGTTGTAGTAGCCCATGGCAAACTCGCCCGTGGGGAGCTTAGCCGCCGCGGCGAGTTGCGCATACTTGTAAGCTAGCAGTTCGTTCTTGGCAAATGTTCCCTCGTAGCCAAAAAGGAACCATCGACTGACACCGAGACAAGCCTCAGGCTGACCTTGTCGTGCGGCCAGGCCGTAGTAATGCAGCGACAATGCAGGGTTGAAATCGCATCCTAACTGACAAAGCTCATATGCCTGTCCCATTTTCAGCTGCGCCTTTGCAAAACCTAGATATGCTGCCTTTTCGATATACTGGCGAGCTACGGCGATGTCGGGAGAGAGAATGCCCTCGGGTATCGCGACGTCGGGAAGGTCTCTTGCAATGAGCATACCATACACGAATGCACCCTGAGGCGCATCCTCATCGGCAGAATCGGCGGCTTGGCGGATAAGGTCCAGGCCTCTAGCAATGTCCTTGCGCTGACCGTGCTGGCCCATGAGACTGATCATTCCAAGCCGGTATAGCGCTGCCGAGTCCCTCAGATCGAGTCCAGCCTCGTAGTGCCTCAAGGCCTTGTCAATATCGTTTGAGTTTTCGTACAGCATACCGATTCTGTACTCGGCACGGCCCCATCCATTGTTGGCTGCGTTGAGGTAGCCGTTGTATGCCTCTTTCTTGTCCTGTCTCTTGCCAAATTTTCCAAACTCTAGCCACTTGCTACGAATGAACATGGCCTCGGGGTGTCCCTGGTCGGCCAGGTAGTTGACAATGTTAGTAGCATCGACTCGGAGATCATGTTCGATGCGGGGCGTCGATGGTCTTCCTTGGTCGCGATCGCCGGATTTTCTCACAAGGTCGTACTCGCGCGTGGCCGCATCAGCGGCAGTTTCGACGTAGGCCAGCACATCGCGGGCCCAGCAAATTTGCATGTTGGGGTCGTTGGAGTGCAAGACATGATCGCGGCTTTCAGCAAGTACGCTCTCCTTCTCGTCGTCGCTGGGCGGTATGTGCTCGCCGGTGACCTTGGGAAAGTGGCTGAAGGAAGGTTTGTCTGCCGGCATGTCTCTTAGCTTTCGATCGAACTGCAGAGAAGTCGAAGCGCTTTCGTGAAAAGGACTGTAATTCGACTGGCTGTAAGTCGACGCAGGGCTATAATCCGTCATACCGGGCTTGCTCTTTTGATATTGTTGTCCATAGGTCGCCATGTTTGTGTTCAAGACAGACGACAAAGAAGGTTCGCGGCCATGTCCAGTTGGTCTAGCGCCAGCACCCGTCGGTATAGTTGAGTTCATTCTGCTTGAGTCGATTGATCTGGCCTCGAGTTCCATGCGCTGAAGGTCTTGTTGCATATTCTGTGGCACTTCAGGCATCACCCTATTTTTGAAGGGGGGCGCACGTCAGCAAGAGGTTTAATTAGGAGGGAGCTCAGATGCTTTTCTTCGTTGCGACTATTCGAACGCCAAGCAAGTCTCTCTCTCCCCGCGCGCACACACACGTGTGTATATATGATTCGACTGCAAATGGAGCAAAGGAAAACAAGATGAACCAAATGACAACAGTGTCTCTCTCACCTTTGAGGGGCTGGAGCATGAACTTGAACTTCAGGCATATAGTAATCGTCGACGCCTCCAGGGTAAAATGTTGCTCCAAACTGAGGCATATCGGCGGAGTCGTCTTCTGCTGGGTGCGGCTGACCCGATCCTACATAAACCAAGAAGCAGTGAATTGTCAGCGCCCAAGAATCTCACAGATCCAGTTGACCAAGCCCAAAGCGTCAGCTTGCAGTATGTGTTGCAGGGCGTTTATTCCTTGTAGCCGGGTGGAATCAATCCCTTCACCCCCCGCGGATGTTTGATCGTGGCGGGGCTTTGGGTGTGATCTTAGCAGGGAACAAAAGTTGGAATAGGTATGCAGATGGGTCCCGTCGTTAATGTTCGCTGCTCTTCTGTCTGGCTTCTGGTCTCTGTTTAATTTTTTGCCTCCTTGCTCTGTCACGCTCTCGGCCGTCGCTCGGTCCAGGCGGCGGGCAATTTCCTTCCTTCGTAATTGGGTAGAAAAATGCACAATACTATCGATTTGCTGGCCCCCTCTTCTGGGAGTTGCCGGATGCACCAAGATCTATCTGCTGATCGCAGGACGGTTGCGGCCTGTGTCTGGGGGGGATTGAATTTTGGCGCTTGTCGCAATATGCTGTCTCAGTTGCTTTATAGAGTGACTTTTTTTTCCTTTTCCTTTTCCGCACGCGGTTGTCGATACGGCAATGATTGGACGATGAAGGTCTCAGATGCTTTTCAGACAGTATCTGCAGCCCGTTTCACAGCGGCTGTGATAGGAGTGCAGCAGTGCAGAGTGTCATTCATCAATGATGAAAGGTGCTCAGGGCCCCAATACACCCAAGTTACGGCGGGGCAGCCTCCCTCTGAAATATGCAAAGACCCAATGCTGAATGACCACACCTCCCCAGCTGGCGCAGGCGGGCTATGCAAGACAGATTACGGAAGAGAGGGTCTCTTTGGTAATAGGGGATTTGCGGAGGGGCTGACCAGGATGCGATGGGATGGGATGGCGTGTAATTATTAGGCACCAGCAACTGATCGATCGCTGTGAGCTGAGAATAGGCACGACTAGTAGCAGTAGGCCGTGGAGGACTGGATTCTAGAGTCCCTCTTCCTCCTTAGTTCTCTCGCCCCCAGTAGCCGGCCAGGCGATGTGGACGATCTCGTGGTCTGGAAGCTTGGTGTACCTGAGGTAGCATGGTAGGTAAAAGTGCTGGCTTTAGACTTTGCTTTTCCTATTCACCCCTTGAAGTTTACTGTGTATAATTGGAGGAAGCGTCGGCAGTGTATATCCACGCGATCATTGCTGGATTCTCCTTACACACCATAACCGTATCGATGAGAGCTGGTGTCATGTTCTTGGTGATTGTTTAATGTATGGTAATTGTGCCCTGTGGGACCTGCATTTGCAACGGTCTCGGCGCCCAAAGACTGGGTGCGGGTACGTAGCAGCCACTAAAGGGATTGATGTGCGCTCTCCAAGTCGCCTTTGACCGTTGAGCTCTGCCGAACAACCGTCCACAAGACAAGAGTCCAAAAGTTACACGTTGCGCGTACCCGGGTCTTCCGTTCGGTGGTGCAATCTCTATCTTCAGGGCCTTGGTTGCTCTGGGTTGACCTTCTTTGGCAAAGATAGTAGCAGCTCTGATCCAGCTTGACTTGCCGACCATAGGGGCGGGAACAGAGCATGGTACCGTCCAGAAGCATGAAATACTACTTGGTGCCCAGTGCGACAGCGACGACAGAGCAAGAAACGGCCATGGTGGGTAGCAGAAAGACAGTGTTGGTGGGCTGCGCAGAAAATGAGGCAAGCCCACCCCGGCAGCTGCAGCAGCACAGCCAAAGCCATGCAAACCTCTGCGTATTCCATACATAGCACGCATACGAGCCAGCGAAATGCACTCGGCAAACGGGGAGGGACCCAGCTGCATACTCGGGAATTATACTTTCAGGGGGCGCTGTGGGAACGGTTCTTACCTGCTAAATCCTGGGGGTTGATGCTTGTCGGGACTGTGGACGCCGACTGGCCGCCCTCCGGCCGCGCGTATAGTTGTCGATTATACTGGGGCATCATTTCGACTGTAGTATCGGCGACAATGCCGGTTGCGATTGAGTCCCCTTCTTCGAGATTTTTAGGTTCGTTAAGTTTCGAGGGGGGGGGAACTCGCTCTTCAAATGCGAAATTGCGGCGGGTAGTTGATGTCGTTCAAACGTAATCAGTGCATTGAGCTTCCTAGACACGAGTGCAGCTAATAATTTGCCGGACGAAGCAGCATGACTGGTGATTTCTGCAAACGAGTGAATGAACAGCTTCCCTGGCAGGCAGATGGACAATAAGCACCTAGTCAGTGACTGTCGCTAGTCGAGCCCAAGTGCCCCAAGTGCTGAGAGTGGTTAACCAGCGGTTGACCCGGTGGGCAGCCACCCAGACTTATTAAAGACAGAATCATGCCCACGCTGCTCTCTTTCAAATGTGTACGACCGGGTATTTACATTATGGCAATGCGTAAGGGCAGCATGAAACGTGATCTAATCTAGAACATGTGTACTTTAGCTCTTGAGCCCAACAGCAGAAGGATTCGAGGAAAGAAGCTTAGCCATTCCGTCGTTTCTTTCCCCATCTCTTCTCAGCACTTGTTTGCCTATTATCTCTTGGGCATCGTGTCACTGCATTCCGGAATACGTCAAGGAGGTGCCAAGAAATGCTAATCATGATTGCACGGCCCAAGGCGGACTAGTACTGCTGGAAACATCATGTTCCGTCTCGTTTGATGGTCGAGTTGAGGCACTGCAGACATGTGTTGCCATACAGAACATATGAGTAGGAGTTTTTAGATACATTATTTGTCAAGGTATCAAAAATATTTTCATGGGGCGGTGATTAATGAAGCAACTTCCTTCCTTCCATCACAGTAACTTCTTGAGAGTGGCGGGCGGCGAGACGAGATCCCGAACCGACACTGCCTCGTGGTTTCTATTTTTAAGATCAACTGGATTTTCCAGTCATTTGCCATGTGAGTAACGCAAGTCTAACATAATGCAACTACTACAGCAGGGGCCCGGCGCACTTGATACCTAGTTCATTATGCTGGAGTCCAGTGCCAACCTAGACAAGATAATTCATATTCATTCAACTGTTGCGCCTATTATTTACTTATGTACATAGGGATCGACACATTTAATGGTTCAATAGTCTTGTCTGTCAGCAAATGTTTTCTCGCACCGAATAATAAATTGCAGGCAAATGAAAACCAGGCCTTGGCTTTACTGCTGTCTTACTATCTAGCTGGGTAACTGGACAGGAGCATGAAAATGCCATGCTTCTTCCATGACATTCAGCTGTGTCTAACACTCCGTCTCCTGCATGTCTACCAAAGAAACAATGTCACCACATATGTCATGTTCGCAGGCCCGATCCGCTAGAATTCTCCCGCCCAGACTGTGCCACCTCTATATGTAGTCATACTCACATGTATGCCAGGGTGGCTTTGAGGGCGATGATCGCAGAAAAAAAAAAAGGAGGGCTCAAGAAGTGAAGAAGGGTTGAAAAGGCAAGGGGAATACGTCGTTGTGCAACCATTATCGACATATCTATCATTGGGGCTTGATGTATAGATATGGTGATCATATGAGCTGAGCGGGCGGCCTAGAGCGCTACCAGATGACCATTCTGTCCTCCAGATAAGGCAGCGCCCATGGTGCCAGCTCACAGGTGATGTGCTGTTTTGTTTTGCAGTGATAATGAGAGACAAGGTAAATTTCTTCTGGAATTGCCTGATAATTTGCAACCTATCCAAGCGCAGCTCTGAGTCTCTATAGCAAGCACAAATTGGCCTTTCTGTACGAAAACCATGGGCTTCTTTAAAAGGAGACGATCCCCCAGGGTCGAAAGGTTATTAGACACTGAAGCAGTTGCTATTGAAGCTACCAGTAGTGGGATGTCGGGGGACGGAGCTAAGGGACAAAGTGGCCCGAGCTCCAGCGAGGCAAGCAACAGACCCAAGCTCAGCGTCAACGTCAGCCTCTCAGCCTGGCTACGCCTGGTGCGTCTACAATCAGCTTCACGAACGAAACCATCAACCCAAACGCCCAAATCCACCACAATCAATTCCAAACAATCATCGGCATCGATCTCTGATAATACAGAGATACATACTACTGATCCACCTGAGCCCGTAATACACAATAGGGACAGCGACACCACGCTTCCCTTGCAGCCATCCGGCCCGGCGTCGCAAACGACACCTCCCAAAACACCCACTCTCACTACAACACAGAGCGCCAGCACCATGGCTGAACGAACGCTGCAACAGGTCATTACCCAGCTGCGGGGAAACCCTTCGTACGAGCAGGCCTCACCTCTTCTCTCCAAAGCCAAGTTGTCATTACTGCAGCTCAAGGCCCTTACGCCAACCCCGTCGACCCCCTCCAACCTGCTCGCCATTGCCCGGGAAGTCTACGAGCTCGGCGCCATCACATCCATTCGTGCCCGGAATCCCGATGCCTTCAAGCGCTACGTACAGCAGCTACAGCCCTTTTACGAGCTTCCGTCTAGCCAACTCAAGCCCAACCCCGAGGCACGGAACAAGGTCACGGGACTCTATCTCTTGTTGCTCCTGACCGAGGGCAGATATGACATCTTTCACAGCGAGCTAGAGAGCTTGAGCATGCGCGTGGGAAATGGAGGTTTTGAATCAATTGAGGCAGACCGCTACCTGGGCTACCCGATCAAATTGGAGAGGTGGTTGATGGAGGGTAGCTACGACAGGGTGTGGAAGGCCATGAAGAAGGGCGAGGTTCCCAGCGAGGAGTTTGGTATCTTCTCTCAGGTACGTTTCCTGTAACGGTTTGGTGTATCCGAAGCAAGGGCTGCTGCTCCTGCACGGGTCTCTCAAGAACGTACAGTCAATGCTGACTAATGATTACCACAGATTCTCACATCACAAATCCGCTCCGAGATTGCTTCGTCTTCCGAGCGAGCATATCCTTCTTTGCCGCTTAGTAGCACAAAGTCGCTTCTGTTCCTTGATTCGGAAGGCGCCGTGGTCGAGTTCGCCCGCCAGCGTGGATGGGTAATTCGTGAGGGTCAAATCTACTTCCCGGCGGCCGACGACGAGGATGCCGAGGAGAAGGACATGTCGCAGATGGTGATTGAGAACACTCTCGGCTACGCTAGGGAATTGGAGACAATTGTGTAGTGATGACCAGAGCGATATCTTGGAGGGAAACGCTCGTGGCCATGCCCTAAAAGGGCGACAGGCATCTATCACGGAGAGGGGAGCGTTTGTGTATTGGTAGGCCCAAAAGGACACTAGATGACAAACTTGTGCTATATAGCACAGTCACAATAGAGCCTCAATGTCTAATAGTTGAAACGCGCACTTTGTTTCGCTGGAGCAAATCGAATTCCACGGCACTCTCTGGAATTGCCTGGGCAATAGATGAGGAGAGACCCGCGGATTTAGTCCCGAGCTCACATGTAGTATGCCATTTGTCAATTCATGAAGAGCAAAAATTCACTAGTTGTAACTATTCCAATTATAACCAAAACAGCCAGGCAAGCAATGAAACCCAACCGGCCAGTCCTGGACGGTTTCTGACAACTGGCGATGGTTCAACAGAACTTGAACTCATGATACAAAGATTTGCCCTCACTATCAAGTCATACGTGTGTGGCATGTGACATGGTATATTGTTACAGTTTCTCGCTGCTTTTTTTTTTTTTTTAAAGAAGAAATTGCACCATGTCTAGTTCATCAAAAACGTCAAGGAGGAAACAAACATTTGAAAGCGATCACAAACGATGCCTACTGATTTTATGACCTTGAATGTATCGTAGGTGGCCGCTTGTAATGCGCCAAATGCGCGGTTTTATTCGATTGATATATACATGGCATAATCATACCTAGAAAGAACAGTCAAGAACATGTCTTGTGAGCATCTAGTTATTCAACACCTTGGAACTTTCCTTTCGATTTGCAAAATATATGAAAATGAGAATCTTTTTTTCTTTTAGCATTCCGCTTACTCTGCTAACGACATCATTATACTGTTTCGGTTAACCTGAGTGGTTTTCCGCTCAGGCCAACCTGCTCCAACCTCCTTCTATCTAGTTGCTTTTGGTTTCGTTCCCAGTAATATGCCAGTTCATGATCAGGTTTACGCCCAAAGCTGGACGCTATCCTCTACTTAACATGGCCTCGTGCACTGAACTCCGTCATGGCTGATCCCCAAATCGTCGAGAGAACAAATAGCCTTGGACTACCCGTAGTTTCTTCTCCAGCTATGGTCTCCAGGTAGAAGAGACCAACTTCGCCAAGTCTATGTGTTGAGGGCTTTTGACCCCTAGGCAAAGAGCCTCAGACCACTGCCATGCTTGCCAACCTCGCAAACCTCGCAGACTGTGCAGACGGTACCCTTGTACTTGGTATGGTATTTGGAGCCATCGTAAGCACATTCCTCATAAGGCGTGCCACTGTAAATCGGAGTGTATGAGCCGGCACAGATATCGAACTCAGCAAACTGGTCGTACTCAATCTCTATAGCATCATGGGGGTTCCGCTCGGCCGTAGCCTTGACCTTCTTAGCCTGTTTTGGGTCAGCGCATATTTTTTTGCCAGATTTTCATCATAGGTACAACTCACATTTTCAAGCAGTCGAGGGGCACCACCGTTGGCTATCATTCTGTTTGCAAAGCTCAGAGCCGTGCTGAAGTTCTTACTCCTGCTGGCAAGGTTCATGGCGTTCAGCAATGCCAATTGCCTGTGAGGAACTTCAATCTTGGGAATTGTGAAGTACGCCGACAGCTCCAAGCTCCTCTTCTGTAGGCTGGGATTCGAGTTGACAACATCGGGTGCGCCAAGGGCACGTCTTGCCAGCTCAATTGACATGGCCAATGCGTATTCTGAAGCCGATGTGACAAGCTTCTTGGCCTCGGCTACTTCACCTTCAAACGCAACAGCGTTTACCAAGAGCGCGTGCAAAATGCCCTTGAAGATCCTGACACCGTCCTCGAGTCTGTTTCCCTTCATGGCATCAAAACCCTTTTGCAAATCATTTGATACAAGGTACTCCAGGTCTCTGGGGATGACAGGGAGGACCTTTCTAGGGTCGGTCTCATCCAATGTCCTTCGAACATAGTTGACCAGAGGCGGAAGACCGGCAGATGTAGGTAAATACGTTTTCGAGGCGATGTAAATCTCTTCAAACCTAGGGGAAAGTGCAGTAAAGCTGACCGCACCAACTTGTCGAGTAAGCAGGTTCATAGCAGACTCGAAAGATCCAGCAGCTGCGTGGTCGGCTGCAAGTGGTGAGTTCCGGGCCCAGATGTCTGCCTCACTGCTGCCGGCTCCATTGGCATCAGTGCTCTCGACATTGACAAAGTCGCTGTCACCTTCGGGCACGATGTCGTCACCCAAATCCCATCCAGCGGCATCCTCATCATCGTCAGCTTCAAGCACATTGTTCTTGGCTGCAACGTCTTCCTCGCCGAGCTCATCGAAGCCGTTGGCCGCGGCGGCTGGCTCGTCATCAAGACTGAGGCCTTCAAGTTGGCCCGCAAGAGCCTTCTCAAAGAACGACTGTGACGTTGCCTTGGTTGGCCAGTTGGCCTTGAATGTGGGGACCACGGGCTGGGGCTGCTTCAGAGGCTCTCCAAAGCTTGGAAGTGTCAGTTGATCCTCGGTAATGCCAGTGGCTTCGAGGATTGACTGGGCTTCCTCTTCCAATCCGTGAGCCTTGGCGGTAGCATAGGCAAGTGGGTCTATAATTTGCGTGTTAGTCATAGGCCACAAAAAGTGGTACCACGTCCCGACTTACAAAGGTCAATTTCCTTGAACATCTGTATCCTATCTTCGACCTCACCAAGGTACAAGGCATTCTGGAAACGTGCGGTGAAATCTCCGCGGTGCTCGGCGATTTTAGCCATTCTTGCCAGCTTGCTGTGGTCACCCGTTGACAAGTACAAGAAGGATAGCTTCTCAAACTGCTTCTGCTTCTGGTAAGCCATCTCAACGACTTGGTGGTTTCCATGGGCCAATGCTTCGTCGCCGAGTCTCTTCCATAGTGCCGGGCGATCAAGCTCCTTTGCCGTCTCGACCGCGACATCTAGATTGCCGCATTCGATGGCAAGCTCAAATCGGGTGGCTGGGTCTTGCACAAACTGGAGAGCAATCTCGGGGTAACCCTTCTTCTGGAGGTACGAGATGATGGACTGTCCAACCAAGCTGGAAGTCTTGATCAGATGCAGCATTTCTTCATAGTTGCGCTTGACCAAGGACAACTTGAAGCGGTATTCGGTAGGATCGATGTTGATGACTTTCGGCTTGGCAGCACGATCCAAGCAGTAAACATTTCTGCCCTTGACCCTGACGAGATAAACGGTCTGGTCCAATGTCCGGACAATGCCGTTGTCACCGTTCATGAGAGTGTACTTGATGTGATTAAGAGTGGAGTACAGAAGGACACCAGCATCATCCCAAGTCGCACTCTTAATCCTGATCGTCTCGTGAAGGGTACTGACCTGCTCAAGAGTCTTTGTCACAATAGTAACATTGTGCTTGCTCAGAAGAGCGGCGTGCAGGCCATCATTTGACCAGACCACATACTTGACACCGTTCACAGATAATTCAGCAATGCTCTTCTTTTGCTGAATGTCATACAGGTGCACAGCAGTGGGAGTGATGATCAAGAGATGGCCGGTACCTCCGAAGTAGATGTCGGTAGTGCCCACTGGAGGCTTGAAAGATCGGGCAGTGTTGTTGGACAAGTCCTTGATGTCAACTGTCTGCGAAGCGGTGTTGAGGACAGCAAAGCGGTTGCGTGCAACGAAAATAGCCGAGTTGCCCTGTCCGCGCTTGGAGTCAGTGACATCAATGGCCCCTGAGCCATCTCTTGGCAGGTTGATCAGCTCATATATGCCACTGTCGGAGGGAGAAGTGACCAGAACAGATCTCTCAGCGGGGTTGTATGATATCGTTCGCGGTGGGACCCATGGGCTTCCGAGTCTCTTGAGCGACAATAGTGTTGGACTCTCCACACCCTTCTGGAAGTCATATGATCTGACGTGCTTCTCCTTAGTAATGAAGAAGAGGTTGTTCAAGTGAACGGTAGAAGCAGGACGTTCTCTCTCCAGCTTGAAGACCATCACACCGTTGTCGTGACCGGCCGCAAACAAGTTGATCTCGGGGTGGGCAGCGATGACCCAAAATCGGTCGTTCTCTCTCTTAAAAGACTGGACCGCAGTTCGCTTTTGCGAGTCCCAAACACGAATCGTCTTGTCCTCGCCACAAGAGAGAATCAAATCTTGATGAGGGTGGAACAGACAGCCTACAGCGTTTTGGAAGTGTCCTCGACACGTATCCACCTCCCATGCTTTTGTTTCGCTGTAGCGCCAGAGCTTGACGAGGCGGTCATCAGCGGCCGAGACAATATGGGGCGCGGTTGGGTGGAAAGCAACCCAATTGACGCCACGATCATGTCCCTCCAGAACAAACTTGACCATGGCATCAGTGTTTCCGAACATGTCCGTCTGCTGCTGGTTGTTACGAGCGACCTGATCCTCGAACGACATCGAGGTTGGGGCAGAATGCTTCTTTCTCAGTCCAGAAATATCCCAGACTCTCACAGACTGATCAAGAGAGCAGGAAACAACAAGGTCGTCCTTGGGGTGGAACTGAGCGCACATGACGTAGTGGTTGTGGCCAGTCATGGTGCAAATGAGCGAGCGATTCTGCCAGTTCCATATCCGGATAGTCTGATCGTCGGAGCAGGAAATGATCCATGGAAGCTCGTGGTGAAAGAAGACGGTTCTAACGTAGTCGAGATGGCCGTTGAGGGTGAAGAGACACCTTCTGGTCTGGTAAGACCACACCTTGATCTTGTAATCATCACCTGCCGAGACGAAGAGTGGCTGGGTCTTGTGGAAGTCGATGCCTCGAACCGGTCCGTCGTGTTCCTCGAATCGGTCGATCAGGGTTCCCATACGGTAGTCCCATAGTTGGATGGTCGAAGAGTGAAGGGCAACGAGGATCCATGGTCTAGACAATTGATCAGCCAGGTCCCACGTGGCCATTGTTCATCATGCACGTCACGTTGCCGCGAAATATCGTGGAGGGGCGCATTCTGGAGCTCTTACCTCTTGGGGTGGAAGGCAAGACCCTTTGCCCTGGAGGACTTGGACTCGAACTGAAAACATATTGTCAGTTGTCTTGTCCCTATAGAAACTCGATGTGTGGGTGTAGTTTGCGCACCTTGGTGAGCATGCCAGAGGAAGCCATATTGGCGGTGTTGGAGTGGAAGCCCCTAGGGACAGTTCATCAATGGGGGGGAAGAGTCGCAAGGTTGCGGTCGTCGCCGATACAATCGAAAGAGGCGCCAAGTAATAGTTTGAAATGGAAAGAGGAAAAGTGTGGTTCGTAGTGCGAAGCGCTGGGAGACAGCAATGGCCTGTCTTGCGCAGCGATCGTCTGAAGTCAATGGAGGTTGAATGTCTCCAGGCAGGCTGGCTGGCTGGCATCAACGAAAGCTGGACTGGCTGACTGACAGCTCACCCCCCAAACCAATTCAGATGTCGTGGCCAGGTAGACCATAGACCGCTGAGGACAGATTAATCCGTGGTTTTTCCGCCTCCGTCACCTTCTAAAAAGTTGTGGGCCAGCCATGCCAAGGGTGAGTTCCAGGTGGTAAGGAGGGGCAAAAGCATCTCAGGGGGGTTCCTGCTTAGGGCCCTTTTACCTTAAGGTTCCGGCCAGGATGGCACTAACTGCCCCTGTTCCAGACGCGCTGTTACGATAAGGGAGCTCTCCTAGACGCTAAACCAGAACAGTACAGCTTTGATGCAATGTGTTCAGTCTCGCTCCTTCACTTACACGGCATGGGACAAGAAAGTGTCCTTTGATGAGAATGCCACGATACCCATCAGCTGTGCTGACAATTGTTTCCACGAGCCACACAAGTCTCAGATTACAGTCGTTGTGGGGAGGACAGTCATCTACTTCCAGACTGTTGAACATGATATAACGTCATTCCAATTGAAGACGCCCGCCCTTCTCTTGTGCTGAAGCTCTACTACCTATCCACTCTTGTGGCCGCCCCTCCAAGAAGTCCACTTCCCGTACTGTATGGGACACAGTCTATACAATCGCACTTCAACGTCGGACGGCCGAAGTAGAAACAAATCTTCTGGATATTCGACAATCGCCGAACCTGTGCAATCTGGAATTGACCTAGCTCCGCAATGCTGCGGCTATTCAAGCTGCCCGGCGGCCTGGCAGCTGCGTTGCTGGCAGCTATCTGTTTGAACGCCGGCAACGCATCTGCAGGTCCATCGGTCAGCGTAGACATGAAGGCGGCCTTCTCTGCGCCTCCATATTTGCTTGAACTCCTGTGAGCCTTGGGGACCAAAGGGAATAGATGTGACGGGTTTCTAACATTGAATTACTAGTGAAACTGCTGCTCAAGAGAATGCAACAGCCTACTTTCCCCTACTCGACCGAATCGCGGGCGGCCACTTTGCAGACGCCACAACAGACAAGCTTCTTTACGAGAAGTTTCTAGAGACTCTTCAGAATGATGGCCATATATCTAGTGCTGAGGCACTGTCGACCTTCAAGCTGGCCCTGTCCATGCGGTCGGCCGCACCAAGGATAGAAGCCCATTACCAATATTATGACACGGGTGTTGCACCGACTCTGGAGGCTCTAGACTCCAACTGCAAAGACTGGGTTCTGATGGAGGGCAAGCAATATTGCTCCGCCGACCTATCTGAGGTGAAATCATCTGTAGAGAGCGGGTCGTAAGTTTTGAGCTGTCCATCTTGGTGAAATGTGTATTAAAAAAACAGCAGTCAGGGCAGGATTTTACCCTTCGATCGCAAACTGGGCAGAGGGCCTGAGGCTGTTCTCTATGCTGATATCACGAAACCTGAGTTTGGTGCATTTCACACGGCCCTTTCCGAGATGGCACGAAAGGGCAAGGTTTCATATCAACTAAGATACCGCCCAGAGCGGAGGGAACTCTTGGAGAAACTTCCGGTCAGTGGATATGGAGTAGAACTTCAACTTAAGCGGACTGACTATATCGTCATTGACGACCGAGAGGCTGAGGCAAAGGAAGAATCAACCGAGACCGCCAATCTGAAAGTCAACTTGGATGCTGAGGAGGAGGTGACCGATCTGAAGCCGCTCTCGAGCTCGGAATTATCTGCACTGGGCGTCAAGGCAGCATCTTTCATCATGCAGAGTGATGACCCTTTCAATTCCCTCTTGAAGTTGACGCAGGACTTTCCAAAGTACTCCGCATCTTTTGCAGCGCATAATGAATCGGAAGATTTCCTGCGAGAGCATTATTTCAACCGAGGCCAAATGGTGCCGCAGGGCATGAATGTTTTGTGGATGAACGGTGTCCAGCTAATTGAAAGACAAATTGACCCGTACACCCTGGTTGATCTACTTCGCCGGGAACGCAAGCTTATCAAGGGCGTCACAGATCTTGGTTTAACCGGAAAGCAAGCGGTCTCTCTTTTGGGAAACAGAGAGGTAACTATTGCAAAGTCCAACGACGAGGTTGGTCGCTTTGATTGGAGAGACGAGATCGAAAGTGGCCGCGTCATTCTCTGGCTCAACAATATTGAGAAGGATAAACGGTACGCCGAATATCCAACCAGTCTCATGTCGGTAAGTAGCTGTATGCTTTGTGAACAATGTCAATGCAAATACTAATTCTAGCAGCTTATGCAAAGAACGTATCCAGGTCAAATCCCGCCCATCAGAAAAGATCTTTTCAACCTGATCGTACCAGTTGACTTTACGGACCCTGATGACCTCTCGTTGGTCGTCGAGCAGCTAAGGGCTTTCATCACAAGGCTGTTGCCAATTCGATTCGGCCTAGTACCCTTGACATCTAGTCCTGAAGCCGAACAGCAAGCCAAAGTGGTCTATTATCTGATCGAAAACTATGGCCTCGCTTCACTTATGGTTTATTTGGAAGCATGCAACACTGGAAAGCAGGTGACCAAAGTGGATCAATCTAAGTTTGAAAAAGCTATCAAGGATCGGGCCCCCAGAGAGGAAGCTCAGCCTTTACCCTACGCAGAGATTTTCGATTCCGAATACTATGCTCAGCAGATTGAGCATGCCCAACATTGGGTCTCTCGTCTGAATGCCGGCACACCTGTTCCTCCCATCTTTCTCAATGGTCAAGCCATCTCCAGAGAAAAGAACTGGCTTCAGGAGATGAGCATCAAGCTCGGCCAAGATCTTCAGCTGATTCAGCAAGGTATCTACATGGGCCAGATTGATGAGGACATGTGGATTCCAAACATTTTCTTGGAAGGTGCACCTGCTCGTCGCAACGTATACATCTTTCCCAGCAAAGAGAATCAGCTTACCGTCCTGGATGTCAACAAGGTCTATACTGAGCATGATGACTTGTTCAGTATTGTGCCAGTCATTGAGGCTAGCCCAGACTCAAGCAAGGAGACGTGGGCAGCGCTCTCGGTTATTGCCGACTTGACCAGCGAGGCAGGATTGAAACTCCTCCTTTCTGCTCTGGACTTTCGCCGCAACAACCCAGGCGTGCGTCTAGATATTGTCCACAACCCACTAAACTCAGAGGATGGTGATAGGGTCAATACGGCCATCAAGGATAACATCGAGCAGCTCTTGGGAGCAGATACTTTGGAAACTCTTAGGTTGCTTGTGGCTCACGACGAAAGCAGGACCACGCTCGAGTCGTCCTTCGACATAGCCCTGTCACAATTCTTGGGTGCTGCAAACCTGCCACCTTCCACTCAGATATTGCTGCTCAACGGCCGAGTTATTGGTCCCATTGCTAATGATGTCGAATGGACTGAGGATGACTTCCAACAACTCATGGACTTCGAGCAGACAAGTCGCATTCTCCCTGTATACCAAGCGATTGAGGCTCTCAACCTGACAGAAAACGTCTCTGGGCCTCTTGCAGCAGCCAAATTGACCTCCATCACTGCTCTGTCCACTATCTCGGATCTCCCCGAGGGAATATTCGAATCTGCCCCAACATTAAGAACGACAATCTTTGATACTTGGGAGTCGGCCCAGACGATGATATCCGTAGGCGATGAGTCGACGGCCAGCATTCATTTTGTTGCGGTCCTGAATCCAGCAAGCGAACAAGGTCAGAAATGGGCTCCAATTCTCAAGGTTCTCTCTGAGCTCGACGGCGTGTACCTGCGAATTTTCCTCAACCCGAGAGAGAGAATAGATGAGCTCCCGGTAAAACGTTTCTACAGATATGTTCTTGGTTCGTCGCCCTCTTTCGATGCAGCAGGCAAGGTTCAGTCTCTTGGTGCTAGCTTCAAGGGCATTCCATCCGAGGCACTCCTGAATTTGGGCATGGACGTACAACCGGCCTGGCTTGTTGCCGCTAAAGACTCTATTCACGATCTCGACAATTTGAAGCTCGGCTCAATCAATACAGACGTCGAGGCCACCTATGAACTCGAGAATGTCTTGATTGAAGGTCACTCCCGAGACTCTACGGGAAGCCCTCCTCGAGGTGTTCAGCTCCAGCTGGGGACCGAGTCTGACCCACACTTTGCAGACACCATCATTATGGCCAACCTTGGATACTTCCAGTTCAAGGCAAACCCGGGTTATTATAACATTCAACTCAAGGAAGGACGCAGCTCAGACATCTTTACTATTATCAGCGTTGGTGCTCACGGCTACAATGCCGCCAGTGGTGACGAAGGTACCGAGGTTGTCCTTATGGACTTTCAAGGAACAACTCTCTACCCCCGCCTTGCACGACAGCCCGGACAGGAGCTGGAGGATGTTTTGGAGGAGAGTGGATCCAGCGGCAGCGACCTACTCTCCCGAGGTCTCAAATTTGCGGAGGGTATCCTTGGGGGCTCCAAGAGCAAGAGCAAGTCTGTATCCGATACCGAGCATGCCGAGATCAACATCTTCTCCGTCGCGAGTGGCCACCTCTATGAGCGCATGCTCAACATCATGATGGTATCCGTCATGAAGAACACCAAACACACCGTCAAATTTTGGTTTATCGAGCAATTTCTTTCGCCTTCGTTCAAGGAATTCATTCCACATCTTGCGAAAGAATACGGTTTCAAGTACGAGATGGTAACCTACAAGTGGCCACACTGGCTTCGCCAGCAGAAGGAGAAACAGCGCGAAATCTGGGGCTACAAGATTCTGTTCCTGGATGTTCTTTTCCCACTATCACTTGACAAGGTCATCTTTGTTGATGCCGACCAAATTGTACGCACCGATATGATTGACCTGGTCAACCTTGACCTGGAGGGCGCTCCCTATGGTTTCACTCCAATGTGCGACTCTCGTACAGAGATGGAAGGCTTCCGCTTCTGGAAGCAAGGATATTGGGCCAACTATCTGCGTGGCCTCCCTTACCATATCTCGGCGCTTTACGTGGTGGACCTTCGCCGATTCAGGGAGCTTGCTGCTGGTGACCGGCTGAGGCAGCAATACCACACACTCTCGGCTGATCCAGCCAGCTTGAGTAACTTGGACCAGGACCTGCCGAACCACATGCAGTTCCATATTCCCATTCACAGTCTGCCGCAAGAATGGCTTTGGTGCGAAACATGGTGCTCAGACGAGAGCCAAAAGGAGGCTCGTACAATTGATCTGTGCAACAACCCACAGACAAAGGAACCGAAGCTAGACAGAGCAAGAAGACAAGTACCTGAATGGACTGTCTATGATGATGAAATTGCAGCAGTGGCAAAGAGGGTCAAGACTCATGTTTTGACAGGAGACGAACAACAGAAGGTGCTTGGAGGCGACAAGGTAGAAGTTGAGAAGAACATCAAGAGCCGTCGCTTTGAGGAAGAGCCCGAGGTCAAGACTCGAGTTCTGGAAGACGATGGACATGTCAAGGACGAATTGTAGAGACGATTGTGAAGAACATAAGATTTAAACGAAGAATAGAGTACAATATTGGAGACGATAGCATCATAGTATTAGGCGCACAAGCTTTTCTCTTCGTCTTTGCGTTTGTTCATGGCCAGTGCAAAAAAAGCCCCAGTGCGCTGATTGCAAACGCGCCGAGCTTTGGCTGGAGCCTAAACAAGACCGTGAGCTTTGAAGCTATCCCGTCCATTCCGTTTGTTGAGAAATTACAAGCAGCTGTCCTCAGCGCCGGCACTTGTGCAACTACTTGCACCTGCCAAATCTTTTTTTTTTCTCCCCGGCGCCCACAGCTCACAGAACAACAAGGCGTCTCTTCTTGTCGTTCTCTCTCGATTCGGCGAGGATAATTTTCATTGCTCTCGCCCTCTACACCCGAACATGTGCATCACAAGCAAGCACATAAAGCCTGGCTTGTTCTCGCCAGCTACCTAGGTACCTACACCTCACTACTTCTAATCGCCATTCATCGCGGCTTCTCACCTGTTGGTGACTGCTTTTCGCCGTAGCTCAGCAAAGCAGTATTGTGAACTTTCAACACCACGATTCCTTAGAAGCTCTTTGACGCTGAGGACCCCGCGCGCACCAGTACACCATGGGCAAATCCAAGAAGGCGGGTTTCCGCGGTAAAAACAAGCATTCCAAGCGCCCGGGTAGACTTGCGGCCTTGGCCAAGAAGATAGAAGAGACAAAGGAGATGCAGAGAAGAATGCAGCCCTTCCGACTCTTGCCCTATCACAACATCCCCGGTCTCAACTTCAACGACCCGCGTCTCTTTACGAACCAGAGACAGGAAACTACTTGGTCAAAGCGAGACAAGGTTTTCAACAACGGCAGACTCATCATCTCTTTCCACTTCTTGGCCAGATTCACAGTCGCTGAGTAAAGACACACATTTCTCTCAGTGGTTAATACATTATTAACATATCAATAGTATTCATGTCCAAGAGCTGTTGAACCGAAGAGTCTCGGGTGTCCACCGTTTCTTGCAGGATTTCCGCGCTGGATCACTGGTCTCTCCAACATTTCAGATCTCAGAAGCCATGGCAATTGGATTGGCAAAGAATTGCCCCGCCCTGAAGCAGGTGAGCCAACGTTGATGAGGCTTTGACATGAACCTAGAGACAAGGCCGTTTATATTTCCCACCATGCTCCATCGTAACCTCAAGCTTACTCTCCTGGCATTTAATGACAGCTAGTACTAACACGAGTTTGAAAAATAGGTACGCCTACTCGGAGCTTGCGAACTCACAGACAAAGCTATTGCAGCTTTCCTTCAGTATTGCACTTGTATTGCCTTTCTTGAGATTTCTGGAACCGAGGACCAGTCTGGAAACATTCGCTGCCCCGGTGCTCTGCGTGCACTCGGAACCATGAAGGGTCGGCGTTTCTTTACGCTCAACCACCTCCGCAAACTAGTATTTTGCAACCAGTCAGACTTGGACATGTGAGTAGGCTCTATTCCTAGTATCGCTTCTCTTTGCGCATGCTTCACACCCTATCTTTGCGGTTTTGACAGTGAACCACCCTGCCTATACATGCTATTACCCTTTGCATAAATACTGTCAACAGAAGAAGCTGACATATCTTCAATGCTAGCGAGACTTCCAAGGCTCTTACAGAGAGATGCCCCGGCCTGGAACTTACATACGGAAACACTAGACCTGATCTTGGTGGTCTTCAGACTTTGCGTTTTGGTGACGTGGTGGCCATCGACCACATGACCGATGACGATCGAACTGGATACCTCCCCGACACCATGGAGTTTGAGGAGGTTAGCGCCCTCGTGGATGGCCCACGCAAGACCATCACCGATGAGATCAGCGGCCAGTTGGATCGAATGGTTCTGGACGACTGAGATTATTGACAAAGGTCACGAAGCGGGTATTGATTTAGAGTAGTATGCGATAGGCTCAGTCAAGTCTAGTGAATATCAGGACTGCACAAGGTTTTGCACCAAGAAAATACCGGATTCTAGCATTACCACCACCCATCGCCCTGATCATATGGGGTTCAATGGGTATAAACAACAAGGCTTTCAACTGTGATCTTCCAATTACCCGCAAAAGGCGACGGACCATGATTTATAGGAACCCGCTATGACCTACCAAGAGGTGCATAAGAATGAGAATAAAGTTAACCTGCTATGTCCCTCATGCTTGAAGATACATGGTGGTCAACCTCAGAAAGCCGCACCCAAGGTTGCCCCGATGTTCGGCTATTTCCGAATTCCCCGCTTACGGCCGAAACTTGCAATTGCCCGAATTCTTCTCCTATTGCTCATCGCCAACGACAGACCAGACTTGGGACACATCGGTCTGATTTTCTTTGATATTACTGACCAGATTGCACTGGAAGCTTGGTGTTATTCAGGTTAATAATTTGGCTCAGTTCGTTACGACCGAGTACTCCCTGGGGTACACGACTTGTGTCACAGACATCTTCTGCGGCCCTCAGCTAGCTCTCGGACATAGCAACGGGCCCAATGGAACAGCAGCCGAAGCGTCGTCGCAGACCGGCCCTGTCATGCATTCAGTGCCGGCGCCGCAAGATCAAATGTGATAGAACTGACCCCTGCAAGCACTGTGTCACTGCCCAGCACCATTGTACGTATGATGCCTATGGCGTTCGGCCGCTCCCTGCGCAGCAGCAGCGTCGCGGGCGTCAAAGTCTCCAGGCTCTAGCAGCAACCGCATCACAGTCCGATTCACCTGATCCTCTATTCCCAAATCTCCAGTCTGCAGTTCCAGCTTCTGCCGAGGCTGGGGATGGTGTATCGGTCGCGCAGGTTGGCACCGAAAATGGCAATGTCGTGGACGTTGCTAGGACCGATGACACTCGGCCGTTGCGTTCAAGCCGCGGGGACGACCCCTATCTCCGAGATCTCATTGAGCGAGTTGAGAGTTTGGAAAAAGCCTCATATCAGTTTTCTGGTCAAGTCGATCCTGGATCGGCGAATCATGTACTGGATTCGGGACTGCAGCGGTCCCATATCGTTCTCAACAAGACCAGGATCCTCAGCTCAAGTCACTGGAAGACTACCACGAGAGAGGTAGGCTACACTTTTGTATTTACTGTCATTTTTATTGCACGTCTTGCTGATTTGTCAATAAGCTTCAACCCGTACTCGAGTGTTATCGTCAAGCCGTCGACCCAGAGAGCAGAGCCTTGATAGAAAATACCGAAGTCCGAGGACTGGTGACCGAGATGGCCGACCTACTTCATGCCGGGAAGAACATTGCCAAGCGCATCAAATTGACGAGACCGAGTGGCAGCCTTGCCAACCCAGACTTTGGCCTAGTGAACCCGACTCGCGAGGTGGCAGACCAAATGACTGCCCTCTACTTTTCTTCATTCGAATCATCTCACAGGATACTACACGTGCCTAGCTTTTGGGCCGAGTACAACCGGTACTGGAGCATGCCCGAGAGTGTATCAACCCCAGTGCGATTAAAAGTTCTTCTTGTCGTTGCAATCGGATCGAGCCTCCACGCAGACAGGAACCCAGACGCAGAGCTTCGTATCTTGGTACACCAGTGGATTCATGCGGCCCAGACTTGGCTCTCGGGGCCTCTGAAAAAGGATCGACTTGATCTTCACGGGCTTCAGATCTATTGCCTCACAATACTGGCCCGGCAGATATTCTCAATCGGTGGGGACCTTGTATGGATGTCAATCGGCTCCCTCGTCCACAGAGCGATGCAAATTGGTTTGCACCGCGACCCGAAATACTTGCCGCCCATGTCCGTGTTGCAAGCCGAGTTGCGCAGGAGACTCTGGGCCACTATACTCGAAATGGGCGCCCAGGCTTCTTTAGATGCCGCCATGCCTCCTAGGATCTCTACCGATGAGTTCGATACCGAGCCCCCCTCCAATGTCAATGACGACGAACTGGGTGAGACCACAAAGCCACCGCGATCTCGCCCTCGCAGTATTTATACCAGTACTTCCATGCAACTACAGCTGCTCGACACTTTTCCAACGAGACTCAAAATCCTCAAACTTTTATATGGTCTACATTCGGAAATATCCTATCTTGAGGTTCTCAAGATGACTTTGGATATTCTCGACGCCTGTCGTACCTCTGACAAGTTCCTCCGAGACAACCAGGAACACGGCGTAACGATGTTTCACCGGAATCTAATGGACTTTCTTGTACGCCGCTTCCTTTTGGTCCTCCACTGCCATTTTGCCGTCCGCGGCCGTACCAACCCCTTGTTCCACTACTCGATCAAGGTGAGCATCGATGCCGCCATGGCGGTGGTTTATCCGGCCCCCGACGAAAAGTTTTCCCGTCTCTTTACTCTGGGCGGTGGCATGTTTCGAGAAGGCTTTCGCTGTGCTGGCAGTATTCTCAGCTACGAACTCTTGGCTCAGACCGAGGTCGCCTGCCGTGATGGGCCGCTACATCGTAATTTGCATAATACGGAGTTTCTTAGGAAGGCTTTGGAATATATGATGGAATTCTCGTCTGAGAAAATACGTGAGGGGGAAACCAACATTAAGAGTCCAAGTAAGTAGTCCTTTTTGTTGTTCAGTGCCTCTTCCAGATTACTTGAAGAGCCAGTATTGCCATTTGTCACTGCTTTGTGGGCAAACCGGGACCGGCACGCCGAGATAAATTCCGGGCAAAAGTCCAGCAATTGTTACTAATGCCAGAGTTTATAGTGTTAGGCCAGATTCTAGCTCAGGTCGAGGCAATGAACCTGGGTATTGAACCTGATCTTGGAATCGCAAAGAGCGGTCGAGATCACCTACGTAATTGCATCAATCTCTTGCAGGAAAGAATGGATGCAATCTCTGCGATACATCCTGAAAATATTGTCTTTACTCCAACGGAAATAGGAGACCAGGACAGTCTGGGTTTGGACTTTGACTTGGATTTTTTCTTGGGCGATGCGGACTATCAATAAAACCCCAAGTGAAGGGCACGGATATAACGGAAAGCATAGAGATTCAAGTCATAATTGTAAACCAAAACCTCGATGAAAACCATTGAAAGATTGATTGTACCGTTCTGCCATTGCTGCCTGCTAGTGATGTTGTGTTGGTTCTCCACAATTGTTATACATGCATCGTTCACCACCACCTAACACCATGCAGCTCTATTATTCACCTTCTCCTCGGCGCCATGGCATGAGCTTCATAATGCATGCATGAGTTGAGAAAATGACTATTTCCATGGAGCTAAAACACTGCTTTCCATGGTATACATATGCATTGTCTCCATAGTCGTTCCTAGCTGATTCCTGATTCCTAGAAATTGCTTCCTAATCTCTATAATTCGTGATCTCTATTTCCTAGTGGCTGATTCCCAATTCCCAATCCCCAATGTGGGTGTGTGATCAGCGACAGGTCCTTTTTCTCTTGTGACCTCATGGCATGCCAGCTATGCACAAGTATATGACCATGTCATAATTGCTGATTTTTGCCTACTCATGATGTATAATTCTTTATGATTCTATCTGTCGCATGTCAGATTGTGCATGCATATCTAAATGAGGCACTTTGACCAAAAAGTTGCACACTAGGCATACTGCGTCATGTGGTAGAGGTACAGAGTAGAAGAGGCCCCATCGTACAACAAAAGTGAAGCTGCGGCGGTGGAAGGGGTCAAGTTGCCGCCACAGAACCCCCGCAGCGGCAGTAGGTACGGAGCTTGTACACGTGTAGATGTCGAGCTTCAGCCAATTAGATTATCATATTTACAGGAATTCGTTCAGTCACGCCCAAAACGGCAAAGTCCACGGGTTGCACCGCCTGGCGATTCCTAGAAAACTTCCTAGAACTACTGCATACATAGTAGCCATTGCTCTTTCTTACATGTATATATTTGGGAAAGTTGGGTGTCATTTACTTCCCATGTTGTCAACTCAGAGCAAACTTCTCCCCTTATATTCTCCCCGTCCACGCTTGAAACATTGAGCCTATCATCCCTAAACTCCTAAGCACCATACATCGTTTTCACCAAGACCATGGAGTCCCCACCAATGTCTCCTGGGGACGACGGTTTTGACCCTGTTTCAAGACTCGATTCCATGATCAGGTTGCTGAACTCACTTTCCGAGCAACGCTTCGAATCACAAGCCACGGTCGATTCCTCCCGGACCCGCGATGGACGTGTGGCCTACGACGAAGGACAAGCGAGTCCTCGTTTGCACAGCACTGACTACTACCACCAACGCGTTCTCTGCAGTGACAAGGAATCAAGCCAGTGTCTTCACATACCTGGTGATCATTTCTGCAAAGTCCGGCCGGCTCTCTTTCGATACTGCAGAACTGGCGACACTGCTAGATTTGATCGTGCTTTGAGGATTTACTCGGAAACCCGGGGCCGCAGCATCTCCTTTGCCGATGATGATCTCTTAAACAGCGAGTTTGAAGGAAGAACGATGATGGGTCTAGCCGCAGAAGGTGGCCACCTCATCATCGTTGAAACCCTTTTAGCGCTCGGTGCCTGTCCAGACATTGAAGATGCCGAAGGTGACTTACCTATACACCTTGCATTGAGGCACTCTGAATGGGCAGTATTCGAAGCACTGCTCAGTCCTGAAACCAGCGGTGCACTCGACCACACGGCCTTGATCAATGCATCAACCATGGGACGTGCTGACTGTGTTCGCACGCTACTCACGAGCAAACGCAGACGTGTGTTTTCAGTCAACCAACAAGATTCCAATGGAACATCTGCGCTCTTGGCTGCAAGCATTCACGGCCGACACCAAGTGGCGAGAGTTCTCATCGACGCAGGTGCCCATGTGGATGACTGGTCTCCTGCAGGCACTGCGCTTACAGTTGCTGCAGCGAGACGTGATTTGGAAATGGTGTCGCTGCTTCTGGAAGCTGGAGCCGATATACATCTAGCTCTTCTCTGCATGAATCCCGATATAAACTCCGGTGCACAAAGACACTGCAGCCAGAAGAGAGCAGCCGAGGTGATTAAACAGTGCTGGAGAGATTGTATTTCGGCAAGAAGATTTCGAAAGCAACGGCTGCGCCGAGTCTTCATCAGCCAATATCGGTGCATGATGGATCATCAGAACACAAAGCAACTCATTCTTGACGGCTCGCTCTCAGAGTCAATCAGTGACCGAAGTTATGCCTGGTCCTTTGGAGTCAACACGTTAAAGGAGCTGCTGGCTGGTTCCTTGCCCACGTCCGCGACCCATATCCTATCAGCACTTCTTGTCGCTCTGTCGATTGCTTCATTCATGGATGATGACACATTTTGTCTCGATGACAACACTTCCCACTGGCAGAGTGTTGTCAATGAGGTACCAGAATGGACGCGACTCATGTCAGACGAGGCAACAAGGACGGCTTGTGAGGATCTCGCTGCAGATCTTTGGGGCTCCAAACCTAGATACTCAGTGGATGGTATCAATGGCTCGATCCCAGAAATTAACTTTTGGCCGAACCGCAGCAACCTCGATGTATACATAGATCGACTCACAGCTGAGTTAGAATTGGTCGAATCCTCGAAAGCAGGCGAGACCGGGTCATTATCGAGTACCCGCGAAACTATGCACACATTCATTCTTTCTCAAGAGGATCTGGCGCCCTCCTCCAGTCCATCAAGTATATTGACCGATACGGTCAACGAAGAAAGCTTCTCATCATTCGATGACTTCCTCTTGGACATAAACATGGATCCCTATTACGACACTCGTGGAGAGACCTTCAGTAACGCGAGCTGGGTCAACACACCGTCACACGAAGATCTGACCGCCGTCCATCCCCCCAAGCTTGCTTCCGGAGTAATTTGCGTCCTATTCATCCTCTTTCTCGGTAAGTGTGTGCCTATGTGCTGAAAGTTACATTATTACCTGATCATTTGGTGTGTCCTTTGGCTACAGTTACTTACCACGAAAATAGCATTGTTCTTCATGAATCCCGTCGGATTTAACGAGCTCAGCTGGTCTGCGCAATATAAAGCTTTGTGCAAACCGACAATGGACGCTGCTATTCATCACATGCAGTTGGAAGTGGCTGCGTCTCCGATACAGCCTATCAGTACTATTATACCGGAGGGTCATGACATCGCTTCCGCTGACATTGTCCTCGACAGGAGGCACATCTGGAACCTCGAGATACTATATGACAACATCAGCGTACTTGGTCATTTGCGCCCCATTGACAAGCATGTTCGCTCATTCTGTCAAAAGTGGAAAGATGGATACCTACTCCGACTAAAGCAACATGTGTGGAAATTCATCAATGAATCTCCTGAGCACGACTCAATCGAAACCTGGACCAGGTCGAGCTCTGAAGACACCTCTCACCATTCTACTGGCTTTGGCCATGAAACCTCAACTTCTCTGTCCACCCCTGAGCTTACGCTGTGTCACGCCATTGGACCTATGGAGCCATTGACTCCGAATGGGGCAGACATGGAAACGCGGTCACAGACTGGGTAAGGACTCCTAGGCTGCTAAGTGAACTTCTAACAAGTGGATGATCATTGCTGATCGAGTTTGCAGCTCACCAGGCTTCACGACCAAAAGTTCGCAACGTTTCTTTTGTCAGGAACATGGAAAGCAGTTCAAGACAAGGTCAAATTTCAATCGCCATCGGCGCGAACAGCACGCAGGTGCGGGTGCAAAGCGATTCAGATGCTCCAAATGTGGCAAGAAGTTCGCTCGGAAAGATAATTGCGACAAGCATGAGCGTGATACAAAATGGCATCGTTCATGGTAATTAGGTGGCATCAGCTCCTGGCACGTCGGGTAAGATGTATGATCACCAATGTACCAGGTTACTGAGATACTCGAGTGTTTTCATTGAGCTCGGTCAAATGAGTAATAGCCATGAAGATGATAGCAAGTCAACCCCCAAGAGAAGATAAGAGAGACTTGATAATTGAGCACTCGGACAAATTAGCGCCATGAGAACATTTGTGCTACATGCTGTGAATGCTACTGGCCAATATAACTGGCTGTTCAGCCAGGCAATTGGGAGGACAGACGGACCGGCCGCCACAGACATCTTATTGGAACTGTAGATTCAGCCTTGAATAGTCAGCAATCACAATGAGCTCCCTGTGCAATGGTCAATACACAATCACAGAGTCTCCTTTGGCATAGCTCCGCTTTTCCTTACTCGGTCGTAACCTTTGCTCGGCCGAAGACACTGGCTTACGAGAGGTCCAGTATACGGATATAAGCGGCCGAACCTTATAAATCAGCGAGGAGCGATTATGGATGGAGTCATAAGGGTCTGTCTTTGACCTTGTAAGGCCGGACAAATTTGTATTAAAGTGACAAGATGATTCTTATCAATTTGATTGTGAATTGCAAGGCATTTCAGTCCTCCTTCAAGTGTCATTAAGCAATCACAATTCAGTCCGGCATTTTGAGATATCAAATTCATCCGCCCTCAGATAACATGGAGTCCGAAATGCCAAAACTCAAAGTCCTCATCAGCGGAGGCGGCGTCGCCGGCACGGCCCTGGCCTTTTGGCTCTCCAAGCAAGGCCACGACGTGACCGTCGTGGAGCGGTTCCCGGCGCTGCGCACCACGGGCTTGCAGGTCGACCTCCGGGGGCACGGCGTCGAGGTCCTGAGGCGCATGGGCCTCGAGCAGGCGTACCGCGCTGCGTCGCCGCCCGAGCAAGGGCTCCAGGTCGTCGATACCCGCGGCTGGAGGCGCGCCTACTTCCCGGCCAACAGGACGGGCGAGGGCGCGCAGAGTTTCACGACGGATTGGGAGATTATGCGCGGGGACTTGTGCCGCATCATGTACGATGCCGCCAAGGACCGGACAAGATACATTTTTGGAACGTCGATCGACGGATTTGACCAGGAACAAGACGGGCCGGTCCATGTCCAGTCCTCAGACGGCCAAAAGGACACCTTTGATCTCGTCGTTGGTGCCGATGGGCAGGGATCCCGCTTCCGCAAGATGATGGTCGGTCCTGGCGGCGAGGATGGCCTGCGTCCGATTCCAGGGCAGCACATAGCATATTTCACCGTTGCTCGCCCCGTCCAGGATGGCGAGGAGTACATGGCTACGCAGTACATGGCGACGGGCCGACGCGGCATCATGACGCGGAGGTCGCATCCAGACAAGCTTCAAGTGTATATCGGCTGCACGTCCACTGCGGACGAGCTGAAGAATATCCGACGCGGCGATGTCCCGGCGGAGAAGGAAGCGATGGCACGAGTTTTCCACGGCGCGGGGTGGCGATCTGACGACCTTGTCAAGGATATGATGGCCGCGGAGGACTTCTACTGCGAGCGCATGGGCGTGGTCAAGCTGGACAAGTGGTACAAGGGCCGAACGGCGCTCGTCGGCGACGCGGCCTACTGTCCCTCGGCCAACACGGGCATGGGCACGACTTCGGCTCTGGTGGGCGCGTACATTCTGGCGGGCGAGATTGGCCGGCACTGCGGTATGCCGTCGCTACATGAGAGATCCGGATCCGACAGAAAAGGCTCTTCAGCCACGTCTGCAGTCACAGCGGCACTGGAGGCTTATGATTGCAAGTTACGACCGTTCATGGACCAGGTCCAGGAAGGAGTGCTTGAGAATAAAGCGGGCATGATGCTGCCGTCATCGTCCGTGGGCGTCGGTCTCGCCAATTTGTTCCTGGGTATTGCTTCATTATTGAGATTAAATATTTTCAGTTGGTTCTTGAAAGAAGAGGTAAAGGACTGGGATCTGCCCGACTACGATTACTAATGTTTGGTGTCTTTAGAGGCATGAGTCTTGATGGCCAAAAGTGTGTTTGGTTTCTGCTTGCCTAGATTCGCTGATTCGATACACTTTTTTGTGTTCAAAAGGTACACTGTATGATAGCGTAAACTTGAATAATTCGCATCTTTTGTATAATATAGACAGTTTACACTTTGCTCTGTTGCTCTGAAATCATGTCTCTAGGCGCGACTTGTGACTCACTTGCGAGGCAGTGATATTTGCTCTTTGAACGCAGATACGGGCCATAGCGATAAAACACCCACGGCATTGGAGTCAAGGCCAAGGCAACAAACCCCAACACACTAACCGCCCAGGCCGTGCCCAAACCACTATACATGACGTCTGCGAGTACGGCAAAGCTGCCGCCAAAGACACAGCGAAGCAGGGAATTTGCTGCAAGAGCGCTGGCACTATAGCGCTCGTAGCAGTCCGTGAGATAGGCATTTATACCGAGAAAGAGAAACACGAGTCCAAAGCCAAAGGGTACACCGGCCAGGATGGGGATGATCCAGTGAGCGGGCGGCTCCGCTGTCCAGGCAAAGATGAAGAGACTAATGGGCATGAGCCATGCTATAGGTATCAAGTGCGGCAATCGAGCTTCGGGCACAGGACCGAGGCGCTTGACATAGCGCAATCGTATCTGATTGAGGCGAGTCGATAGTATCGTCGCCAGAATCATGCCGGCGGTGATTCCCAGAAAGGATAATCCGGATATGGAGAGTGACCATCCGCGCGACTTTTGAAAGACTACTGGGTAAGCGGTAAACTTGAGAAAGAGCACGCCATAAATGAAGGACATGTAAAGAGACAAGAAGAAGAGGATCGGCTCCCGGAAGAACATGAGCCACGGCCGGGCGAGACTCTGTCGAAACTCCTTGGTCCACTCCTTTTGGGACCGCTTTGCAGCCTGATAGCCTTTACGCTTGGTGGGATAGGTCTCGGGCACAAATACCACCAGCAAGACAAGCAGCACACAGCACAGAATGAACATGAGCCAGAAATTCCATCGCCAGCCGGCGTACTGGGTGAGAAAACCGCCGATAAGCGGCGCGATCACGGGTCCGCAAAAGCATGCTGCCGTAAACAAGGCAAACGGTACGGAGCGCTCTTCGGGAGCCCAGAGGTCAGCCAGAGAGCCTCCAGAGTTGGCGACACTGGGGGCTCCAAAGAGGCCGTTGAAGAAGCGAAACACGAGTAGTGCTGATATGTTGGGCGTCAGAGCCGAAGCCAAGTTTGTAAGAGTGAATAATGAGAATGTTGAATAATAAACTGGATTACGCCCGCTATATCATATTATTATGTCAGTCATTTCACCTTCATATCCGAAACGTTGGTGCACTAACAAGAACTCTGAAAGAGGCGCGAAAAAGAAGTAGCCTCCCACAGACCCGACGAAATAAGTGGTGGCACTCAGCGCAGCGACAATTCGGGTTGTGTGCAGCTCAGCGGCGATGGCTGTCAATGCCGGTGTCTGCACACTACAGCTGAATGAAGTCATCATTGGTAGCGAAACGGTGATGCATGTGTAAAGCCCTAAGCGTTGGAGCGTCAGTGATGCATTTTGCAATAGTCCAAATGGTCCAAACTGCTCACATTTTTGCCTTTGCGACCAGATGGCTGGAGGCTCAACGAGAGACTCTTGAGATATTCTTCCCACAGCTTCGGTGGTCGGTGGCATTATACCGACCGTCTCTAGTTCCCGAGGGACAATTGTTTTCTCAATGGTTGTTGACATTTCAAAGCAGCATCAATTGAAAATGGAGTGCGGCAAGTCATCAAACAGGTCAGATCAAGTGCAGTGATGTCTCGCATCTGTCCTTGTACGAAGAGATACAATCATTCACTTGCCATTGTCACTAGAACAGCCTCATATATTATATATACTTGCGTAGTACATAGCTGCAACTGCATTGTAAAATCAGGTTGATTATCAAACATTGGGGATACTTATTCCCGCCTCGACAAAGATGAAAAGGGCCGGGCCGAATGTAATGCACAGGCAGAGAACATAACGATAAATTATTCGCACGCAATGGGAGTTGCAGGAGATCTGCGTCCCTCGACACCATTCCTAGATGCCTCCCTTCGCCGGGAATAACAAGAGGCGCAGGCGAGCCGCAGAAGGGCGTCCAATCAATTTAAGCTGCTTAGGCAGGGGGCAATGCCGCCATTAAACTTGCATCTTTTCTTTTACGTACTCAGGCTCGCCAAATTCTAAGATTCACCGTTGGCTATTGGGTGACGTCAAAAGGCAGCCAATGATATGATCTTCTCCGGCCAATGTGCGGACTTACAATAGTAGAAGTACGTTAGTAATCCAGGCGAAAATATGTCCCTACCAGCAGCCAGCAAATGACTACCATTATTTTCGCAACGCTCGTTTCTGGTTATTACGATGCGAGGCTTAGAGTTCTACTTTGTTCCGGAGTAGATCAAGCTGCTGTGCCGAATGATTCTGACGGTTGAGAAAACCCATTATTTGAAATTGTTGACTGACTGACTTTAAATGAGAGTTTTGGGTCCATTCAAGGTCTTGACTTGTGAATTTGTCGCACTATCGTCACGATAGAAATCACCGTCTGATTCAGGAGTCAAGTTTGTAAACGAAACTTTGACCTATTGTCGAGATTCGCACCCTCCGTGGTCTCGAGACCCTTATACCTACTTCAGGGCCTCGGCGAACTCCATATGCAAATTGCTTGAGAGAGAAAGAATCCTCCACAACACGCATTTTGACTAAGCGGGTTGAATCAAACATACAAAAATATACTCCCCACAGCTAAGACGGGTCGTGAACAAGGATGCAATCTCGAGGCTCTGCATAATCCTGCAATTTCGAGTCTTGGCTGAAATCTCGGCCGGGTATCACACGGTACAACGTACATCGTAGTCACCAATTCTGGAGCCTTGCATTGTCCCGATTGGACCCTGCCCAGTCAAGTCTTCTAGAACTTGAGAATTGAATGGGGTCTTTACTTGCCTGGACCGATTTGGGAGAGTTGAAACCAAATGGAATGCCTGTAAGCGCGTAGATCGCAACCCACGTGTGGTCGTCCAAAGATCCATCTGAAGTGCATGCTTCATCCCCGACAAATTTCCTCCAATGTGACGGTAAAGATCAGCTTCGTATCTGCACGATTCCGGGATGGTGGACTTCAGAGTAATTGAGTAATGATTCAGATACACACAAGATTCCTGCATAAACAACTGTTGAGTGACTGACTTGGAGTCATTCTCTACTCTAAATAGCGACTGGTGTCACTCCTCAAGTAGAAACTGCCAAGTATACTTGGTAACCATATCTACTACACATCTAACAAGGCGGAAGATAGATGAATTTGATCGGTCGGAGGAATCAACATTCCGCAGATTTCATTCCAGATGCTTGTGGAGCCTTACAAGGAAATACATCATACGTATTCGAGTACAGGTTCTTTCTGGCTAGGCCCAAGATGAGTTATCCTTGTTTGGATGTGGTTCGTTCCTTTTCCTGACAACTGCGAGACTTGCCAAGAAATCGCGGTAATCAAATGACGCGTGTCCGGTTGTCGGTCAGTCGGGATCATTTGTTTGGCAGCATACAGTGATTTGACGATTATAGAAATGGATGCGACAGTGTTCTTTGCACAATCGACGCCTGTAAAACGATGCAAGAATATCTCTTAAGCACATGTTGATTTTAACACATCTTCACCAAAATCTCAGGATACTGCATGTCGCAATCACGATTATAGTCGCTAGAGGTAGCAGATACGCTAGGAGCCAGTCGAAGCTAGTACTATATTTTTGACATGTAGTGGTGCGCCCAGGCCCAAAAAAAAAAAAAAAAAAAAAAAAAAGACAAGTGAATTCCTTTTTGAGTTTCAGGCCGTACAGTCTTTCCAGTACAACGTCTGGAGTAAAAAAGATGGACATACATCAGGATATGTTCGGATTTTGGTGGGCAGTCCCAGGCCGACAGCAAGGTGCTGCCCATTCGGATATAACAAGCCACGACAGATCTGCGCGGACCCATGTTCAGCCTCTGGGCTCGGCGATTGATCAAGCCCCTCGGCGCTCTCGCTCTTTTCTTGCTGGTGAATGACCTGGGGGAGGACCCGGAGTTAGGCCTGATGACGACGCACCACAATATAACTGTTGAGGCCGTTGGAAGCCAAGAAAGCTGCCAAGACTGCAGCGCCCTAGAGCCCCCTAGAGCCGCCGCTGGACGCCTCTAGGTAGGGCCCGGATTTTCGCGGACTTACTGGCTTGGCAGAGCCTCAGTTGAATTAAACACTGGGGGAGCCCCTAGAAAGATCCCCCAGGAGCCCCATTTATTGCCAATTATGGCCATGATTCGATGACCTGTAGACGCCCTGCCCCATCCCGTTTCATCTAAACTTCGGCTGTTCTATTTAGTTTCCGTTGGTCTGTGTGTTGAATGTGTGGGTTGGGTACGGTCGAGACTCGACAACTCATGACTGCACCATTGTTGATAATTGGCAATTGATTTTTTTGAGCTTCGTTCAATCAACATGTACAGGAGCCGGGTACGTTGGACTACTAGTCATGGTGTGATTACTCGCCAGACAAGCACAGAGATAGGTTTGCAGTTTTGAGGATTGTTCAAGTCACTCGAATTCAACTTTTACAGGACTATACATCAATCGATCGTATCGGGGATGACCCGTTCAAGGCACGATACATATCGGGCTGTAAAAGAAATGGCAAAGGCTCTGCACCCCTGAGGCCAGGCAACCAGGGTCCGGAATCCAGAAACACGGAAGCCTTTCCCAGGGATCGAGTTTGGTTCTGTGGATTGGGATGTTCCGATGATATGCCCAGCCTTTCCACCAGTCCACCTACATCCTATCCATCCCATCGTCCCCATGGTGCTCCCCTGTCGAGACCAATCAAGACCGAACCTGGAGTGCAAACAATCGTCCAATTTGCCTCAAACAAGAGAGTGGTGATCGGTATCTTCCTGAGGATCCATAGTGACGAGCATGGTCAGTTGTCGAATCATGATAACCATGTCTTCTCACATAGCAGATGCATCTCATTCTCGTATACTTAAGAGAACGACTTCCTTCCTTCAATGGCATCAATCTTTTCTCTTCAGTTCAGCACCACACAGACTCTTTCATTACCAGCTTCTTCACATTCTTTCATTAAGCTGTGCTTAATCATTCTTTCAACACGCTCCAAGCAGGCTTAGAACATTCACTTTCCTCTTCGAAAACCACCCATCTTTCACCAACAACCAATCATCCACCAACAATTTCAAAATGCAGTACCGTATTGTCTTCGGAGTTGCCGCCACCATGGCCGTTGGCGCCTCGGCTATGCCCAGCAGACCTCTTGTCACCGCGAGCCCTTCGCCCGAAGAGCGCAGAGCCGCCATGAAGCGTGACTCCCTACCTGCTTCCTCAGGTTCGTCTGCCCTGAGCACTGTCTACACTATCGCTGCTGGCGAGAGCTTCGACGGTGGCATGGTCATGTACGACCGTGGTGTCGACTGCGAGGGCCAGAGCGAGGGTGGCGACTCGGACGCCGTCTTCCAGATCGAGAACGGTGGCTCCCTGTCCAACGTCATCATTGGACCCAACCAGATGGAGGGTGTCCACTGTCAGGGTGCTTGTACCCTGACCAACGTCTGGTGGTCTGCCGTCTGTGAGGATGCCTTTACCATCAAGAACCAGGACGCCGGCGAGACCACCACCATCTCTGGCGGAGGTGCCTTTGGCGCCGACGACAAGGTCCTTCAGCACAACGGTGGCGGTACCCTCAGCGTCAGTGACTTCACCGTTGATACCTTTGGTAAGCTGTACCGCAGCTGTGGCAACTGCGACACCATGTACGAGCGTCACGTCATCATGGACGGCATCACCGCCACCGACGGTAGCGAGCTCGCTGGTATCAACTACAACTACGGTGACTCGGCCACCTTTACCAACATTGTTGTCTCTGGCGTCGATGACATTTGCGTCACCTACACCGGCACCGACGACAACGACGAGGAGCCTTCCGAGTACGGCTCCGGCGCTGACGGCACCTACTGCATCTACTCCGACTCGGACATCTCGGGCGACACGTACGAGTCCGGCTCCGCCGCCGCCAGCACTGGCGCCTCCAAGACGAGCGCCACCGCCTCTTCTGCTACCAGCTCGTCCAAGGCCACCACGACCAGCAGCGGCAGCAAGTCCACCTCCACTGCCAAGTCTACCAAGACCACGAGCTCCAAGTCCTCCAAGACTTCCAGCTCTAGTGAGTCCACCAAGACCTCGGACTCGGACGATGACTCTGACGATGACGAGGATGACTCCGACTCCAAGTCTTCCAAGAAGGAGGACAGCCGCTCCAACGCCTTCAGCTGGTTCCGCTGGTAAATGGATTTCCAAGACGCATCAAGTGCTGATGCTTGTTGGTGAAAAACACCCGCATAAAAACCCAACCCAAACACTTCTACTTCTCATACTCTTTTTTCATTTTCCATCTTGTATATATGATTTGGTCTGTGCTGTACATTAGACATAGTTGGCTCTTGGGACTGGAGGATTAGCTTAGGCGTTCTAACAACGGTCAATCGAGATCTCTTCCAGCTTGCACCTTGTTCTCTCCAGTGTGATTGAGGAAAATGAATGAGTGACCAAGATGCAAATACTGACAATGTTTCCGAGGACAACATGATCTGATGGAAATTTGGCTGTCAACTGTCGTCATGTAATATTTTCGGGCCGTTGAGCATGCAGCATGTGATGGCCGCAGCGGGTAATAGAGCAAAGATCATCGTCGGGACCCGCTCATTGTGAGCTGGGGAAATCTTGGGGTTCTTGGGGTATTATAGCTGGGGTAATATATCCCCTGATCCCCCGCGCCAGACAATTGATGGACGCAACTTTGGTAGAACTTCCTCTTCCTGACTGGCTGCTCCACAATCGGTCCGCGTTGCAAATAGACTATTCGGCCCATGAGTGTCGGAGTCGGAGTTGCGCATGACGATCTGCTTGGTTCCTGGCAGGTGGACAACTATGAAGAGCGATTGAAGCTTTCACGACCACGTTTGTCAGATCAAGTCATCGGACGATTCCATAAAGGATACCTTTAGGTAAATGCAGGCAATTGAAATGGATTATGGTGCCAATCTGAGAATACAGGCCGAAGGGAGTGTGTACAGCTTCCGAAATACATATATGACGCTCTTCACCCTCATGCACAATGTTTTCCCCAACACCATCTTCTGTCATTACAGTGCAGTTGGAGGGGTGCCAAACTGTGCAGTATACGTACTCAAATTTGATCCTCTGTTTTCTTCATTATGGTCTCAGCCATGATCAAGATCGCAACCACCGTGGCGGCGTTCACTGCCGTCACAGTAGCCCGGCCGTCAATCCGTCAGACGTCCACGGTTGATGCATTTATCGACACTGAACGACCCATTGCTCTGCAGGGCATACTGAACAACATTGGACCAGACGGTGCCAAGGTCGAGGGCGCATCGGCTGGAATCGTCGTTGCAAGCCCATCCACGGTTGACCCGGACTGTTAGATGCCACTTATACATCACCTCAATTTTACATCATGTGAAACTAACATTTAATTACAGACTTTTATACCTGGACTCGGGACTCGGCATTGACGCTCAAGACCATAATTGATGAGTTCATCTTCTCTGGGGACACGACTCTTCAGACTGTCATCGACAATTACGTCCAGGCGCAGGCTTTCCTACAGACGGTCGACAATCCGTCTGGCAGTTTGTCTGATGGATCAGGCCTTGCCGAGCCCAAGTTCTACAGCAACGAGACCCAGTTTACCGATGCTTGGGGAAGACCTCAGCGTGATGGCCCTGCCCTCCGCGCTATTGCGTTGATTGCGTATAGCAATTGGCTGGTCGACAATGGCCAACAGGATACAGCCACGAGTGATGTGTGGCCCATCATTTCCAACGATTTGTCCTATGTTGGACAGTACTGGTAGGACATGGATTACTACCCCGGCATGGTCATCTCTTTAAGCTAACCTCCACATCAGGAACCAGACCACCTTTGATCTATGGGAGGAGGTCCAGGGCTCGAGTTTCTTTACGACGCAAAACCAGTACCGCTCTCTGATCGAGGGCAGCGCTCTGGCCACAACCTTGGGCGTCACTTGTACCGGCTGTGACCAGGCCCCTCAGATCCTTTGTTTCCTCCAGAGCTACTGGAATGGCGAGTTCCTGACCGCCAACATCAACGTGAACAATGGCCGTAGCGGCCATGACGCCAACACGTTTCTCGGTTCGATTGCCATCTTTGACGTGGACGCGTCCTGCTCGAGCTCCACGTTCCAGCCCTGCAGCAGCAAGTCTCTGTCCAGTTTCAAGGCCTACATTGACTCGTTCTCGGGAGTCTACTCCATCAATGATGGCGTTGCTGCTGGAACGGGCATCGCGATTGGGCGGTACCCAGAGGATACCTATCAGGGCGGCAATCCATGGTGAGTTAAATGACAACTTTAAGCATCTTCTCCCTTGACTTGATCCCCCGAAAAGACTAACGCGTGCCTTGCACAAGGTATCTGATTACCGCCGGAGCAGCAGAGTTCCTCTACGACGCCGTGGCACAATGGACAGCACAGCAGACCCTGACCATTGACGACACCTCCCTCTCCTTCTTCACAACCATTTACTCATCGGCAACCGCAGGCACATACGCCGCATCAGATGCGGCATTCACCGACATCCTGTCCGCCGTGACGGCGTACGCCGACTCCTTTGTGGCCGTGGTGCAGCAGTACACGCCCTCGGACGGATCCCTGGCCGAGCAGTTCGGCCGCGACCAGCCGGCAAGCCCGCTGTCGGCCACGGATCTGACCTGGAGCTACGCCGCCTTTGTCACCATGGCCCAGCGCCGCGCGGGTCAGTACCCGGCCGGCTGGGAGGGCGCCTCCCCCGCCGAGGTCCCGGATACATGTTCGTCATCGTCTACGCCCGGTACCTATGCGCCTGCTCCGATTGCGTCGGCGGCCGCTTGAGAGTGTAGAACGGGGCGGGATGGGTTGGGAGAGTTGGGCTGAGATGCGTGTAACTGGTTTTCTTCGTGATCTAGATGTATCACCCACCTACATTTGATTGTCTGTTTCTGTAGCAGGGCGGTTGCGGAACTAGAAGTTGCCTGGGTGCGCAAATATAGTATAAACATGGTTCATCTTTCGCTGTCTTATCTCTCCGAGCAGATGATTGTCAAACTTTGGCCGGGGTTCATTATCTTGGCATAATATTGCATTGTTCTCGATGGTTAGGTGATGTTTTCTAAGCTGACAAAGTCGGATCCAAATAATCACACTCAAGGATTTAATCAAAATTAAGCCTTCCAAATCTGGGATCGCGACACATGGCCCTGGCAGCGACTTTGTGCTTTCGATTGCTGTCTATGGTCTGTGATATGCCTGAGCTTCTGCGAGTCTAATAAACGAACTGGTCACAGGCGGCCGACTTGACAATGATACTTGCTGGGGTAATATAATTACGCTGACACGTCGACCAATGAATCTAGCTTTGACATTTTCAGTTCGCATTGACACAGTCTGTGTTCATTCCGGGGTTTCGGGAAATGATAGGGAATAAATTTAGAAGCAAAGCACTTGATTGGAGAAGAAATCATTCTCAACAAAAGGCAGAATCAAGAAGGGGTATTCCAGCTGGCAATGATCCACAGCTTCTATCGAGACGACGATCTTCGGCCGCATAATGGTAGATCGGTACTCTATGTGTCAAACAGAACCACTACAAGTGTGGGCCGAGTGGTCTTGGCGCCCATAAAGGCCGGACCCGTCTGAAAGGTTCACGATGTGTGACACCATGAAAAAGATATAAGGTTTGCTGTTTGGGGTATATAAACTCTATAACAAAACATGATGCCAATGTTTTATTTCCTTCCCTCCCTTCTCTTTTTTAGACAATAACAGCTGTTATAGCCCCTTTTTGAAGCTTGTCTTGTGCATCCCCATACCCGAAGGATGCGTTGAGGCATAGTCCCTTGACTCTCTTCTATAGCCAAGACGCGCTAGCGGGTGCGTCAGCCATAATGTTGAACTAGAAACTAAAAATAGTGTCAATTATAGATCTGACACCCAAGCTCGGCCATTAGCCCATTGGTAGGCTTTGGTGTTGCACACGATTGCAAGGAACCCTAAGGCTAGGAAAGGGGAGATTAGCTGCAGTATGTCCCTAGCTAGGTAGATGCCTTGCCCTTGCGCATTTTGTTCTTGACACGGGTATGCTCATTGTAAATGCACAGAAGATCAGACGTCTTCTCTTCCTCCTCCTTCCAAGCCTCAATGGGCAAAGAAGGAAAACGCTCGGGACCGGAATTGGCGGTGACAAGGCAAAACAACCAGTTACCCATGTCACTGGTAGATTGAGGCTCCGTCTGACTCTGGGTCGGACCCAAGCAGACGGAAATGGTAGCCAGTTTCTTTTCCTTTATATCTTGTACACCTAGCATGATTTTGTTGCGGTACATATTAGGTAGTACTGATCAAGTCCCAAGTTCTTGGAGATTTGACGTTTCGCAGTGGACGGAACATCTGCCATTGAGTCAGCTGCTTTCTCTTTGACTGAGTGAGATGGAAACTCAAAACAGCAAATCAGCCTCACCCTTTCAAGAACTATCAGAACATGGCCTTGAAATTTGTTTCATGGGAGGAGAACTTAGCCCCCCATGTCTGATTTTTGTCAGTGGGCGGACCATGGCAGTGGGTGGCGCTAAGTGGCCCCCCTAACGATCCTACGGGCCATAGCACCATTCAGCACAGCCCAACGCTAGGTTGGTACGTTAGGTTAGGAATAGAGGAGCAAACAGACGGTCGTTGCATGGAGAGAGAGAGAATTGGGAGAAGAGAAAAAGATCATATATCTCGAGAAGTTTCTGTCTGAGTGTTTCTCTCTCTCTCTTTTTCCCCCCTTCTTGGTTCATTCATGCATTCTATTTCTAATCAATATTCGCGAGTCTTGCGGTGGGAGTTTCATCGTATGCCTCCCTGAGACTTACTTGTACCAGAGCGATCCAAAGAACTATAAACGAAACGAGAATTTGTGCCTATATACATACTCAGCAAGCGATACTGTTTTTCTCCTTTTTTCCTCAGAAGATATCAGCCACAATGGGCTACAGTACACCGACCAGCGAAGGCTTATGGCGCAAACGTCAACTTTTGCCATATTGGATAATACAAGGATTATGTTGTGGTGTATTGGGCGTCATCTCTTGCTTGATGATTGGTTCCAGCACGGTATATCTCGTAGCAGGCCGAGGCGACGATAATGTGAGCTGGTTCGGATATCCAGTCAATGATTTAGCAAGAGTTGCTGTGTAAGTCTCCCCAATCCCATTCCCTGCTCGTCGAAAATCACACGTCCGAAATGTGCGAAACGGTTCAACTAACACATACACAATAGTGCAATCGGCACTGTATTGCTCGTCTTTTGCATTCTCACATTAGCGCTCGGCGCAACCGAGGCCATATTATACAAAGCCAGTCGACTTAGGCCAGCACTGCTGCTAGCCTTTGCCTGCATCAAGACGACCGTCTGGCTAGTATTCTTCTTTTTCGTAGTCGTCTCGGCGGCACACGGAGCCCTGAGCCCGCTCAACCTGATCCTCGCCATCATGCTCGCCGTGACGAGTATAGGCCAACTCGTCCTGGGGGCGATTTATACCCACAAGCTGCAAAAGTCAATACACGACCGAGGAAGATACGCCGATCTCGACCCCGAGGGCGGCAAGACGCAGAACATGGCCACCCTCCCGCGGTCCAATACCTGGCGCAAGTCGATCCCCACCATCACCATAACATCGCGGCAATGGTCGCCGCGGAGCAGTATAGAAGAGGAAGAGGAGGATATTACCACCGACTATGAGAGCTACCGGAACTCTTTGCTGCAGGCCGAGAATATGCGAAATGGGGGCGCCCAAGAGCTCGCGGCACCGGAGAATAGTCATGCACGGAGCGTCGCTGCTGGCATTGAAGAGACACGGACCATTGCCTCGTCCAACTACGAGGCTTCCATGTTGGGCGCCGTGAGCCCGCCCACAAGTCCGGGTTTGCCTACGACGCTGTCGCCTCCGCCGGTCCAGAAGTGTTACTCGCCCGCCAGCAATATGTATGAGTTTGACCAGGCGGACTTGTCGATTACGGGATTCTATGGTTCCGGGTATGAAGGAAATACCAAAACGTGGTAGACTTTAAAGAAGTAAACAAGAAAATTGAATAAGCGTTGCTTTTATCTAATGTCATGTTGGGCCACTTGCATTGGATTGATGCTGGTGAAACCTTGTATGTCCGCACTGCCCCGTCTTGCACATGGGCATTAATATGCAATTCTTGAGCCACCACTTTGAGCTGCACGCCATGAGCTGAATCAATTTTCCCCGTGTATCAGTAAAGGATTCAAGCATGGATAAAACTCGCCTCAAATTGTTGTTCAAGCTCGGCGCGCACAGCTTTTGACAGCGGAGAAAGTGGAGTGACGGCCGGAGTGGCCCGGACTGCTGCTCCGGACCCGCATCCGGGTACAGCTTCATGCAGCTTAGAGTAAAGGTGAAGTGCATACTCCGTGTGTCTTGTGTTGAATGCATAAACTCAATCAACTGAATTTATTCTTGTCTCATCATCTTGTGGCCTCTTGCCGAACCTTCGGGCTTGCATTTCTTAATTTGCAGTCTCCAACAAATTTCGCGTAGCAACGGAGCTACGTCATCCGTCTTTTTACGTCATTCTTACCGTGGGTGACAGCGGGGGACTTGGAGGTAACGAGATAAATAACAGCGGACTGCTTCTTATCGTTTACAATCTGTTCCAGCCAATCACTATAACCAATTGGCCTCGAAATCTATCGCCGCTATTCTTGAAACTTGCGACTAGGCATACGTCCCTCTAATGACAGGATCCGGTGCCGAGCAAGACCGCTTCGGCGGCTGGTTCGGAGGCAATAAAGCCGACCAGGTAAAGGACGCCGCACAACAGCATCTACCAAAGACATCCGGGGCTGAACAGGACAGACTTGGTGGCTGGTTCAGCGGAGACAAGGCCGACAAGGTTCAGTCGGCACTACACGAGCACTTGCCAAAGACCTCAGGCGCGGAGCAGGATCGCTATGGAGGGTACTTTGGTGGAGGTCAGGCCCGAGAGGCTAAAGAATATATACAACAACATTTGCCACAAACCTCTGGTGCTGAGCAAGACAGATACGCCCACTGGCTGGGCGAAGGTCAAGCGACACAGCTCAAAGATGCTGTGAAGGAGCATCTTCCCAAGACTTCTGGTGCCGAACAAGACCGTTACGGTGGTTGGTTTGGTAGCGGACAAGCTGATCAGGCCAAGGAAACCTTCCAGAGACATATTCCAAAGACATCCGGAGCCGAGCAGGATCGATATGGAGGGTGGTTCGGCGGGGACAAACTGCCGTCACGGGCCGAAGTGGAGAGAAATCTACCCACGGGCTCTGGTGCAGAACAAGATCGCTTCGGCGGATGGTTTGGCGGCCACAAAGGCCCATCGGCTCAGCAAATCCGTGATAAACTACCTCACGCCTCTGGCGCCGAACAAGATCGCTTCGGATCTCATTTCCATGTCGGCAATGGCCACTACCTCGGTACCACCACCGTTGGTCTCCTGCAGGCTACTGTGCTCCCATCGTTTGGTCTTCACACCGGTTTGGGAGCTATCGCTTACGGTATCGGACGCTACACGGACAGGGCTGAGGCCAAAGATTGGCTCTGGCCTAGCGGTCAAGTTGCGAATGCTTGGTGGTCTGCTATAGGTGTCCCCGTGGTTTATGGTGGTTTGTCCGTGTCTGCCGCATGGGCCGCCTTGAGCTATGATCAAAAGCTTTTGCTTACTGGCGTCAGCGCTTGGGGTGTACGTCTCTTCTATCGCATTGTCTCGCGCAGTCTGAGACGCGGCGAGGACGACGCTCGTTACGTGACGGTCAAGAAAGAGGACCCTGGCTTCTGGAACAAGGCCATCTACACCTTGTTCCTACCTGAAGCTGTCGTACAGACCTTGATTTCGCTACCTTTTGTTCTTCCATTCCGCGCGCCCGTGTCCAGCTCTCAGTCATCATTGAGTCTTGGCCCGTCGGCCATTTCTCACAGTCTGGCTGTGTTCCTCTTTGCGCTCGGCTACTCTGCGGAGATCCTCGCAGACTGGCAGCTGGAAAGTCACGTTCAGACCACGGATAGCACGACTTTGAACCGCTCTGGCGTTTGGAGCGTTGTCCGCCACCCCAAGTAAGCATACCACTGTCCTTCTTTGTAGCACACGACTAATGATTAAATAGCTACCTCGGTGATGCTCTCTGTCACTTCTCTTTCTCTGTCCTGGCGGCTAGTGCTGGACTTCTTCACCCGCTCGCTGCCCTCGGTCCGGTCATCAACTATGCCTTCCTGCGCAACATTGGCGGCGACAAGCAGAACGAGGAATATCAGGAGGCTCGCTACGCTAAAGAGAACCCGGCCAAGTACCAGCAACTGCAGGACTATAAGCGGACCAAGAACAGCTTTTGGCCCCGCGTAGAGGAATTCGGCAATAAGTGGCTTTGGGCTGTCGTCGGTGCGGGAGCCGCTGGTGTGGTGCTCGAGCAGTCATTCGCCAACGCCTTCGCACGGTAAAACCCAGAAAGTCAAAATCAGACCATTCAATTCCATCAATAATGTAAATTTTGCCTGCAGAAGCTTGTGTGTTCTCGATTGGAGGCACGTGAAAATGGTTATAATATCACAAGCAGGCTTCTCGTCCAATCAAAAAGTGATTACTGAAATTACCTGGAAGATCATGTCCCATTCTCAGCCCTATCAGAAATTTGTCTCGGTATTTTCGTATTTTCGCGTGGATTGAACCGCGATCTTCATATTGCTTGTGGCTGAGCCCTTGGCAAGCCTCTGCTTCCCCGATGCATGTTGCGAAAGCTCTTGGCCGCTGACTAGGTACTACGTACGACTGCGTGTGTTCTTTGCCAACTGCCGCTCGGGATACTTTATCAAGACGGAGTTTCTCTCAGGGGACATGCTGAGAACGTGAACAAGGGGGTTGTTGGTACTACTGTACCACATGTAGCACGGCAGAACTGACAATTGCAAGGTTATGCACGCCAAGACGTGGGTACCTACTTTGTCGATGAGGTTCTGCCCAAGCTTGAGTAACGACGAACTGCGTTCGCGCGGACATGGCGAGCATGGCACCTGGGATTGAAGATCATGGGCCCATCACGAATCGGTGGGCCTAATATCGGGACAATTCGTCGAGTGACATCGCACCCAAGAACGATGGGCACAGTGAAAACGGATTGGCCAGTGCGTAGGACCCCTCGCCGGCCACAGATTGCGGAGGAGTCGATAGTTGATATGGCAGATTATTGTACTTTTACGCGTCCTGCTCACATATATCTCTGAGACCCTTGCTGCCTGTGTAGGGAGATGAGAATTGATGGTACTAGACGAATGATGAAAAGTATGTAGCCATTCAAAAACTTCAATAGTGATCGAAAAACAGCAATATAAGGTCGGATTTATTGCACATCGGATTTACACCACGCAAAACTGGTACCCATTTCCCCCCCGTTTGAGCATTGGAATGAATGCCCATTTCTCCATCCTCATCCCCCATGTTTCCCATGTTTTCGGAACGCTTTCCGCATCTACCCCCCATGTCCATCTCGGGCACAAGAGCGCCGCATTCCGCGAGATCTGTCAGTGTTTTGTCAGTGGTTCGGGAATGTTTCGCGCGAGAGAAGCCATAGGGAAACACTCTACCTGTGCCTTGGGCACGATGCGAATGCACCAATACACATTGATGATCTTGTATGATCGTGGATGAAAGGCTGTGTTTTACTGTGTATTCCCTTTCCATCTTGCCCCCATCGGCCCACCGATATAACAGTAGTGCCATTTTGTTGTATCCGCTAGCCACTACCCTACTTACCTAGTCAGGCAGCTGAGGGCCGGAGAATTTTCTTTTTAAGATTTCAACAACCCTCCCAACCGTTCAAACTCAACGGTATCGTGAGTCGTGACAGACTATAGCCGCTGCGCTAATCCATGAGGGTCATCTGTTAGTCCAAACGGCCTTGCAGGTTTAATATACTATTATGGCCCTATGATCAGCCTGGCAGGGCTTGGTTAGAACACTCGTATTACGCGGGCCGTGGTACAAAGAAAGAGAAAAGAGGTCAGAGAAGAAGCTGCATTGGTTTTGTGGAACTGCCGCCAGTTGGATTCTGGAAAGGCCCGTGCCAAGACCCGATATATTAAAGCCTCTGTGACACCTCCAAAAACCATCGCCAATGAACGCGTCGCGTTGTCCAATTGGGATCTTCATGTATCCGATCTTGAGATCTGCCTCTTCTGCAAACGTCGCATATTATTGCAACCAGGGGAGAGAATATGTGGTGATTTTTTGTGCTGCTTCTTGCGAACGGCCCTCAGACCTCTTTAAAGCAATACCGAGACCCGAGTAGCTCTCCTTTCATTGGCCCCTGGTCATTCATTGATGATCCGCTGCGGGGTTCATAAACCATGCGAGCGATGGGGGATCCTTTCAGACGGGCGCACTGCCCATGTTCACTGGGGGCTCCCAGACCATCCAATTCCCCCCCTGGACAAGGCAAAGTAGGAGGGAAGGGAGAGAGAGGAAGAAAAAAAAATAAGTCCAGTCGCCAAAAAAGTGAGAGAAAAGGGATACTATCCTACAACCATCTGCCGGAACGCGACGACCCGCGCGGAGCGAAGCGAGAGACGAATAGAAAAAAAAGAAGACAAAACTTCTTTATCTGATCTCGAAGGTTGTTCGCTGCAAGTCCTTCTCCACTTCCAGAAAAGCGCCCCAATTCCTCCAACGGTTTCTCCCCCCAATCCCCAGAGCCAGAAAGAGAGAGAGAGAGAACCGGCAGAACAGCCTCAATCCATCCCCAAAGCCCGGTACTTGTTTAGCACGTGGGACGGGATCGCGAACTTTCACCTACAGCTACCCGCTTCAGCAGCAACCTGTCAGCCACCCAGGGACCAGGAGGACAGACAAACAAAAATCAGACAACATGAGCCAGCAACAGCGGTGGAACGCAAGTCACTATAATGTTGTAGTACTTGGCGATGGCGGTAAGCGGCTACCTCTCGCCATCCGTCCCTCTTGATCCATCATTTTTCAAGTCCGCGGCCAATCGGTCGAATTTCACCGCTCTATATCCCATCTATTCTGCTCTCGACAGAGCGGACATGATATTCCAACAAGAAAATCGCCCCCATCCCTGTCTTCTACCTACGCCTGGCTCTTTGCGCCAAATTTCTTGCAATATGTAGCAATCATAGTACTGACATTTGCTGTTTGCGGGGAAAAGGTGTCGGAAAGACGTGTCTTACAAGCAGGCTATGCTTTCAGTCCTTTATCGAAGTGGTGAGCTTGAACCATTTGCCCTTTATCAATCCTCTTGACATCTTCTGCCCCTGAACGGACAACCCGTTACCTACCTTGTCTGCACGGACTACAGGCGCAGCGAGAAATCAAATAAAAATACCAAAAATGTGAGGCTGACTGAACCCACTACTGTTGGGACGAATGAAAAGTATGATCCCACGCTCGAGGACAGCTATCGCAAGCAATGCCACGTAGACGACCGGACCTGCATCCTCGAGGTGCTGGACACGGCTGGCCAGGAGGAGTACACTGCGCTGCGGGAGCAGTGGATCCGCGACGGCGACGCCTACCTGCTCGTCTACAGCATCGCGTCGCGGGCCTCGTTTGAGGGGATCCGCAAGTTCTACCGGCAGATGCTGCAGGTCAAGCGGTTCCCGCCCGACATTGCCCTGCCCGTCATCCTCGTCGCCAACAAGTGCGACCTGCCGTCCAACCGCGCCGTCTCGGCCCAGGAGGGCGAGGCCCTGGCCCGCGAGCTGCGCATGGGCTTTGTCGAGACCTCGGCCAAGGACGGCACCAATGTCGAGAGGGCCTTTTTCGACGCCGTCCGCCGCTTCTGGAAGCACCAAGAGGAAGAAATCAAGGGTTTCGACGCAGATGGCGGCCGCAAGAGCTCTCGGTCCGCCAACCCGAGTCAAGGAACCAAGTGGAAGGGTCGCTTGACTCGTCTCTTTGGGTCCAAGCACGGAGATCGGAATTCAACTGCCAATGCGACTGGCTAAAAAGGAGTCGGAGCTGTGTTTTCATTTTTTTCCGCGCGGGGAGAGAAGTGGGAGTAGTGCTATAAGAGAATTTTAGCGAACCAGCGAACAAGCGAACGGGGGAAGACAAGATATCCTCAAAAAGATTACTGTTACTTGTGTTGAGAAGAACTAGGAGGAAGATTACTAGAGCCCATGGCATAATTTAACCATATCCTTTCTTTTGTACATAAAAAAAAAACACCGAAATCATATTGATATAAACGAAGAAGAAGAAGAAAAAACCCCCCATGATCCAGGGACTGTGAAAAGTTGAGGGGAGATGTATGATGCCAACAACTTCACAAGGAGATGACGGCCAAGCGCAGGAATCTACTTTTCAGACTCCAAGTCCGTCCGTGAATTATACTCAGGACGGCAACAATCGGATAGCCTACAAGGTTGGTATACATGACCAGTGAGCAAGTAAAGATAATCGGGTCCCCGTTGCTCAGCCCCCATCGACGACGAACTAGCTACGGGCGCCATGCATATTATAGAGATTACCTTCTCCCAAGCCTGCATGGATCGACAGGCCCTAGCTGCCAAGCTGCATATGATAACAAAGATCTCGACGGCTTATAGATGGACATTTACCTGCGCGTTGGAACAAGGCGGCGGGCCTTTAGCGCCAAGGGTATACTCGAGCTTATTCCAACGTTTGCCCAGGGTAATGTGATCCTCCCCAACAGACAGGTATCAAACTCATCCAACAAGTGGCAGAAATAAGGTGAAACATCCATAGGCATATAGTGATGCAAGAGCAGATAGGTGTGGACAGATAGCTAGACATCGCCATTTATCAATCTTGAGATGATGGCATGATTGGACGACTTTCATACCCAGTAGGCAATTGTCCTGTGTCGCTTCTGCAACGCAAATTGTGTGCTTGACCAGGTATTTTGCGCTTGAAGCGATAAAATATTGTATACATCGTATTGCTCCTGGTCACATACGGTTTCAATGCCATCTCGTATAACAAATCATGCTTGAATCGCTCGCAAGTTCACGGGCTTGGAGGCTTTAGTGTTGCTAGGGACCTCATGCACCAAAGCGGAGGCCTTCAACCGCTAACGACTGGCTCACTGAACCTATAGCTGAATCATCGCAAGACTATAAGAATGGATACGATATTTGTGATTTTTTGATTTTTTTTGCCCATGATCTTTTTTATTAGAAACTTCACCATGCGGTTAAGACTGGGGACCATCAACTTCGCTTTCGGTATCACGCAGTGCACATCGTGGGGTTTTTGATTAACACCTGCCGATTCGGATTGGCGGAACCTCGTGTTGACACTTCGCTTAATCGCGTCGCAAGGGTTGATGATTGGTACGAGCCTAGGATATAGCCCCCCAGCATGAAGATAACTATGTGCCATATTCCCGGCGCATCCATGTATTATGATGCCAAAATTCTTGCTTGCCGCCAGTGAATACGATGTCCGCAATTACGAGTTTGGCTGTTGTCCAAGACTATAAGTATATCATGGACAAGACCTTGGAGTTCTCAAATGCCGTTGCCTCAGCCAAGTTGATGAGTTGTATCAGCCCATTGCAAAGATGAAGTCGCATCACCTTCTTTCGGCTGCAGTCGTCTCTGCAGTCGCGCAGACCGTGCCGACGGTGCACATCCCTCTCAACCTCTACTTTGGAGCCAACCACAAGGTCTCGACCAACGTCTATAACCCGTCCACCAACACGACCATCGAGGTGGTGTACGACCAGGGCAGCGAGAACTTTTTTCTCTTTGGACCCGACTCCATCGACAACTGGGGATCATCGGGACTCGGTGGACAAGGGCCATGCAACGTCTCCGTCCCCGCCGGCTGGTACTTTGACTATCCGGCCTCGGACACGGCGACGGCGCCGGTCAACCACAGCGCCTTTTATGCATATGGCGGACTCGACAAGATCTACACTGGCTCCGTCACGGTGAATGACACCTTTGGCTTTAGTAATGTAGCCGGGGCCGACACGGCCGCCGTAGACGACGTCCGCGTCCAGATTGTCGACTTTTTGGTCCAGCGCATCAACGACCCGACCTGCAGCGGCACCCCCCTGTATGATCTGGGCATCCTCGGCGTCTCGCCATACTACAACAATGCCTCGTCGCGCGTCACTGCCGGACCGCACGTCCGCCAGGACCTCTTGGAGCGCGGCGTCATTGGCGCCGCCGTGCAGAGCATGTGGTTCGACGAGGCCCCCGAGGACGTGTACGGCACGTACACGGGCGGCGGCCTCTTTGGCGGTATCGACACGTCCAAGTACGCGGGCGACCTCGTCGCCGTCGAGACGCTGCAGCCCGCCGGCAGCGTCGGCTACTTTACCGCCGTGCCCGTCGTCACCATTAACAATGTGACGTACACGCAACCCGACAGTGCCGAGTACTGCCAGCTGGACTCGGGCACGCACGACGACACTATTCCCGTTGCGTACCAGGAGGACGACCTTTTTTACAACACGAGCGGCATCGTGATTAGCCCCAGGGGCTACACCGCCTGGCCGGGCGAGTGTGACACGATCCCCGCCAACGCCACTGTCGGCCTGACCTTTCCCGGTGCCGCCGAGGGGACGTCGGTGACCATTGACGTGCCCATCAAGTCCTATGTCCGAGTAGATTATAGCCAGTACGATCCCGGGTACTGTATTCTCAGCGTCAGCACGAGCGGGTGTCTGCTTGGCGCGCCCTTTGCCACTGCCTCGTTCTTTGCTGCCGACGACGAGGCAGGCGTGATTGCTTTGGCCAAGGGCGGTGTATCGAAGCCGGGTGAAGGTGTCGATGAGTCAGCGGTGGTGGCAAGAATACCATAAATATTGACCCAAATACACTTGAAAATATCTATCTCATTTGACTGCAGACTGACTGTCACTTGTTTCATGTGCCTATTGAGTGCTAGTCGGTCGTTTGATGCTTTTCATTCACCTGGGGCAATAGTCGGGCCGCAAAAGTAAAGCTCCGTAATACCTCCGATCCTTGAATATATGTTTGCGTTCACGTATTAGAAGTACCTCTTCCTATTCCGAATCATCGTCTAAACCATCTTCCAGCTCAGAATCGGAAAGATCTGAGTGAAGGTCCTCGTCTTCGATCCACGCCCCTGGAACTTGCTGGATAGGATTATCTATCAGCCGCCAGAAATCGTCAGAGAACCTTTCCACTACGCGATCGACATGGAAAACCCAGTCACTTGGGTTGGACCCCCAAGAAAATCCCGTCCACAGCCATGTTTCTTTGTAGTCATGAATCAACAGTGGTCTCTTGCCTTTTCTGAATATCATGCCGTGTTCTCTTTGCCCGTAAGCCTCAAGATCAATTTCGCAGTCTTGAAGGACTTGCAACCACCTGTGAACCTCTATTTGCAGGTGTCTTTCCAACGACAGTTTTCGTGAGTGGAACCTCCTCTTGGGAAAACAGTTTATAGCGCTGAGTATACACACCATAAATGGATTTCCACTACGCGCTTCAGCTTCATACACGCTTTTAATGTCATAATGACTGTATGCTTCTTGCTCGAGGTTGAAATCTCCTGTCTTGAGGACCAACTCCTGCATCAATTTGTTCCAGCCCGCTTGATCGTATTTTGTGTTGTAATCACGACTTTCGACAAACGAACGCGTAGCAAGACTTAAAATATTGATGCCCTCCTTTGCGATTTCTACTGCATCATCCCTCTTGATGATAGCATCCTCGTGCAAAAATTTCCGAAATACTCTGTGGTCACAGGTTGGTCCGTGTACCGATATCTTCCGTGCTCTTTCCACAGGGGGTGAATGATAGAAATCCGGTTGTGTTACCGGCTGTAATGTCGTGAAAGCAGTATATGTACATCCAGCCATTGTGACAAGATCAATCATATTCGTCCCAGCACTGTGTATAAAATCTTCGGCAGATTTCCAACAAGTAAGTAGCCATGGCATGTAGACATCCCAGTGTGGTGCCGTAAAACAAAGCACCAAGACAGCGATATCGTGTCCCGTTTCTGGGAATTTTATACCGCATGCACGGAAGAATTTCACTACGTCGTGCCATGCTTTAGCGTTATCTGGTGCCAATTGTGTCGCAAACATAGCGTTCTGTCGCACTTTGTCAGCAACTTTACTAATAGATCATGTGTTCTTGAGGCATACCGAGAGTAGCGAACGACCATCAACGTCATGGTCATGGATTGAAGCCAAGTTGTTCTGGAAGAGGAATTTAATTCTTTCTAGATCTCCCTTCATGATGCACCTTATGACCTCTGAGTCCGATGGCACAATGTTATACGTTTTCAGGTGGTGATGCCAGCCAGACATGGCTCTGGTGGCTTGAATCTCCCAGGCTTTGCCAGAGAGCCATTGAGCCATTTCAAAGCGCAAATAGAGGCCTGTAACAAAATATTCAATCAGAGTTTGTAAGTCCTAGCCGGGTCGTCTAACAAGAGCTCACCTTTTTGTATGAATCCACTCTCATCATCTTTGATTTCGCTGCTATCCCACGCGTATGAGGCAAATGGACCAAGACTCCGCTTGGCATTGTGCCAAGATCGGCTCCATGAAGCCTTATGCACAAGAATCGATGTTGTTTTTACTTCTGACTTGCCGATCTCATCAGTCATCGCAGACGACTCGAGCTCCACGATTTTAGGCGCCGCTCGGCTCTCAAGTTGCGTTGGCAGTGCGATGAGACGCCGAAGCATGGCTCCATTTACAGACCTGAGGATACAGAACTCGTCAGTCAATGTCTCTGGCCTCCGCACGAAATGTTTCTGAGTGTCTGCCTGCTTACATCTGAAAACAGCCTTGCGCAACTTGAAGTAATTGCACGGCATTGTTCAAGCGACTGTGACACTGATCTAGGTCGTCCTTCCCAAGCGCCACCTTGAGCTTTGCTTTGGCCCTCTTGAATCGTTTCTGCGAGTCCACATGCTGTGTTAGTTTGTTGACGAGGTCCTCCAGCGCATCCATGGCTTCACGACATCGTGTCATGCTCAGTTGCATACCCTGGCCGTTGAAAGGCCTAGACGCATCCACTGGGCTGCTCTGGTAAATCGTCTCCATCTCCCCCATGACAACTGCGAGGAGCTCAAGCTGCTGCATCAGGGAGTTAACTGTATCCGGGACATCTTTGACTTGGCTCCAAAGGCGCCTGAGCTTGATGATGCCCGAGCCAATCTGACCGGCCGCATCGACAACGGCGATGCCGCTCGCCACTACGCCGAGCACTTCAGCCATGTTCTGGCGGTATCATCCATTCATCTAGATGATAAATTTGCGGGAATTTGTAGCTTCGACGGGATCATGACCATCTTGATCTTGACTTTGAAGTAAGGCTGTGGTAGCGACTTGGTTCCAGTACGCCCTCTGGGTCGCCTTGCTGTGCCACTGCGCACTGCCTCTCTCGTCATACGTGAACTCATCTTCCCATTGGCCTGATCGCCCTATGTTATGCAAGGGTGACATTTATCTAACCTTAGTGAGGGGTTAGTAAAGCGGCCCATAGCTACAGGTTGCAACTGCTCTATCCCGCAGCTTTTCAGTTCAAAGCACCTCGTTACAGTACACTAATGTAAGTAGGGATCTATCAAGGAAACAAGTATAACCCGAATAGAAAGAATGAACCCGATACATTGAATCATTACTTCCAGACTTCAGAGTGAACTGCATTTTCAAACTCATCATGTTTCGATATCAGGCCTCAATCAAAATGGCTATACCAGTAGCTATAATCAATAATTATTGGGTCTGATCTGTTAGGCCCTAACGTCCTTCCTATAGCTCTAATGCGGCTCCCATCTGAAGGGTTCTGCAAAGGATCTTTGGCGGGGTGCCCGCTACGTCCCATGTGTCAAAGCTCCTTCTGTAAGAGCCAGCTTCAGTGGAGGGGGAACCACGCGTTGCTTCCAAGGTTGTTGATCTCATTTACGTCGACCACTTGCCATGAGGTACATCCAATAGGCACCTCTTTACGCTAAAATACTTTAATCATGGTACCTATTAACCTGGGTGGAAATGGTACCCCGATACCGCCAGATTCCCACCATTACCATCCAACCCCAGCGATTCTTTGTGCCATGGCTGCAAAAGAAGCTAAGCTCCCGCACTATTAGATAAGAAAATGAAACTCATTTTGACCTGTCGCACTACAAGGCCAGCACGGGTTGGGGCAATAGCTCTCTCCTTCCCACTACTCCACGGCACCTGAGACATAACCGCGTCGATCAGGGGGGTTGACATCTCGTGGTTGGGCCAGGAACACACGACTGTTTGCACAACTGAGAATAGTCTAATTATAGCATCGGGACAGGGCCAATACTGTGGAAAACGGAGAGAGAGAGAGAGAAAGAGAGACAGAGATGTGCAAGCAATGACAAGTTGATGAGCATGGGAGAAGCGTGATCAATCAGATCAGATGAGATTTCGGCAGTAGGGCCGCAAATATGGAGATTGTCGTTTGTAATAATAAAGTTTTCAAGGATTCACTGTTTTATCTCTGCTACAGATCACATACCAAAATGGCCATATATTATTAGGGTGACACTCGCCTGCGTCCTACGGCATTCCTTCGCAGCCCTGGTATCCAGCCATGATATGATAGATCAAAGTACTGATGGTCTATTGCTTGCGACGCCAGCCATCTATCTCAAAGCTGCATCAGAGCTGAGCCAGAGAAAATTTGCACGATCAACAATACTATCCTTCATAGAAGTAGTTTCTCCCTAATGGGTGAGCCCTGTCTTGGCTGGGCGCAAGAGCATTTGTGTCGTGCGTGGGTGGGTGGGATGCCGCACCGCTGCAGCAGGGGTGCTCAAGTGTGTAAATCTGAGACATTTTGAACTCCTCCTTCGCCCATGACAGATGTTTCCAGAAGTCTGACTCTGGTCACCACTCCTGCGAGATCCGATATTCACCAGAGGCGCTACACTTGCAAAGCTTGAGTTGCATCATGCCACCCTGGTACCCTGCAGCCACGAGAGTATCCATATATGCGCGTTGCAGCTTTGACGTTGTCAAGTACCTGGAGCCCCTTCCCACCCATATACGTCTGTCTTCGTGAGGCCATACGAGACCATTCGACTAGCTTCTCGCGTGGAGCGCTTATCATATCTCGGCTCCGGGTTTCCTGGATAGTTCGACAACAGGGCAACACAAAATGCGCCGTTCGAGGCAACAGCCCCGGAAAGCAATGTGGAAGTGCATCATGTGTGGCCAACCGGCTTTTCAACCATCCGAAAGTCAGCGCTCGGTTTGGTAATCCATTTGACTTTAGAAGCAGTTGAGGGCCAGGACGGACGGGCGGCGCGCATCTTTGGTTGAGGCACTGTCAGGCCGACGATGTGAGCAAGCGGTCGTAATGATAGTGGGGTAACCTGGGGTAGATGAAATCCACGACCTGTCCCGAGCCCTGACTGCCACAGAGTATGCAATGTTCCCCAAGCTTCTCTATGCAAGTCATTTATGTCAAACCGAGTAAGCAGCCACTCAGTGCTCTCCAGTCGTGATGCATATGGCTGCCCTGTTGGAGCTCGTAATTGCGTCATATTATACCGCCAGGGGGATCGTAGGCCACACCCCGTCCAGAATTCAGTCCAGCGCTGCCGGGTGTTTCTACGTCGGCCGAGGCTGTATTGGTTTTGCGCAACATGAACATGGGCTTCTTGCCTTCCTTGTCGAGCTGCTTGAATAGGATCAAAGGCTTCTCGTCCAGACCGAGACACCGCTCTTGATCACCATAGACAATGTATAATGCGTATTTATCCCAAGGCTCGTTGATCTGATACTTCTTGAGAGCTGCCGGTAAGACCTTGTAACAAGGGTCATCCATGCTAACTCTGAACGATTTGAAAATTTCCACAGAAGCTGAGCTCGAGCCGGGGGTGTCGGGGGCAGGTGTTTGTAGACGTCGCGGGGGTGCTGGTTGTTTCGAGCCATAGTGGTCGTTTTCGGAAAAAGTCGTGCGATTCGAAGGGGTCGGTTGGTCGGAGCGATATGATCTGGAGCCAAGAGTACCGCCTCCCATAGTTGGCGGCGATGTGGGCGACGGCATATTGGGAGAATAGCCAGGTGACGTGGCGGCACCAGAACCATTCATGGCGGCGAGATGTGAGGAAGAAAGGACAGCCCTCTCAGCGGCACTAGCCGGGTCAAGGGTTTGTTCTACCGAGGGCCGCTCATGAGTGACCTGAAGATGACTAGGAGACATGTTCTTAGGTGTCGTACCCAGAATCAGCTTCTTGGTCGAGTACTGCCTCATCAACCCTCCTCCAGGCTGAGTCGAGGACGGTGTAGGCGCAGGCGGCGAGATGGTTGATGATTCATAAGAGTATCCCTGGTTGTCCCGACTGTTTACGTTTGGCAGAGGTTGTTGTGCATTTTTAGCCAAGCGCAAGGCTGGTAGCATGTCCTCCCGTAATCGTCGGTAATCTTCTGTCAGTCGTTGCAAGTCCTGTTCGACCAGACTCATTCGCTCGTCTCGTAGGCGCAGCTGCTCAACAAGATTTTTGATGTCCTTTAGCGTGGCTGTCGCATACTGAGCCTCTGCATCGGCGGCTAAATAGCAGACACGTGTGTGAGCGCATGATCAACCATGCCTTCATGAATGACGGCAAAAAAACATTAGAACACGTACAGAGAGGCAGGTAGTGGTCGCTCTCGACTGGGACATCCTGTGCCTTCTTAACATCGTAGACACTTTTCAGAATGGTCAGTCTGTGGCCGACACTGGCAATTCCCATTGATTTGAGATCATCATGTAGGAGAGCTATTAAGGCTTCGCCAACAATCTCGTTTTCTAAAAGGCAAGATTAGACTCTGGGCTCGCAAGATTCCATGCGGAGCTATAACCAACCAATGAAGCGATCTGAGTACTGTCCTAGTCCAATCGTAGCAATAAAGTCGGCGCACTCCTCGGCGGTCCATTCAGAGATGATGGTCTCTGGTAACCTATCGGCACTGCTGCGGTGACCATAAGTAGTAGGTGTGTGTTCGGTGGATGAACGGCCCTCGGAATCGGTAGGAGAAATCTCAGAGTCGGTGACCAGAACAGGGGAGCCGGTGTGCAGGCTTCTCTCGTACTCGTCGTCGGCGTCAGATTCCGCGTAGGCGGTGCCCGAGTCGAAATTCATCATGAAGTGAGGCCGTTTGCAACGAAGCTATGTCACGCAATTCCAAACCTGATCGCTGGTAGACCCCAGAGGGTTGGCTGCGTGGGTGTCGTTTCCGGCAAACCCAGATGACAACTTCGCAAAAACCCGAAGTAGTAGTTGTTGTATATGTGGTCGGTCTATCGATCGATCGCTTTGGCGCGGGTGGGTGAATGATCGGGCTGCTGATCGGGGCGCGCGGGCGGGCGGCTGGAGTTAAAAGAGGCAGCAAGCTACGTGTGAGATGAGGAGATGCCAGCCGGGCCGAGAGGAGATGGGTTTGGGACCTCGCCGGTTTGGAGAGCTTGGCTGAGCTGAAATGAGCAGAGCTTCTTCGGCAGGGAGATGAGTACAAGACAAGGAAAAGGTCGATCAACTTTTTTTTTTTGGCGAGAGAAACAACAGCGACTTGGTCGAATTGAGTGGCAGAGAGACGCCAAACGCAAGGGCTTCTAGGACATTTGGCAAGGCAGAGCAAAGAGCAACGCAAGTCTTGGGGATTTCTCGAATCGCGTGGGATGATTTCCTAGTCGCCAGTCGCCCGGGCCAAGAGCCAATGGCCGTGGCCCGCCCAGGCCCGTCGTGCTTGTAGCCGCTGCTGGGCCCTGCTGGGGCCCTTGTGGCCCTTGTGGCCCTGCTTCCATTAGCGCAGCAGCACTGACGAGCACAGTGAAATAGTACCTAGTACACCCGTGGACAGGTCTGACGGTATTCGATGCAATGTCACACACCATCAAGTTAGAAGACGCATTTTCATGTATTGATTACCAAAGGATTTACTCTCGATCTTGTTGTATAAAATCTGTGGATTTCTGCTTCCCGAATCTATCACGAGAAACTACCCATCTTGGATGATAGCCATTCGGTCATTGCCCAGTCTCATTTACCCCCTTCTCTGTCTCTTTGCAAAAACGTAGTGTATTGCTCAGACACGTTTCTCGGGGGTCTGTCGGTAGAAGCCTCGATCAAGGCACAGCACAGCCACTCTCGCTCCATGGGCAGCACATCCAATTCCCGAACTTGGTCATGTACAACCTGAATAGTTTGATATACTGTGCATCTGGGAAACGATGTGCGGGTACCTACATTACTTCTTGCCTTGCCCTGTTTAGGAGGTAAGCAAAAACTGGTGGATGTCTGGTAGTCTATGTACGTCACGGCGAAGAAAGTGGTACATACATGGCCACTTGTTAGCTGGGTGTGGATACACCCGACGTACTGTCGAGCATCAATGGATCAATTGTGTCAGTTCTATCAGCCCAGGTACCTCTCTAGGATATGTGGCACTGGTGGTTGATGCAGCAGTTGTATCTACTCGTACAATGTGGGATCGCTCAGGCTAATGTAGGCTCAGGGTTCGATATCTCTGGGGGCTCCATGATTTCCGTTCAAGCGTTTCTGCAAAGTTCAAACCACCACGTTAGATACATTATTAGCCTGGCAGCCCTAGCAAACCTCAGAAGCTCCAGTGGAAGCAGAAAGCCACTACCATCCCTGCACACGGGTGACCCTCCTTGAACCGGGCACCTCAACCTGAACCTCTCGGCGCTCTCGAAACCATCCCTACAATATGTAATCCGTACAGCCTTCATGGATTGTCGTTTGAAAGCTCCGACCTTTACGACCACTCACACTTTGCGTCCGAAATCTGTTTCTTTCTCTCTGCATCAAAGGATAAGACCAGTATCCCTGGTTGAAAAGAGAGCAATGGCTGGCGGATATTCGTTTCTTCTTTCAGAGCCAAGGCCCGATGCTATGCGCTCCATGCACCTAGGTACAGATTCATCTTCCTCTCTTCTCAGTTGCCGGCAATCAGATTAGAGAAGGACGCCGCGCAAGGCTTTACCTAGGTACCTAAGCTAGGCCTGGTTCTTGACTTGGTTGTCTTCATTGGCTATCGTACAAAGACGGCCAGCATATCTAGCGGAGGATGCCCAACCAGTAATGAGAACGCAAACCGTTCTGCGCCGTTCTGGGGCCAAAATGTAACCTTCTGACGATTGTTTCTTCGTCCTTGTGGTGCAAGGACACGCAAATCGCCGGGCCTGTTAGCCGACTGGTTTTGTCCAAGAGAGATTTCTTCTCCATCTCAATTAATCAACAGCACGAGCTGATGGACACTCTACGTTGCACTCAGCTTGCGAAAATGGGGGGCCTCGCAGCTGCTATCGATCTTCTCGCTCCACAAGTCCCCGTTTTCGAGAAGGAATGCGACGTTATATGCCACTTGTGGGATTAACATCATCTTCACCTTCCCACAAGCATTTTGTCCTATTCTTGGCAAATGCCCAATCTGGCACCACGGGCTACTCGCTTGCACTCACTCTTGTAATCAAACAAAAGGTCATGTACAGTTTGGCCGATTTGAGTAATTCACCGACCAAGAGAGATATACGATTAAGCCGGATCCGCTGCCCATACCGTCGTCTGTTATAGCGAGCAATTTCTACAGGGCACAGCCAACCCTACAGTGCTCGTTGAAAACATTTATTCCTTGGCGGAACAATACCGCATGTAGTTAACGAGCAGCTGGTCTTTACAGACCTCTGCATACCTCGTACACACTTGGACTGTCTTGGTGTGTACTTTTGAGATCAGTTGAAACTTCATGGCCGCGTCAAATTAGTGCCGTCGGCCTGGTTTCATCTTTTACCGGCTGCCCCCGTTGCTAAAACACAGGATAGCTGAGGAGCACTGGACCCTTCCAGCCCGTCGATCATTGGCACATGATTGAACCATAACATTTTCATTCTTCAGGCAGTTCGCGATAAATGCTCTCAAGCTTGATGAGTAGGACAGCTTGTGGGCACACACTTACTGGCCTGGCGCTAGAATCTTCTACGTGCAACAATCAGCTCAAACCAATTCGAGCTATCCAGTCGCCGGCGACTTTCACATACAAATCGCCTGCAAGTCACGGCTACTGACTCGTTGGTGGGTGGATCCGATCACAAAAGCTATTGCGAATCCAAAAGCTATTTTGCTTGGTCGCGATGCGTAAGTAGGTCAGAAATAAACATGCACAGGGCACTCGGTATATTGCCAGTGAAGTTAGAATGGCCCCCCTACTGTTCAGCAAAACACCCTGGGAATGAACTGTCTCAGACACACAAGGCAAACGACGCTTTGTTAATGGCAGAAATAATATGTTGAACACGATCCGATACTATTTCAAGGACCCATGTGTATGTTCATGCCGCTTTTCTTATGAGAACTGACAGAGAAATACCCCAGCACAAGAAAAGACTACTCCCTTCATCCCGGCCGTGGCGGGGAGTATTCAATCTCTAACACGCCGGTACCCACTATAGACATAGCACCTTCAAGTGTGCCGTATTGTTGGGACAGAAGCAGTACCTTCTATACAATGGTGGACCCAGTCAGCGCAAAACCTTGCGGGCTCGGGGTGCAGCATTGACAGTTGCAACGTTTATCCCGGACACTTGACTCGACTCTCCGCCGAGGATACGGGACGGAGAACCCTTGGGGGGCTCCACTTTCATCCGATATCTGGGGAGAAAGCTCTTTGCTTTGAAAGGATGAACCTCCAACGGCAGTGGGGTTGTGCCGGATCCCGAACTTTCGTTTGTTTGCCGGAGATCCAAGCGATGGGTCCTACAGTACAGACATGAGCCGGGCGAGAGGAGAAAAGTGACCTCGTGGACTTACACGGTATCTGGAAATGGTGACGAGACTTTTTTTGATTTCTTCAATATGGCGTTGAATTGTCATGTTCCAGAAACATTGTGGTTTCCTGTTCATCTCATTCAATGCAAATGGCGACCTGAATCCGTAACATGACCACCGGCTGAGCTGACACACCCCTTTCTCGCGTTTACTTCTCCATCTATACACCAAAGCCGCTGTCAACGTTTCGTCGTCCCGTCCGAGGGTTTTTTTTCTGATCTAAAAGCTCTGTCCATGCTGTAAAGACCGGGCGTGCAGAGATTCTACGGTCCTATTTGCGCTTTATGATCTACATTTCTTGGCTATAAACACGACCACTAGCGGGTTGGGGATGCTGCACCAATCGGGTCTTTGCCATCTTGCTATGTTTGGCGGATGCTGTCCTTCTCCGGGTTCTAGAACATCTCAAGAACTAGGGTACGCGCATATAGAGATGATATTGCATAATAGTGATATCCGTTCGCTGACATACAGCCCGAAATTATGATCCTGTAAACCAATACATGCCAGTGATTGTACACATGGAGTTGCTAGCGGACAATGAATGGGCTTCCAATTGTCATTGTTGTAGTTCGGCCAAACTGATCATATATTGGAATCGTGATTAAGTTACGGTGTCATGCTGCATGGGACCTACCAGTATCACCAGTCGTCTTCCACTTTAGATGGGCAACATCCTTAAACGGTAATCCCCTGCCGAACATGGTCTTGAGCATCCAGCTCCAGGAAAATGGAAGAGTCCGTGTTTAAAGGTATTGAAATTGTGTTTAGGAGGCCAAATATCGTCAACAAAAAATAATTAGGCACGGCTGTAATGTTGAGAATTCGAGACTGGACCAGGCATAGTGTGGCAATGAATCACGACAAAATCAATGCCTCCTTCTATTTTCAAGTGTCTAATATAATCTAAATCTAAGATCCCAATCCCAATCATCATTCATGAATTAATCAGTCTACCCAAATTCCCTGCTATCTAAGAACGCCGTCAAAGTAAAAAGTCTGAAAGCTCACTCGCCCATTTTAAGCCATCAATTAATTAAACCCAAGACTTGACCAACAAACAATCTGATCTCTTGGTACTGCTCTCACCTCACACGAAGATAATAATCGACCCTCTTCCCTGCCCCTGCACTACTGCACATGTTCTTTTTCCTCAGCCTTGGGGATCCTCACAAGCGTCGTGGTGATGAGGGCTCCAGTCATGGCGCTGGCAAAGCCGAACCACCAAATGGCGCGCATGCCCTCGAGACCAATCGATCCGTCGGGGAGCTCGTCGACGCGGACGCCGATACTATCGCTGATGCTCGTAAAGATGGCACTGCTCAGGTTCTGCACCGTGACTAGCAGACTGCCGGCCGAGCCTTGGTAGCTACGGGGAACTGAGCTCGTAATGAAAATGGCGGCTGCCGCAAAACTCATGTCGGGCCCCAGCGTCGCCAGTGCCACGCCCGGCATGCTCAATGCCCAGTATGTCGTCGAGGGCGTCTGTGGGAGGAAGAAGGCTGGGCCTAGAGCAAACGCTACCATGGACGCAGACAAGATCCAGTGGCCCGGCAGCACGTGCAAGGTTTTGGATACGATAAATGTGGCTAGAACGCCCACAATGGCGTTGGGAAGAAAATATAGCGCCGTTGTAAGTGGTGACACGTACTGGTATTTCTGCCAGAACTGTATAGCATAAAATTGCCACGCGCCATCTGTGGATTCGCGGTTAGTCGTCACTGATTGTCAAAGAATATATCTGAATAAGGATCAGCCAACTTACTAAATCCGCCAAAACCGAGGAAGTAGGCAACCATCAATGCAGCGAATCCAGGAGTTTTCCAAAGCGCATTGGGAATCAAAGGCCTCCGGACTCTGCTCTCGACTAGGTAAAAGGCGACAAACATGAGCACACCAGCAATAATGAGACTGTAAGTGTACGGATTCCACTTGGCCGAGCTGCCTTGCGTGAGACCGAATAGAAGAAGGCCGCAGCCCATGGACGCCAGCACAGCCCCGAGATAGTCGAATTCTCGCATGGTTGGAGCGTCGGCATCAGCAGCATCCTTGGCTGGCTTAAGCGCAGGAATCGTGAACTGGGCAGCGACCGCGCAGAGGCCGAGGAATAAGGAAGTGCTGCCAAAGATCCACGGTAAATGTGAGGCCAAGGCGCCTCCCTGGATGCAACCGATCCAAAAGCCCAGCGGTGCTCCAGCAGCCATCCTAGTAGGAGTGAAATTTTAGCTTTCGGTCGTTTTCTTGAAATGTAAGTGATTGACGGCGGGTCAAAACAGACTGCAGCTTATGCCTAAGCATCTTCTTGGAAATAAGATAAAACTTGTGAAATATTTTGGAAATGAAAGTCATATCTTTTCAGTACTTACAAGCTGAAAACTTGCGTCTTGCGAATACCTGGGTTATAGACACGACCCAAGATACTCATCGACGCCGAAACCAAGACACCAACCGACAAGCCACCCATTGCGCGGGCAACAAAGAAGAGAACCTTGAGCTGAGGCTTGATCGCCGCAGCCGCGACGGCGTTCCAGAGGGCCTGCCACACAAAAGCGCCCACCATGAGTGGCTTTGGCGGTGCCAGGTCGGCAAAGGAGCCCGAGATGATGACGGACAGGCCACTGGCCAGCAGCGACGAGCCAACCAACCACGGGACCTGGGAGGCGGCAATGTCGAGGGCGTCGCGGAACTGCGACTGCGTGACCATGACATGGCCCAGGGTCAGACTGAAAATGACCTGCCCGGCCGTGTTGACGAGAACAAAGATGGCCTCGGCAAAGAGGTTCTTGAGCTCGGGCGGGACACCTTGCCTGTCGAGTCCCGTGCCTGGTTGTAGGCCGATATTGGCCTCGCGCCCCGCGTGGCTGCGGACTCGACCTAATTCTAGAATCTGCTCTCCGGCAGTGTTGGTGGCAATCTGCTGAAGCTCGTGCTGTTCGTAAGCCCGCGACTCATTCAGGGCCGCCGCGAGGGCGTGGTGGTCAATCTCTTGCGTCTCCTTGCGGCCCAGCAGAGGATGTGGGGTGATGGCGCCCGACGGAAGACCTGGAGTCTCAATGCCCCAGGTGAATGGAGTTTCCGTGCCCGAAGCTGGCCCAGGAGACTCCAAAGGAGACTCGAGGCCAAAAGGGCCGTGATTATCGGAGGTAGTTGGGCGTGATGTCGCCATGGTGCAGTTCTTTCACAATTATGATGTTCCCAATACGAATCCGGGGATTGAGGGGATACCCATCCAGACCCCGCGTTCTATAGACAAGTTTGTACTGGATATTCAATAAAAGGGCCGAAAAGACATTTCTTGTATTTTGAGAATCATTCTGTGGCTAAAATCCTATATATACCTACACTATTGACCGCTTATCATACAACTCGCAAATCGCCTGAGGGGTGGATAAGAAGAAGTGGGTAGGGACCACCGAGGCCGGCGAAAATATTGCACATAGCATGACGCCATGGGGCGATTTAGCTACCTTTCGACAAGCAAACTTTGTCAACTATTAATCTCTTTTTCCGGGCTGAGGGAACTTGCGAGCTCAAAGTAGCATCATGATATAGATATATCACTCTTTTCTCTTCCTAGACACGATTGGAGCACAATTTCAATCATATTAACTAGTTTGTTTTGTCTAGATACTAATACCTTTTCCATAGTGCAAATTTGAGGATTTCATTCCCTACCTAGTCTCTTATCATTTAGCGGTGGCCAATCAGGATGAACGTTATGCAGCACAATAAGGTCTTGGGTTATAGTCATAGAATGACGATCACTTGGAGTATAAAAGTTCGAATGGTAACTTGCACAGTCGATGCATTTGCGATACAGGAAATGACTCTTTTGAACATATGATAGCATTATCAGAGCTATCTAGTGTCTATTATATGGCTTGTTATAGCAGCATGATCACCGAATCTCTTTTGCGGCTTTCACAAACTGACGTATCCGATCGAGATTCTGAACCCCGTCAACCTCTACACCACTGCTCACATCAACGCCAATGACATGCGAAGCTTCTACACCTAGACTGGCAATCGTTTCGGCGACGTTCGTGGGGTCCAAGCCGCCAGCCAAAATGACGCGAAGCTCGGAATCTTTTGCCAGTTGTGCCTTGATATCAACCGAATCCAGAAGTTTACCCGAACCAGAGCCTGAGTCCAGGAGTGGTACTGCATGGAAACCTCGAGCTCCTAATCCGGGTTCACCTGGCAAGAACTTGCGGACAACAGGTACGGGTATTTGATTGGCCCATTCAATAGGCTCATTCCCATGGAGTTGCACAATATCAATATTATACCTCTTTTGAAGCTCGAGCACTTCTTCCAAGGGCTGATTCATAAAAACTCCTGCAAGCAGCGGCCGTGTGCAACCAGGAGCCGTGACCTTCTGAGCGGCCGCAGCGAAGAAATCGATCGCAATGTTTGTCGGACTTGTCTGTCCCTTGGACGAAGCTGGGCGTGAGAAACCGTGAACAGCCTCAGAAATCGCTTTGGCGGCATCGTTGCTAACAGTCCGCTTTCGTCCGGGCACGAGAATCATGCCAATCAAATCTGCTCCTGCTTCAGCAGCTGCAAGGGCAGCCTCGGGCGTTCGGGTTCCACAGACCTTGACGAGAAGAGGCTCGGATGCGGCCGATTTTGGCTCAATTTTGCCAGCGCAGAGCTGCTGAATGAATTCTGACGCATCATGTGCGCGCATGATGGCCTCGCCAACGAGTACTGCATTGACACCGTCCCTGTGGTTGGCAATCACATCTTCATGAGTGTTGATGCCACTGAGGGCACAAATGATAGTCTCCTTTGGTACGAGCTTGCGTAGTCTGCTAGTCGTACCCAGGTCGACTTCAAAAGACTCCAGATTACGATTGTTGACTCCAATGGCTTTGGAGCCAAGCTCAACCGCGATCTTCATCTCTTCGGCATTCTGCACCTCCACCAGTGGCTCCATACCAAGTGATTGAGAGTACTTGTATAGTCTGGTAAGCAGCTCAACGTCCAACATCTTGACAATGAGTAAGACGGTATCGGCACCAGCTAGGCGGGCCTCCAAGATCTGGTACTCCTCGAAGATGAATTCTTTCCGCAGGATGGCTGGGCGGTTTGGCATGGCATTGAGTACTTGTCTTACGGCACGGAGATCTTCAATGCTGCCCTTGAACCATTCAGGTTCAGTCAAGACAGAGATGACACTCGCACCTGCAAGGGCATACTTCTTTGCTTGTGTGGGGGCATTGATATCAAGAGCGAAAATGCCTTTCGACGGCGATCCTCGCTTGATTTCGGCCATGAGAGATACGTCGAAAGGTGTCTGACGGAGACGCTCCACAAAGGGAATCTGCGGGGGCGCGGCATTGAGATCATACGCAGCCTGCAAATCCTCTGGTCTTTGCGAAGGAATCAACTTTTGAGCAGTGACAGCCTCCTTTCGCTTGGCATAAATCTTTTGAAGTATGTTGCTGCTCTTCTTGGGTGCGCTTGGGGCAGGGTGGCCATTGGTCTGCGCATGCTGCTTGCGGCGATCATTCTCTGCCCAAGTACCCCCCTCCATGTGCAAGAAATTCTTGAACATGGTTCGGCCATCGGCGGAGAGAATACTCTCGGGGTGGAACTGAACGGCCTCAATGGTGTACTCCTTGTGCCTGACACCCATGATGACTCCCTTTGAACCGTCGTCCTTGGGGATCCAGGAGGTGACCTCAAGACACTCGGGAAGAGTGACGTGTGTACCGGCTAAAGAATGATATCTCGTCACAGGCAGTCCTTGGGTCATGCCAGCGTAGACGCCCTTGGTATCGTGCGTCAATGGCGAAGTTTTGCCGTGCAGGATCTCGCCAGCAAACTCGACGGAGCCGCCATAGACGTCAAAAATGCATTGCCTGGACGCAATTGTAAGGAACAATGTCATGGTTGAAGACATGCGAAGGGTAACTTACTGTCCCATGCAAACACCAAAAATGGGAATCTTGCCGGCGAAATGTCTGATGGCATCGCGACTAATACCAGAGTCCGTCTCTGGGTGACCTGGACCAGGGCTTATGACTAATTGGGTGGGATTCTTGGCAATGAGCTCGTCCAAGGTAATCTGGTCATTTCTGAAGACGGTGCATGTAGCGCCCTCAACAACAAGATACTGGTAGACGTTCCAGGTAAAGGAGTCGTAATTGTCGATGAGGATCAAGTTGGATGCAGAAGCGACCCGTGGTGATGGATCGGGTTGGTGGGGTGAGTGGTCAACGAGGTCCGGAGCCGCCATGACTTAAATGTTCGCTTTCCAATTCAAGCAGCAACTTGCAGTGTAATTGCAAAAAAACAAAATGTCACAAGAATTGATCAGCGGACTTGGCAGAAATATAGGCCAAGTGAAGATCCAGTCCTGTCACCCTTACAGACCAATATTCGTAGTAAGCACTTGACGTAGTAACTTTAACGACTAAACGATTGAATCCTTTTTATGAGTCGGACGCCACGCCAGGGTTGAGACGAAGAGGTGGCAGAAAATGCGGCATCGGGGGGAGAAGCAAATAGTGGGGGCTGATTTCTGAGATCTCACGTTTGCCTGCGCTAGGTCATTTCTGGGAAAGCGGTCAAGAGGTTGCCAGTGAGCTTTCCAATGCACGAGGCTGTCTACTACCTAAGGTAAGCTACCAGTACCACCTGTGCACTTACCTAGCAGATATCAACCAGGAGGCAGTATTCAATAATGTAATGAAGGGCATCGTATGCAGCTGACTGTAATTGCAGAAGACACACTAAATGGATACGCACTGTCAATCTCATCATTTGCTATTGGCTGTTACGAGACTTTGAATCCATCCTCATTACAAGGCTGAGAATTTCTGTGTCTTACCAGAGCTGTCTCTCTGCGCAGGGATCCATCTTTTGGGGGAGCCGCTCCATGAATTTTCGTGCCTGAGCCAAGCGCTAAAGAGAGAAAAAAAAAAGTGAGAGGGAAGCTCTTGGGCGCTTTGGAGCTTGGACCGGGGTCTGGGTACTGCTGTTGCACTGTTGATCTCACCTTCAAAAACAAAATACTGCACTAGGCGCTACTACTGGCAACGCCGCGAAATCTTGCGAAGCTGCTTGCTCTGGAGCCTGCCTAAGCCCGACCCTCGAAAACAGAAATTCTCGAGGCTGCTTCTGTCTTCTGGCTGCATCAACCCAAGACAAGACAAGAAGAGACACGATTCCCGAGGTATCTTTAGGCGACGCGACCTTGACCTCGACATATGGCCGCCGCCGCCGCCGCCGCCGCTACCACCATCACCACATGAGTTTGTTGATGCACAAGGCTACGTGCATGGCCGGCAGTCTTCTGCAGCAATGGCACCACAGCTAGTCGACAAGGTCTACTTGCCAGATCTCGAGCCCTGCCTGAAGGGCGAAATTACTGTGCTGTAAGTCGCAACCACTTGAAGCACTCAATTCAAGCGAGAACCAATACTAATCATGATCCTCCCTTTGCTGCAGCTCATGGAGGCTCGTCGCATCCGCCCTTGCAGACACCACCGGACATCGTCAAGGCAGTCAAGCCATCGTTGACTTCCTCACCAACCCGGCTGTTCAAGCATTCTTTACCAAGCCCGGTACCGTCTTCGAGACCGTAAACAACGCCAATGACCCGCACAAGCAAGCTTTCGAAACGCGGACCTCTGCCGTGCAGGTCACGCCCGCGCCCAGCGACAAATATGATATCAAGACAATCAAGGATGACTCGACTTGGTTGAGCAAGAATGCACGCATCAATCTTCTTGCAGCTCTGCGGATTGTTGTGATCGAATTCCAGTCGCGTCCCCGAAGTCAACTCACCGGCCCAATTTCGACTCAAGATGTCGCCAACCTACAAGAAGCCGCTGGTGCAACAAATGCCCAGGCTTCCAACATTCTGCCAGGTCTCAATCTTGCTGCCACCCGGGATGCTGTTGAGCTCCAATCCGACTTTGAGAGGGATGATGCTCGCAGACGCCGTATCTTTAAGACATACCTGGCTGAGCGTCGGTATTTTGCCATGACAACGGATCACCTATTCACATTGATGCTGCACGAACAGCTACCTTCATGCTCTGCGAATGACGCGACAAGAAGGATTAGGGACTCTTTCTTGGAGGCATACGGTCTGACGTCGCAAACGCCGTCAGCCGAAGGGCCTGCAAAAACCTATCACGCATTGATAGCTCAATACTTTACTTTGACGTCTGACAATATCAAGGCCTGTGAGGACATCACCTCCACTGCGGAGGATCAGAACCTCCATGATGACGAGATGCAAATAGAATGGATGAAGACCTTTCTCACCGAAGCCATTCATGCCATGACTGTTTCTTTCCAGCTATTGGATCTCTGCAGTCAGGTTCTGGTCTCCCCCGAGCTGTTGAAGCAGTGGTTCCAGTTTATCGGCGATACCTCGTTCCTTGATGTACTCGGAACAGTCGAGGGAATTGCTCAACTCATACCACCAGTACAGTGCCTTGTCTGCGTCATCTCGCTCACGCTACTCAACCTTCCACGAGTGATGGGCCACTTTTCTGGTGAGCAGGAAGTTGATAGCAGTATAGAGTATCTCGGATATTCAGATGCTCTCCTCATGGTGCATGAGGTCATCATCAATGCAGTAGATCGAAATGTTGCCTCTGCACTGCCAGTGGCGTTAGCCTGGGTACCAGTCTTGCACAGCATGTACTCCTCATATCAACAGCGCGCTGAACAGCGAGATGCAATTCAAAACCAGAAAGCCATTGAGTCGTATGACTCGGGGACACAGATGATTCCAGGCGCTGGCAGAAGGAACTCAGCCGGTAGCATTACAACTATTGACAAGACTGGATACGACGATTTCCTTGCCATGACATCTATGGAACGGGATATCCAACCTGCTCTCTTGCTCGGGGCGGCTGCTACCGGCGATGGTTTGGTGTATGAAATAGTTTCCGAAATGGCTCGATGTCTAGGTTCTTCCGAGACTGCTATCTTTGCATCTTCAGTTGGGTCGCGGATGCGAATGTCACTCATAAGCCTGCTCAAGTGCACCCACAGCTTTATCGGTTACAAAGGGGAGCCGATCATGGCTTTACTAGCCCTGCTATCCGGAGGTGATGGTTACTGGCAGTTGACGACGCCAAGCATTCTGCTGCCCAAGGACGATATCATCCTACGAACGCTCGGTGACGAATTTACTCTCGAGAACTTTCTACTTCAAGCCTTGCAGCGTTTTCCATACGAGTTTCTACCATTCATTAGTTTCTGTCGACAATTGGCCTCGACGACGCACTCCACGGGCGAAAATCACGATGCTGTACTCAAACTTCTCAAGAAAACACCGCATATTACTTTCGAGCTGCCGAACGACTTTAACGAGTATGAGCTAGCTCAAGAGGATGAAGGCTTGAACGCGATGCGATTCCTCGACGACTTTCCCCTCTTTGAGATAACTTCAAGCCGTAAACGCGTTTCCGCAGAGGAAGATTCCTTTGTCATACCGGCCGGCACATATGGTCGCTTCATGAGCGATTCGGGCAGAATTGTGTTGATGGAATATGAGCATTCTACTTTGGCTCTGCTCGGTAAACGCCTGGCAGTGAATCTATCGCCAAGCATCTATCGACTCGAACTCGGAGTATTGAGTGATGAAGAGGTTGCAGAGATCATCTCTCTCTTTGCAACTTTAATCCGTGTTGAGACTACCAAAGCGTCCAGAAATTCAGACAAGGAACATGCCACTGTGCCTGGATTGGCGATTGTAGCTGAAGCCAGCAGCGCTCTCAAGCGGACTAAGGATATCATCTCTGTGGTTTGCGACATTCTCGATGTCTACCTCGAGAATGAACCCGATAGCGCCATGCTGTCTATCGTCACTGCATGTCTTCAATTCCTCCATGCTATCGTGCCACTACAGCCAGGTCGGGTTTGGTCGTATATTGGTCGCTGTGCGTTGTTGAGTAATGAGTCGCGCGGCGGACGTCTTTCGCGACTAACCGGAACCTTGGAACTTTCCAGTGAGCAGTACAACTTCCTGATCACTGCAACAAGGCTATTTAATACCCTCGTGGATAGCGCCATGAGCAGTTCAGTCCAAAGGAAAACACCCAGCAAGGCCAACACTAGGCAGCAAGGCTTTGAAAATGTATGGCTGGGAGTCTCGGATAAGCTGATCACTCAAGTCACATTTGCGATATCTCAAGCTTCTGTCGACATGTTGGAAAGCTCTTCGACATGGCGGTTCTCGTCTGAACTACAACGCACAGTACTCATACGGGATCTGATCCCTATACTGAACAAGTTCATTCTTCACACATATAGCATGGGCGAATTGACTAGCAAGAAGAAGCTGACCGCCCCCCTGGAGATGGCCGCAAAGTATATAATTGACAGTTTCCTGGCGCCTTCGTCAGGAAGCTTGCGTATTCAGCCACTGCTGGCCACTTTGGCGGTAGCTGTTCACTGGCCAGGGACGACGGTCTATGCAAACGGACTGAAGGCCCTCAGTGACCGGACCATTGCTGTCCTGCAACTGGCCACAACCTTGGTCAGAGTTGCAAACCTCTTTGACCAATCATCAACTACTATAGAGCTGCAACTCTTCAAAGCTAGTCCGTTCATCGCGCGCGTTTGTGCTGCCCACGAAGGGTTCAGGGGTCCAACTATTTCGCTTTTGGAAGCACTTGTCGTCAGTGCTGGAGAAGCTACAGGAGAGCCTCCATCACTACTTGGATATCTGGGACCACAAACCTCAAGGTCATTTTTGCAACTGCTTTCATCGCTAGACAAACCTTTCAACCAGACAGCAGAAGTAAGCATCGTTTGGCGGTTCTTCTCGACTATTGTTCGAAACAGACAACAATGGATGGCCAATTGTCTTCTCACGGGCAAAACACCGCGCGATGCAAGAAACGGTCATGACAAGGCCTCTCAGCCATCAGCAAACTCTGTTCTACTTTCTGCCCTGGACCGACTCTCATCCATCTCTTCCATACCCCCGGCTGAAGCACTATCGATACTGGACTTCATCACATCGGCCCAGAATTACTGGCCCTGGACGATCTTCAACATGCAAAAGAACACGGCCTTTATGACAGCCCTACGGAAATACGTAAAGGACCTCAAGTCTTCAAACGTAATCTCCAAAGCAAATATGCTTCAAGCCTGCGACGAAGCCCGTCTGGCTGCCTACATTGCCGAGACTTTTGCTATGCAGCTATTTCACCTCCGTCAAATGGGCCAGGCCGACGGCTTGGCGAAAGACCTCGCACAAGATCTGGATTACTTCCTTAGAGAAGGCGTATTGGTCTCGGGCTACAACGACTCTTTGCATGCCAATTTTGCTAGGAACTTTGACAACAAGTATACAGGTTGCAGCCTCAGCGAGTTTAAAAGAACGCTACTAGAACCTCGTTCGTTGGGCAACGAATACTATTACGCTCTCAATTATGCCGATACCATGTTGAAATTCGACAATGGATGGTCTGGGGTTCGAGGAAATGGATTCAAGAGCGAAATGGAAAAGGCAAATGCGAATCTCTCTCTCGTAGACGCCCAAATTGTAGGTCCATCCACATCGTTCCCTCTGTTATGTCATCGTGTTACTAATCTTCTTACAGGCTCTATTCCATGCATGGGAATTCCTTCTGCTAGAGCTTAGTCACTGTCTCCCCAATAGCGACGCCCTCAAGAAGCAAACTCTGCAAGTTGCTGAGCAGTGTCTGGAGGCCAACGAGGCGACCCAGGGACATGAACAAATCTTTGAGAGACTGACCGAGTCCCGGGTGAACCTTGCACTATTGCTCGTACAGCGGGTCGCTGACAATACGCCGTCCGCTGCAGACGTAGCGCAACTGCTGAATGCTTTGTGGTCAACAGTCAGCATCATCAAAGAACCATATCAGTCGGAGAGCATCTCGCTGTATCGGACACTTCTCAAGCTCCTATACGTGACTTTGCGGGCGCAAGTCAAGGCATCTGATGCAAAATTGACAAAAAGCGTTGCTCAAAAGCGGGCTGTCAATGACTCATCATCAAATGTCTCACAGACGGTGTTGGGAATTCTGGACGGTGTCGTAGCAAAGGGCTTCCGCACTTTGGTCTCACTGATCCATGATTCTGATGCTTCCGTCTATCCAGAAGACATTGCCATTCTCAATGCTATTCTGCAGGCTTGTCTTTGCGTTCCTGGCATTAGCCAGAATCAGACACAGATTGTCAATATCATGGCTGCCCATGACGCCGTGCACGTTGCCGTCTCATTGTTCTCCTGGGCTGATAAGCTGGCAGAGAAGGGCGATCCAGTCTATGGTGAACTATCACTGCTTTTCTTGCTTGAATTGTCAGCGTTACCCGTTGTTGCAGAGCAACTTGCGTGTGATGGGCTCTTGAACAACTTGACCTCGGCATCTCTGGCAAACTACCTCAACCGACCGAATGTGTCGCCGTTTGCAGACTCTGTAGGTCCGCAGCGGTGCTACAGTATTTGGGCCAAGGGCGTCGTACCACTGCTCCTCAATGTGTTGACAGCATTGGGCCCGACAATTGCGCCCGAGGTAGCCTATGTTTTGAATCAGTTCCCGAACTTGACGGCCGCCAGCATAGAGCGCTTTGAAGCGCCGGGAGTAAGCCGTACACAGACAGATCGTAGTAAGTCGTCGTACATAACGCTTCTCGCCGTTTCAGAGATACACGATCTGGCCCTGCTCACGCGGGTTCTTGGCGCTTTACGTGCAAACAATGTCCGGGACATTCCCGAGGTGGAATGGGATGCGGCTAGCGCCCTGGAGAATGTGGAATTCTGGCTCGGAAGTCGCAAGATTCTTAGAGAGAGATTAGTACCGCTCGGCCAGAGAGAGATTGAGTGGAAAGGCAGCAAACCGACGGAAAGCGGCAAGGCCCGAGGATATGAGAGCCGTTTGGAAGAAAAGGTTGTCGAGCAGTTGGAAGGTGTAAGAGCAGTACTCGGTGAAGAGCTCGAGTAATAAAGAAGGGTGATGCGCCCCTATTGCGGAACATGGATGGGTATTTAAAGGTTATGAAACACCCCAGTAGAATTATGATGATGAATTTGAGGCATCCTTGCACCGCCAATATACAGCAGCCCGGGTATACGGGGAGTTGAGGCGTCACATTGATCTAGAGTAAAGAAAACCAGGAGGCTGCGGGAACTCATGTTGTACACTTTCAAGGACCTCGATCTTTGCCTGTCGTTGAGTGCGAAAACTGTCATATCGTCATAAAAAGAGGTGAAATTTTTTTCCTGATATGCATCTTGTACCCTTGCTGCCGAAATCAGCAAATGCACGGCTCGACGACCGTCGTCTAATATACAAATATACACAAGGTAGATCAATGGATCGCCTCTCATACCTTCCGCGTGCTCAATAAGCAGCAGCACCTCCTAGTGACGATGAAGCCATTGAATCTGTCATCATCTCAAATATTTTCAATGTTGTACACTTGATCGGCCGTCTGCCACCGAGATCTAGATCCCATCGTGTTGGCAGACAACGACGCAGAGACCATTACTTTGCGAATTGATCCAAACTTGGTTTTTCTTTTCCTTTCTCCAAGCCCCCTCGTCCCCTATTTTCTCAAGTCTCGTGTAGCAATCACGGAGAGTTTACCGGCCACCCTGCTGGGCAAGCTGAGCATTGTGCTCGGCAAAGCGCTCGCTCAGGCGCTGGGACTGGGCCATCTGCTTCTGGACGCACCGCGTGATGCAGCCCGTCTCGCGGTTCGACAGGGATTTGGAGGTGAAGTCGTCGACGCACGATACAAAGCAGTGGTCTACGAGGTTACCAAAGATCTGTGTTTTTCCAACAAGGAAACGGTCAGTTTGGATATGTTCTGGCAAAAGTATGTGGTCGTGGGCTATTTCCGATGTTGCTGGAGAGGAAACCAAGGAGGGTGTCGCGTATCGGTTTGTTGAAGGAACATGGCAAGACATACGTTCATAAAGTCCTTCATCTGACGCTTCTGGAGGCGTTGCTCGAGCGTGCGCTGCTCGGCGGCTGTGAGTCTGCGGATTTGATATCCATGTCAGCGCCCGTCTGGAAGTCTTGGGCCTTTTGGATTCGAGGGTTCGAGTAACAGCTTGACATACCCCATACCATCCATTTTGAAGGAAGTTTGTCTATTATATATGCGCCGAGAGTTTGATTATTGAGAGTGCGATTGGTGTTGGGAATGGAGGTTGCTGGTTTCTTGTTGTTGAAAGTTTGGGTTATGATGCTATTGTATGGGCGCTGCAAGCTTGGCTCACAGTCTCTCAGACTCTCTCTCTTTTTCCGGAGCTAACCTTTTAGCAGCAATCCGCCTAACCTGGTCACCACCAGTCAGTCGCCCCAGCTGAAGCTTGCTGCTGTCTACGGATAAGATAAGAGAGACAGGCGCCGGAAGCCGGTCTTTCCTTTGAGCCGCCCGCCAGAAAGTCCCTAAAAAGTCAGCTAGGTACGGGCTACGGTCATTGGCTACAGTGGGTGGACAACCCTTTGAGAGTCCCCGGCAGTCGACCCACCGCGGGGGATTCTCGCTCTGACCGCCCGCCGCTTTCCCATAATATTTTTTATGGGCAGTCGGCAGGAAGAAAAAAAAAAGTTCATATCGATAGGCGGACGATTTGACGATAGTAGGAGCAGCATATCGATCTGGGACAACTCAATTCAACCACACGACAACCCAAAAACGAAATACCCCCCCAGTTGCGCAGCCAATTTTGATTGGATTCTCCTCATATACAGCGAATCTTTTTTTTTTTTATTGCTCAATCGTTAGTCTCAACGAATAATTCACTTCTGCCACCACCACCAACAACACAAATATAGCCAAGATGCCCAAGTCGAAGCGCAACAGAGTGGTCCACATGACCCAGGTGGCCAAGAAGACACGCGAGCACAAGGACAAGCTGTTTGAGAACATTCGCGAGGCCGTCCCAAACTACCAACATGTATTCATCATCAGCGTCGAGAACATGCGCAACACACACATTCAGCAGGTGCGGCAAGAACTCTCAGACTCTCGGTACGTTTTCTGTCCTCTCCCGTCCTTGTCCTGACGCCCAATCATTACGAAGAAGACGGGGAGATATTTGCTGTGTTTGAAAGAAGGAAAAACAGACCAAAGAGGAGTGCACGAGACAATCAAGAGGCTAACAGGTCAATTCAAATTAGCATCTTCCTTGGCAAAACCACCCTCATGGCACGCGCCCTGGGCAAGACCCCCGAGGAGGCCATTGTGGACAACATCGACAAGCTGGCGCCGCACATGCAAGGAACCGTGGGCCTGCTGCTGACGAACCGGGACCCCGAGGCCGTGCTGACGTACCTGGCGTCGCTCAACTTTGCCGACTTTGCGCGCGCCGGCACCGTGGCCAGCCGCGGCTTCGCCGTGCCCGCGGGCCACGTCATGAGCACGGGCGGCGAGGTCCCCGCCGAGCACGACGTCCCCATGGGCCACACCATTGAGCCCGAGCTGCGCCGCCTCGGCATGCCCACCCGCATGGTCCGCGGCAAGATTGTCATTGGCGAGGAGGACGGCTCCGGCGAGGGATACACCGTCTGCCGCGAGGGCGAGACTCTGGATTCTCGGCAGACTAGGCTGCTCAAGCTCTTTAGCGTCTGTCTGAGTGAGTTTGCTGTCCACGTCCGCGCTTACTGGTCCGCGGCCACTGGCGAGGTCACCGAGGTTGAGCCCGAGGCCGGCGCCGATGCCGCCGACGGAATGCAGGAGTAGATATCTAGGGGCTGCGGCATAGAGAACTCTGGCAAAATCTGCTGCGCTCCAGTCAAAAAGATTGGGACGTTGCAATGCTGAGAGAAACAGAAAACCGACAAGAGAGACAAAACAAGAAGAGCCAGCCCCAGGGTGAGGCGCTCAACGAAAAAAAGTGTCGGCCGGCACTTTTCATCCTTGAAACTTGTCGAATTCTTGTTATTTTCCACGTTTGTTTACGTGTGTGCATAAGGGCGAGATACCAAATTCATGGTCTGGTCACTCGGCGTTCCGGTACAATTTATTTATTTTCTTCAACGGACAAAAATGATGGGGAAATGAATTTTATTCATACAAGTCGTACTACTTTGGCAGGAATAGATCAATGCTAGAGAAAATTGACATTTAAAAGTAATAGTTGCTGTGTCTGTGGCTGAAAACCTCAGCAATGGCTACCAGGTTCGTCCGCTTACATAGATATTCTGAAAGAAACGGGCGAGCTCAATGGTCCAATATAAGCACGGGGATATCTGGATGTGAATGGAGCCTTTCGATTTCACGTCGATCACGTCTTTCTTACTTGAAAAGAACATCAACAGATCAATATTGACTTAGATGGAATGCGTAATGACAATGTCACAACAAACAAATTTTACAAAATCAAGAATGGGTACAAAATCGATTCTCGGACAAAAGCATCGTCACTGTTGCTACATTCGAGCAGATGCGACACTAAAAGCAATTGCGTTTCTTATTTTCTTTCGTCCATGTGTTCCATCTTACAAGAGAACCACCCCAATTAGTGGTCAGCAGGTATTATTACATTCCTTACCTCTGACCTTACCTTCCAAATGAAGCTATATTGGCATGCCAAACGATGCAAGACCCTTAAGGTCATGCTTCCCCTGTACGGAGTTGTTATAGTGTACATGAAAACAGTATTACTTGGCCGATCCTTGGCTACAAGTAAGGCTCTTGGGGTATTCGTGTCGACTGAATGTGGGGATGCTATGCAAGGTCAAGTCGTTCGAGGCCGTCTCTCAGTCCGTGGTTGAGACATCGGACATGAGACTTCCATATGCTTTGTTCGTGTTCTTGGGCTGTGATGATAGTTTGTAGAATCCGGTGAAAACAGGTTACCTTCATCTGGAGGAAGTGTTGTTTTGCAATGCGGTGATTTGTTGGTTTGCATATTCTTACCCTTGCTTACCCTTGGTGATCAAAGGAAGAAAGGAAGGTCGGAAATGTAGATTCAGACGTGAGTGCAAAGATGGAAGATACCCACCACCAAGGACACCCATCTAGTAACGACGCAGCTTGCGAGGGTCTTCATATCCTCCCTCGAATCCACGTTTCCGGCTGTCAAATCGGTCATCGTCTCTGGGCTTGTCGAAATCACGGCCTCCTCGGTCGCCACGGACAGGTTCGTAGTTGGCATTGCTGCCGCCGCCGCCGCCGCCACCGCGTCGGTCACGGTCACCGCCATATCTGCCGCCGTCACGTCCAGACCTGTCATCATATGAGCGACCACCACGGTCATACCCACCACGAGGACCATTGCGGTCCCCGTCCCGATCACGGCCGCCAAAGCCAGGGCCTGCTGGTGCATTAGGAGGAGCGCCATAGCCGTTTTGTTGACCGAAACCACGGTCGCGACCACCGCCGCCGCCGCCGCCGCCTCCAGCCCCGCCGAAGCCACCTCCACGGTTACCGAACCCACGATCGCGACCTCCACCGAAACCGCCCCGGCCTCGACCACCACCGAAACCACCGCGGAAGCCATCGCGTCCTCCAAAGCCACCGCCAAAGCCGCCTGGAGCGCTGGGGCGAGGCCCAACGGCCTTGGTATATCCACGTCCGCCAAGGCCACCACCGAGGCGCAGAGGTCTCCAGCCCTTGACGGTTCGGCCTCTTTCTACATCAACCTTGATGCGTCGGTCTTTGATACGAATGCCATCGCAACCATCTAGTGCAGCTAATCACACGTGCGCAGCAACGCGCTTTTGTCAGTAAAGCCTTACCATGAGAATCATACCTTGAAGAGGAGTAAATGGGCTGAGTTTATGGGAAAGAGATGGGCAAGCTTGAGGGCCAGATCTCAGGTGAGGGACATGGTGAATAGATTTTTGTTGGAAAAGTCAACGGTGGCATTACCTCTCATGTCTTTCTCACGCTCAAATACAACAAAGGCGTATCCGCGGTGAGGCTTCTTCTTCTTGTTGGGCTTCTCGTGGGCATGTGTATCGGTGATGATGCGAATCTAGTTCTGGTCAGCACTGCAGCCATATAATGGAATCAGAAAATGGGTGACATACTCGCTCAATCGGTCCAAATCTTCCAAACTCGCGTTCTAGGTCAGACTCATTGGCATCGTAGCTCAAGCGCGCCACAATTAGTGTCTTGAAGGCATCGCCACGAATATTGGGGTCTTGGTCGGGGTTGTCTATTTTTCATCAAACGAGGTTAGCAGGTGCTGGTATAAACCGGGATTTTCAACATGGGAGAGTGAGGGTATCGACATGGGGGAAACCCACAGTCCTTGGGGGTTTCCTTCAGGAGCTTCACGCGTCTCTCCTCGGCCTCGCGCTTCTTGCGATCGCGCATTTGCAACCAACTCTCGGTGGGCACGTATCCATCATTGTCCTTGTAGGCGCGGAGGGCGGGCAGGTACTCGGCGAGACCTGCGACGTTGGCAGTGCGACGGTTCTCGGGAGCCTCATCGATATGATTGACCCATCTCAGGGGAGGTCGAGGTGCGAAGAGCGCCAACAGCTGGGGCGGAAGCTTGTCCGTCATTTTCTTCGTGCTTGGTTTCTCACTCGCTCGAAAGATGCGCCGTCTGAAACGTGTAAAATAGAAACAAGAACAAAAGACAGGGATATGGTGTGTGACTCGCCAACAGTCACGGACAAAGAGCGCAAGGTGCACCTTTGTGTTGATGGAATGGGGAGTTGAATGGGCGCCAGAAGCTGGATTGGTGATGAAGCAAAGCTGAGTGTCCAGAAGGCTGCCGTCGCGTTTTTGGGAGAGCAGGGGGAGGGAGGGAGCTGCTTTGCACTTGCATAACTCAGCTACCAGCACCTATACTGCGCTAAAACCTGTCCTCCAGTGAAATTGTTCCTCATTCCTCATCACATCTGGCAGCCTTGAGCTGGTTGCATAAAAGTACCTTATGTATTCCGGCAATTATCCGATAACACAAAGGCGTGCAGCCGGGTGCGCTAACTCTCTATTCAGACTAGCGTATATCTCCTGGAGCTTGCTCCCAAAATTTCATGACAGGCCGATCGAGACTCTGGAGACGGGCTGTGATGAGGTCGAGAGCAACAATTCATCTCCGCACCGGACACAATGACGATAAGAGCGCTTGAGAAGGTGTCCGTTGGCCAGGTATGCACGATCGACATGTTCAGCATACCAAGTACAGCTTGCTAACCACGTCCCAGAATGGCGTCGGGGCCTTTATCCTCCAGTGCAAGCGCGTAGATATTCACTACTGCGACTACTCGGGAAGTTCGAGAGGCATGAAGTAAGCCGAATGGATTGCGAAAAAGAGCCCAGCCGTTTCCTCTAGTTTCTAACAATTGGATTTTGTAGTGCCTTTATCAAGAGCCAGCTTCCTCAATTCGCCAAGAGCAACCCCCAGATCGAGTTCGCCGTGTCGCCGAGGCCACGGAAGCATCCCGTCATTGTCGGTCATTACATCAACGGTGGCATCAAGTCGATATGCGTCAAGAACATGGAGGCTTCGACGATTCTGAAAAAGGCAGAGTTGCTGCGAGACGCCAGCGGCGAGAAGGTCAAGAGGGTCAACAAGCCGGTCACGAGTGTCAGCGAGAGTGTCCGAGGCATCTGGTCCCCATACCACGGAAATGGAATGCCGGTTTAAAATACGAATTACGAGAGGTAGTGGAGGACAAGTGGCAGAAACAAAATGCCACCATTGTATATCAGTGTACAAAATATCACGGCTGTCCAGTCCGAGATGTATCATAAGGACAAACATGTCTCGTGGTTGTAAGCATACAAAAGCAGACTACAAACCGAGGCAGCACAAATAGATTTCAACACAAAAGACGACCAAAAAACTATCAAACAAGTCACATCTGCTATACTTGACGATTGGGAGCACAAAATAGTTGATGAAATCCAGTTTGTTTCGGGTATTAATAGGTCATTCTATCTTTTTTTATTCCGTTTCCAAGCCAAGCCAATTTCCGCTTCAGTCGTTCAATCGTGACCTTACTTTCATCAAAGCTTTATATTAGTCCTTATACTTGTGCGAGGACTTTACAACTTGCAGTTGATGATTTCAACGACTGGCGATTTAGTCAGCATCATATTCTTTCTCAGTTAAGAGAGATATGGAAGGGGAGGGAAACTTACAGGCAGGCTTCAGGGAAGCACCACCGACCAGGAAACCGTCAATGTCGGCCTCCTTGCTGAGCTCCTTGCAGTTCTTCTCGCTAACACTGCCACCGTACAGGATGCGGGTCTCCTCGGCGACCTTCTCGCTGACCTCCTTCTTCAACCAGGCACGGATGGAGGCGTGGACCTCCTGAGCCTGCTGAGTGGTGGCGACCTTGCCAGTGCCAATGGCCCAGATGGGCTCGTAGGCAATGACGATCTTGCTCCAGTCGCTGATCTCCTTCTTGAGGGCGGCGAGCTGGTTGGCAATGACCTCGAGGGTCTTGCCGGCCTCGCGCTCCTCCAGAGACTCGCCGCAGCACCAGATGACGCTGACACCGTTCTCAACGGCGTACTTGGTCTTGGAGGCAACGGTCTCGTCGGACTCCTTGAGGATGGTGCGGCGCTCAGAGTGGCCCAGGATAGTCCAGTGGACGCCAGAGTCCTTGAGCTGCTGGACAGAGATCTCGCCAGTGAAGGCGCCGTTGGGCTTGTCGTAGACGTTCTGGGCAGCAACCTCGACGGTCTTCTGCTTCAGGTGCTCGCGGACGGGCAGAAGGTAGAGGGCGGGAGGAGCAATAACGGTCTCTGTATTTCAGAAGGCAGGGTGTAAGCAAGCTATGCGGGCTCGATACTGGGGATTTTTCAAGTCAGAGCACGACAGCACATACCGACGTTGGGGTCGAGGTTGGCATTGTTCAGGTTGGCAACGATCTCCTTGATGGACGACAGAGTGCCGTTCCTTGAGCAATAGTTAGTATACTTTTTGTCCAGATTGGGGAGCTTCAACCCCTGCGTCTTTTTTTCCTTCTTCTCGCCCCAACGAAGCAGAGTCTGGGCAAAGGAGGGGTGTGCCTCACATCTTGAAGTTACCGCCGACGAAGAACTTGCGAGCCATTTTGATTGTAAGAAAAGATGTTACTTTTGTGGTAGGTGTTTGTATAGAGTGTAGATGAACGAGTCAATAAGTCAATTGTATGGCAGGAGAAATAATGCAGAGACAGAAGAGCCGGGAAAGAGAAAGAGCAGAAGCCGTGTAAGTTAAGGTCTTTCGCCAGGACCCGGAATGCGTCGGCGGGGTTGTCGAGGAGCTCTGGAGTCTGAAGCAGCTCGACCCCACCAAGAACCCACTATCGATGCGTTGAACTCGCCCAGGTTGGCGTCATAGGGCGAGCGAATTGACAGTTTCAATGCTGTTACTACTGCTGCCACTGACCATGTTGAGAAGCGTGGATAATTATTTAAACATGACTACATGTATGATTCAGTACCATGGTGCGTGCTTTCTGTGATTGAGGGCAAAGAGCAGAGCCGAATCCAAGAGAATATTACGGAATGGGCATTGATTGGTACCGTTTCCCTCGTCCTCTGATCTTTCCTCCAGATGCTTTTACCATTGCTCCGAGTGGCTCGTACGAATAAGGTACCTACCTACCGATTGCCAGCCTCGGTCTCGGTTCAGAAAGCATACCTTGGGTACCTTTGGTAGGTACAAATTTCACATTGCTCACTCACCTAAGGTTAGGTCTGTCTGCGCTCGATAAGCCTTGCATTTTAATGCCATCAATATGAGCATCCTAAATAATGCATCGTATCTCACCTCTGCTCTGTTCTCTACCTTGCTATCCATATTTCTCCCACGACGAGTGCCGTATAGCTACGTCAGTCGCCTCAGCTTAATTGGACCACTGGTTGTTAGTGGGTCAGATTTCAGGAGTCTCAAGAGAAGATCGTCGCCAAGGATCCAGTATAACACGTCTCGCTGCTTGTCTTAGGTAAGCTGTCCTGCGACACCTTTTCAATGAAGCAAACAGAAGGAGAGAGAGGAAGCATGATTCAATAAGAAATCCGACTGGACAAGTTATACAAGAGGATCCAGTAGATTTAAAAAGAAACAAATACACCACGCATACATACTGAATTCGAGAGTGCTTGGCATGGATCTCTGTAAAGGTAATTCTACAATTCTGATTGACGCTGCAAGCAGATTATATATTATATATACACATGGACCGTTTCCATGGCTGGAACCCGAGATAGTGCACTTAACTACTGACCCAACCGACATGAGCGTTGATGACAAGTCACAATCACGGTCATACCTTGGCGCTATGGGTTTTATTTTTATTTTTTCTTGTTGTTTTGCTAACCGTGCAATAGGCCAATTTTCTCCGCCTTCCGCATCGACAACCACCTCCGGTTCTTCAGCTCCTTGCTTCTCTTTGTCCTTGCTTAACAAACATTTTCTTGGCTGGTATCACAAATGAGCTCAATCCAGAGATCCTCCCCACCATGACAGTGCCTAGCGAACTCTGACAAGGCATGGGCAACTTTGCGGACCAAGGCACGCCGCCTCTTCTTCTTGGCGAATCCGGGCTTGAGCTGGTCAAGCACCCGCCTTACACATCCCAGGACTTCTTTGCCATTATTCCAATCAGTCTTGTCATTCCCGATGCGCTGCTCGGGCTCTATGTAGTCCTTGTACGAGCCATCTGGGTCAAAGTCTCTCAGTTGGCCGTTGCGAATATTGACGCAGAGATAATCGTTGCCCGGGTCGCCCATGGGACCATCTTGGTACCATAACGACAGACACCTGATCCACTTGATGTGACTGCTGAAAACGGAACAGTACTTGGACCACAGGTCCCAAGTATATAACGGCGACACGCCCTCGTGTGAGTAGTTGATGTATATATCGAAACAGTTTTGTCCATAGTATATGGGTGATGCCTCTTCATGAATCTGTTTGCTCACCAGGAGGAGAGCTGGAATCTGTAAGTTGTTTGTAATTGCATATACGCTCCCCGGACGCCAGTACTTTAGCACCAGTAGATAAACCTCATTGCGTATTTCTCTTGGGAGACTCAATAGTAGATTCTGATTTGATAGCTAGTCAGTCTCTTTCAGATACCAAACTGAAGGGCTTCGTACACGAAACATTGGGAACGATTTGTTCAGATTATGTGGTTCGAGGAGAATGATGTGGTAGTAGTTGTCGATGACGATGATGATGATAGAGGGAAAATATTCTACTGACTACTCGCCGTTTTACAAATTCATTATATAATGGTACATCGCCCGTGATTCACCTGTTGGCAAGCCATGAACCTTTGTCGCTCACCTTTGTGCAAATAACTGCATATGACAGAGCCATTTTTAGCGCCAACATCAAGGCGAGCATTCCAGCCTAGATACGGATAACATTCACAGCACATGGAAAAGTGAATACATCAGTTGTGCTAAAGCCTTTCATTAGATTCATGTGTGTTCTAGTCTATGAGACTTTAAGATGAAACTGGAAACGTGTATTCGTTGTTGTGCTGTTTTTCGGGGCCACTATTTTGTCCACCCCCAGAATATTCTTTGGTAGGAAAGAGCTCACCGCAGGTCTTTTTTCTTCTTCTTCTTTTTTTTTTTTTTCAAACTCCATAATACGTTTGTACCATGATTTCTGCTTTCGACGCCAGCAATCCAGAGACCGGGCAAGAACGTCGTGCTGTTTCCACATCCTCAAGGTGGTTGCTCAGCCTTGATATCAGCCTCTAGGGAAGATCGGCCAGTAATGCAAGGCTCAAAGATGGCTTAGACTTGACCATTAGAAGTAGGTTGAGCAGCATGTGCCATACTGCCCGGCGTGTTGGTCGCGCTAGGCCATGGCCAATGCTCATTGTCTCCGTTGGTCTCTCGGGCGATGATAGCAGAAGTCTTCAGAGTAGTAGAGTGAGTTGCGGTAGCCCTGGTGGTGACACTGTGGGAGAGAGGCCAAGGCCAGTTGGGGGTGTTGTTGTTGTTGTCAGCAGCGTCAATGTGAACAGAGGCAGCGGAGTCGTAGGCTGGAGCATCGTGGTTGGCGATTGCAGTGCTGTCAGCAACAGAGGTCTACCAAAGAAGCATCAGTTAGCGACAGGTCGGGGTTTTTGAAACTCGGAGAGACGCCACAAGGAATATTTCGTGGAGAAAGTGTAGAGGCCAAGACAAGATTTTGGGAATCAGTGAGTTAGAATTGAGAGACTCACCTCAGTGCCGACAGGGAAGGCCGTGGCCAAGTCAGTCAAGCCGAGAATGGCAATGACGACTTGGATGATGGACAGAGACTTCAGGTTGCGTTGCAAGAACATGTTGACGATGTTGTGGGTTGACGAATTGATATGGTTTGTATTGGTGAGGTTTCAAAGACACCACAAGGTGATGAACTTTGATTTTGATGACTTGATGGTGAATTTTGAGCAGGACTGGAACTACCCGTTTGTATGATATTGCGAAGGTGGTGCTGATAGTTGTGTTTGTACCTGATGGAAAGGGAAGAGATGTTTTGTTGCTATCCTGTCGATTTAAATATTCAGCTCTGTGCAGTGATTCAGTGTGCATCTCGGTATTGTTCTGAATGGGACATCCACTACCCATCATCGGACAAAAGGGCAGAGTGCAGTTGGTTTACTGCGAGTCTGGTCAACTGAGGCAGTCAATTCAGACAGCGACCCTTGCTAAGTATTCGAGTTGCGCATATCTTGATACATTCTGAAATCTGAATGCAACATTGAATCATGCTAGACTTTGCTGATAGTACGGTCTTCAAGGAATAGAATACCATTGTGTCTGTCCAAGGCCACAATCAAAATTAGTTTCCCAGTCATCTTGTATCCCCCCTTCTCGAGAACAACAGTGTCAACAGGAGAGAAAAAAAAAAAGAAGAAAAAAAAAACATAAGAAATTCAGGCGAATCCAAAGGAGGACTCAAGCCTGGCACACTGACAGAGTAGTCATTGCCCTCTACGCTCTTACCATTGAGCCAGCATGTCTCCCCAAGTTTAGTTGTTCGGGTCTGGTCGCCAGGGTGCTGGACCAGAGACATTGGTTGGCTGTTTATTCAGATACTTGATCCCTCCAGTTGCAAACGCAAGATGCAAACGCCCCAACTAACTGACTTGCATGCTGAACCGATGAAGGACTCCACGTGCCAATGGTCAATGCTTAGAGCCGGGTGAGTCCAAGAGTATTTCCATTCATTTCATTACAACTGGCTCTTGCAGGGGCAGATCACAAGAGACTGACACTGGCACACAAGGCAAAACACTTTCTGATCATCAAGCTTGCTTTTCACATTCATGATCTGATTTGACTATTTCGAAATGCATGATATATATATATATATATATTATACACCAGTCCACTTTCCAAACTTTTTCCACTCCGTAAAAATGGTTCGGAAAATTGCTCTTCCACTCTCGTCCATGGCTTCGCTCAGAATCCTCCTACTGGCTTCTGGTGTAATGCTCAAGATAGAGTATATTCCTGTGGTGAGCTCCTTTCGCATGTCCCTCGAAACGTCGCCCTCGAGCTGGAGTTTGATGTAGAGAGCCAAGATCCAGAACATGTGCTGTCCTGCCGAACGTTTCACTGCATCAGTGACAGAGTCAAGGCTGTTATTCTTACCACGGGCAACAGATGCGGCGCTTGGTTCGCAGATCAGAGTGAGAAGGCGCGCAAACTTTGTGCCGTGCTGTGCTCTAAGGCGAGTATCCAGCCATGGTGGGAAGAGGAAACTGCTGCTGCTCTGGTTGGAGTCGGCAGGTTTGGCAAGTAGTACACGGAGGAGATCTTGAAGTGCCGACACAAGTAGATGGTGGTGGCCCTCCAACCGAAGTCTATGGCGCTTGACAATGGTTGCTGTCAAGCGGCAGAGGATATCGAACGTTCTCTCCGCTACATCGGCAACTGTATCATCGTCCTTTTCATTTCCGTTGCGGAAACTGGCCGAATTGACAGAGCATACAGCGGAAACAGCAGCCAGTGTCAGCTCAATGTTTATTTGAGTCATTGAGCTTGAGTGCTTGTCAAGTAGCTGTTCAATAACTTGTGCAATGTATCTGAATCGTTCCAACGAGTGGTTCTTGTCAGCCAAAGATTGAACCAAGATGACCTGGACGGATGCCAGATCAAAGTTTTTGTCGCCGTCAACGATGATGGAAGGAGATTCCGACACTAAACCATTGTCAGTACCATGAATTAGCCAGCTGAATGTGCGCAACATACCTTGAATAGTTTCGATAATCCTTGCCACGATCATGTAGGGAACATTGGAACTTTTCCATGTACTGGTACTCTTGAGTGCTGCGTGCAAGAGTCCCAGTTTCGCGGGCGCATCTAGTGTCCTAGTCACAGCAACGACAAATTCCCCAATGGATTGGTTATCCGGGCTGACTGCATAGTCCTGGCTCATCTGTTTCAGAAGGGCAGCAGAGCTTGAGTCGTGTTGGTTGAGTGCTAAGAATGTCTGCAGCTTCCAGCCCACAGGAATGCCTTGAGAAGTGAGGATTTCGCCAGCATCCTGAAGTCTGGAAGCTACTTTTGATGATAATTTGATGGGATTTGCAGACAAAGAGTCTCCCAAGTCAGCTGCCGCGCGTAGGGTCAAGTCAAGTCGTACCAGGCTGTCCTCGTCCTTGGCCAGTTTACCCGGCTTCTTGAGCTTCGAGGAAAACTCGGAGATACTATGCGACACAAGTCCTCGAAGTTTGTTGACAACGTCATCCTGCTTTAGGGTCTGTTTCGCCTTGGGTGGTGATCTCTTGAGGGCGGCCAAAATGCTCTTCAGTAGAATCAAAGGTATGGTGGAGTCGCTCTCCTCATCCACGGTCGATTCTGCGACGAACTGGACAATCTGCTTGAAGTAACTTGGCGATGCCTCGGGGTTTCCAATGACTTGACTGATGACAAGCTGAGCTAGTTTGTCCACGTAAAGAAGTGCTCCAGAAGTAGAAACTAATGGGAGATTGCGAATGTCATCTAAATCCATGCCCTATGTTACGCATCAGTATAATGTGCTAGGCTTCAGCTTCTCCGATTGACCGAGATGTGGAGAGCCACTGAAAGTGATGTGAGTGATTTGTGCAACTTACATCGTAAAACGTTGGCTGCGACATGACCAAGATGAGTAATCGCAAGATGAGTTTGTAGGATTCGACATGCTTTGCCGCATGCGCGTTGATGTCCGACTCCCATTTCTTCCAAGAAGACATGATCCTCTTTCGCCGGTCTTTCGCGAACGCATCCGGTGCGAATTCAAGAAGTCTTGTGATAGGTGATTCGACAGGGGCAGCTGTCCAAGCCGGAGAACCAGAAGCCTCCAGCTCCGCGATAAGGGGCTCAATCATGGAGTCCACCAATCCCTCATCGTCTGCAATCACGTCTTTATGAGCGATTCTGTTCGAAAACCCAGGTTGAACAGCTTGGGGCTGCAGGAGAGTGTGTAGTTCTCCAAGTAGCTTGCCGATCTGCTCATCTCCATTGGGAGCACTGCTTAGAGGCGGGAGTTTACTGAATACGAGCTCGAGATAATTTGTGTCAATATGACCAAGTTTAACCTCGGCAATGATTCGCTTCAGGAAAGCGCTCGCCATTGTTACGGCATCACTCAAGTCTTGACCCATAGGATAGTTGACCGAACATAATTGCGAGCAACAATCAAAAGCCTCAAATGTTGCAGTCTCTGATAGGGGTTGGCTGGAAAGCACCTTGGACATGGTGGTCTTTGTATGCTTCCAAATAGTGTGAGTCTCAGCCGCCGAGACCCATGATGCAGTCGTCTTTGTTATCCGCCACTTGATGGACAGCAGGAACGGGGGTCGGCCCGCTGTATCCACCTTTTGTAGAACTGTGTTGAGTAGCTTGGAACTGAGGGCAGAGATATAGGCTTCATCCTTGGCTCCCTGGCCAATAGCGTCGAGAATGACCAGATGAGCTCCTTTATCGTCTTGCATTTGCAACCAGTCTACCAGCGCAGAAGCTTGTTGAGTCGAGAGAGCTCCTTGCATCAGTCCTGCGAATCGCTCACAGATCCTGCGGTCAATCCATGGTGTGCTCTCCAATGATGTTTTCTGGTCAAGCATTTGGCAAAGCTCGGCATGCCATCTCTTGGTAAACCCAGTCAGATCACGGGCTTTGGCGAACGCTTCCATGAGAGAATTCACAACGTTCTCAACAATAATTTGAAGATCAAGTTTGTCGCCTTTTGTGGACGAGGTTATGCGACCGAGCAGTGTATTGAGTAATTCCTCATTCAGTAAGAAGACATCGGCATCGCAGGAAATAACATCGGCGAGAACGTCCCAGTCCGTTTCCGAGCTTTGGAAACAATAACTTTTCGTAAGGTACGTCAATGTCTCTAGTTCTGGTGAGCAGCCGTAAAATCTTGCCTCGCTCAGCAGTTTGGCAGTGACAGATTCGGCGACTTTGTGTTCCTCGGCGAACGCAAGCAAGAGCTTGAACACGGCCTGCGCCCAGGCTTGACGCGCCCGCTTCGACGTAGGATCATCAACATCGTGTTGTTTCTGGGCAGCCAGACGCCACAAGACCCGGATGCATAGTGCGGGCTCCTTTGAGGCTGTAGCGTTCGCAATGTCCAAAAGGCCGAGGCCGAGACCATTGGCGAAGGAATTCCTCGCTGGATTGATGAGATTCTTCAAGATGAACTGCTCGAATTGGCGCTTCCAAGATTGTTTTCTGTCGAGATGGCCCTGCACTTGGTTTCCGCTGGAAAGCTGATCGATAATGGTGCAGCAAGGGTAGTATAAATGAGTAGCAAAGATGCGGGCGTCTTCCATGCTGCCTAGATGGAGATTCCAGAGAGCAATGAGAATCTTTGGCCACTGCTCTTGCTGCTCATGGAGACCGCCGTGGAGTGGTAGAAGGCTCATTGACCGGGCGCAAATCCACACCAATGGGGCAATCAAATCCTTGACGTCTTCAACTGGCATGCGGAAGAGAGACTTGACATGTTCAGCGCCGATGCGAATATCTTCAGAATCCTGGATCGACGTAGCATCGACGCGCCTAAGAAGCATTCCAAGGGCTCCGAATAACTCCGATGCGGAAGAGATCAAGGTCTCTGGTGCTCTTAGAGAATCGATATCAAACGTGATGGGCTGGTCTCGCTTCCTCTTCTTGGGCTTGGTCGCTTTCGATGCATCATCGGCTGCGGGGTTTGAGATATCCTTCGCACTCTGCTGCAGTACAATGACAAACTTTCGCTCGAGGAAAATTCGGGATAGGGAGAACAAGGAGATTCTCTCAAACAAACAGCCAATTGTGGTCCATGTCAGAGGGTATCTTCGGATTTGTTCTGCAATATCAGTGTTTCCGTCCATATGCTTAAGAAGCCATCGTAATATTGTTTCCTCGGCAGCGCATGATTTGCCTCCCTTCGCGGCCGTAAGTAGTCGCCATACATCTTTGATCTTGTCGTCGAATGGGCGGGAATCAGACTCCAGAGACCGAGCAGACTTGATGAGAGCTAACTGGCTCGCCTGGACATGATCACATTAGCTGAGTATGACATGAATCGGGTTGCTTGGCATACATAAAAGTCTCCAGCGGCCATCTTGAGGAGGGCACTCAATCGCCAGATTTGATGGTGTTCTTTTGTGGTATATTTCCTCCCCAAGCACCTTATTACAGCGCTGGCTTCTTCTTAATGGCAAGCAGCAGCGCCTGGAAATGCAGGGCGCAAAAGCTCCCCGCGGTCTCCCAAAATTTCCCAAATTCTGCCGCTGCACCAAACCACGCTAAGCCATTTTGGTTGGAGCCCTGACACCGCCTGCGGAATGAAGCGCCAGCGCGTAAAACGTCACTGCATGTTCCTGGTCTTGGGGGACGCAACTGGAGCTGCTCGCGCCGTCAAGTCCCGAATTTGGTACCAGCCCAGCCCTGGAGCAGCCGCTTGCTTGCATTGCAGCTTGATTGAGCTTCTGACAAGCTTTTGAATCTTCGACGACCGACAACGTCAATCTACTACAACCACCAAAAACAGTCAATTGAATTCAATTGCACCCAGTAAGAGTCAAATTTGTCGCGCTTCTGAACAGCCCAATTGCTGACTTTGCTTTAGCAACCGCCATCATGTCCAGCACGTCAGTCCCTCCGCCACCTCCCGCGGTCGCAAGACCCGTTAGCGAGGCACTTTTGAACGAAAAGGTATGACGGCCTCTATTTTTTCTCACATTCTACAAAGCACGCCCAGATCGACTCGACCCGCCCGAGATCTTCCTCTACAACAAAGCAATCGAGCCACATATATTAACGCTGCCATGTCTTAGTGGGATCGCTGCCTCTCCAACATGCTCATCAAGTCCTCCCTCGGCCTCGGTTTCGGTGTTGTCTTTTCAGTCCTCCTCTTCAAGCGCAGGGCGTGGCCCGCCTGGGTCGGTGTTGGTTTCGGTGCCGGCAGGGCGTACGAGGAGTGCAACTGGAGTCTGAAGCAGGCTTCGAGGGAACTTAAGCGATCGGCATAAACCAAGAAATCGGCAGGGGGGAAAGAATAGGAGGACTGGCACGTGCAGGCGAATAGACTCGAATGGCGACGCCATCGCCATCTATATCGACAAGTGATTATCGAACGGCAGCGAGACACGTTGTGGACATGTAAGACGGAGGCTGTACCATCACACACAATAGACGATTCTTTTTCTCTTCATGATGCTGAAGCCGGTCTCATCTCGCTCTGGGGCGCTCTACTCATACATATGCCACCAATCACGGCTTTGAACGGATCTACTCAGTAAACACACGTCTCTATTTACCTCGACAGATTGCGGGTGTTTATGTATATGCAAGCTAATTCTACACTACATATGGTCTACTCTCAGGACGAGCATCTAGCTCATTCTTGGTTTTCTTTGCTAAGAAGCGGTAGTATCGAAATGTCTCTGTCGCAACTCTTCTCCGGCAGTCCCGAAGTTCAGTCCCTTGGCAGACCTCGATTCCCTATTTGCGATACGGGGGCTCAGGCTCTTTCCAAAGGCCTCTTCTTCCTTTGCCATCGATTTCCTGATGTGAACGCGCTTGCTTTGCCGCCAAGTCTCATGTTCCATAGTGCTGGTCCCTGGAACAGTCTTCTGGCTCGGATCGTGATAACCACTCTTGCTCATTGCCGAGCTCGCCTCGAGTTTTGCCATTGTACGATGATCTTCGAAATTTGGCCGGCGCATCTTTCGCTCGCCATTCACAGCGCTATCATCGTTCAGGTAGCAGTCCATTCCTGTTTGATTACCAGTAGATTTGGGTGCTCTCCTTTTTCTATCAGGACCGCGAGATCCGTCAAGGCTTACGTTGTAGAAGCGCGCAATAACGTATATTCCTACTGCTAGGACAACAGTCAGAACGCCGGCAATGGAGATTGCGATCCATTGGGCAAAGTCTGGGGACGGCCGGTGAAAAGCTCCTGATTCTGCACCAAGTCGCGGTAGCCTGCCTTTGAAAAGTGTAGTGTATTCGTGAGACTCATGGGCTTGGCAGCGGCACGCAGAGATTTCCTGCAGTGGGCCTTCTGCTTGAGAGTCCGAGGTCTGGTGCATCTGGTGACCACTGGCTGGTACGGTCATCTTGTCAATATTGTGGTTAGTATCACGGTGATGAGCAGACGAAGAATGTCGATGCCAGCTGTGCCGTTTATGGCGTCGTTGATATAAAGATCCTGCTATTGGACGCGTCGCGCGCTCATGAAATGGTGGTGGTGGTGAGAGGTTCTCGAGATCGGAGGGTCTGCCAAAGGATCGTGCAACTCGAAGCCGCGGCATTATAATAGTTCGTTGCAAATATCAGGATTCACCGAGTGTCATCACCACGTTGTATTGTGTTCTCCTGCGTGAGCTAAATACCGAATCCAGAAGCGAATGTTGAAGAAATTTATAATTTACATCGAAGAAGAGAAGGCCTCATGTAATCTGAGATGCAGATGGCCCAGAAAAGGCTATGATTTGGAACAATATCAGGCGTCGGTGACGATGAATTGTAGTAAATCCCGTCCATATATTGTCATTGATGCTTTCTCATCATCTCGCAGTGACAAGGCTTGGACAGGCAGTCTGAGCCATGAAGATGTACCGACAGCATCTGATTCGCCCTCTGACACAATGCAAACTTCCTCGTCACTTTTCATGGCAAGAGGCCCAAAACTTTCAGTCATAGTCTTGATGTAAATCAGTCGTAGCATGTACCAGTCGGTCGTTACTCAACCAAGTCATTCCTCAAATCATTCATGGGCTGTTAACCAATTCACGCCCTTTCAGCTGGCTTTTACACTCAACTTAGTCACTTACGACATCCTTGGGTCTGGACATCACTGAAGTCAGTCATGCGAGTTTGGAAAACAGAGAGGGTGACACCGAGTGAAACAGTCATTCCCAAAGCCGTGCCACATGCGCTGAATCAACTATTCTTGGTGAGTGTTTGTACCAATCACGCAATCATGTCAGAGACTCGCCAGTTACACAACAGCCAGGAAATAGTCGTTCGTTTCATTAGCATTATTTACAAGAAGATAGTCAGATTATCAGGAAACACAATATGCCCTAGCCACCATCGCGCACATTAGAGTATTATACCATACAAAATATAGAAACCTTCTCGGCATATGTGATGAACACAATCATCCGAAAGAAACAAATGGTGGCAGATTGTCCATCACTAATATGTTGACATTGTCGCCGTCGCTACTGGTATGTCCAGCGATTGCCTGGGCCTGGTCGAGCCACGGCATATGCTCCTTGACTAGAATTCCGGGAACAGTTGCCGCCCAAGCAGCCAGGATGCACCGGACCAGCTCACCGCATTGCTCCAAAGAGATGATGTGACTCTCCATGGTCAATTTGATATTGGCGACAATATCACCAAGATGTGCGTCCGTGACAGCTTGCTCCGTAGCTGTAATCCGAGATTGATACACTCTGTCCAAGTTGGCAACTGCCGCTTCAAAGACTGCATCGACACTGTAGCCTGTGAGCGCTACAACATGTTCGAGCAGATTCATATATCGGGCAAATATCGCTGCAGCATCGCGAGGGTGATTCTCCGTGGAGGGATGGGTATAGTTGACAAACGAATGTCCCTGTCTCATGCACCTGTCGCTGACGAACTGTCCAAAAACATCAAACTGGTCCGGCGCCTCTTTTTGGCGTCGATGGAGGGCATCGACGAGACCTTCAATCTGTTGAATACAGGCTTCTACAAAGGTCCCCGCTGCGGTGAACTTGACGGCCTCGATCACATTTGGGTGCACCTGAGGTACCAAACCTCCAAAGGCGATGCCGGCAACGACATGTGACCATCCCACCTCGGCGCCGCGGGCAGTCATGATAGTTCCTGGCGCAATTCTGTTTCCAGACACGTCGATGACCTGGGCGCTTACACCATAAAAGGCGTCCACAGCCTTGTCAGCTGGCAGACGGCGTAGAAACTCCAACGTGGGCCCTCCGTAGGATTGCACATCGATGATCAAGTGGCCAGCCTTGACGGCCGAAAGCACGTCGTCACGCAGGTAAACGCTGCGAACCCAGCTTGGACTTCGCTGGAACGGTATGCTTCCACATGCCAAATGCTTGGCCATGAGAAGTGTATAGCCGCTTCCCAACGATGGAGCGTGTCGTGGAATCCTCGAACCTCGGACCAAAGACAGACGCCAGTTGGCGTCAGTGTGTATGAGATCAATCGACAGTCCGAATGGCCCTCTTCCCGAGTAGTGTAGTCCATGAGCGCTCCTCTCAATTCGCATACCTGTGAATAAAGCAAGAGCTACCAATTCCTCCCTTGTCACGCTGATGCAAGGTTTGTTGCCAGCGATCCAGATGGACTGAAGCTTTGCGAACCGTTCTTCCACGGCTGACGCCCTGTTGTCTGGGCCAACGTCAACTTCTGGAAGTTCTCTCACGCAGTTCACCAGCTTCTCTCTCCTTAGGAGCATATCGCGATCTTGGAAGAATTTGGTGGTATGACCCAATTCATGCCTTGCACTCTGGATGTTGTTAAATATAGGCCGAAGCAGGGTTCCGTAATATGCAATATCTTTTTTATCTTCTCTACTAAACCTTACAATCTCCCCAAATACGGCCTCGTACAACGGAACCCAGCTCAGTTCTGCCTGGATTGCAGACATGTGATCCAGGGTAGAGCTCGTCCACAGTCCTCGATCGGCATCCTCAAAGAGATGCTCAAGGCTGGGCACCTCGAGGGCTGGGGTCCGACCGCCGAGAAGAGACCGGTACCTGCTCGGCGGATCCTGACGGAAGCAACCCATGCGTCGAGGGTTGGTGGTCTGGAAACTCTCATCGTGCTCGCGGACGCGACGGATTCGTTCGGTTGCTAGGCCCGCGACGGCTAGGATTACGCCTAGGAGAGCCAACCATGATGCGATGGTCTGAGACCATGCGAGACGATTTGCTTCATCGTCCATAACCGAAGTGGCTTGGCTGCGAGAACTCGAATAAAGGATATTGAGAATGAGACGTCGTCTAGTATACAAAAGCAAAGAATTCAAACGACAATGTAAAACGAGGCCGAAGTTGGGATATTCTTTTATTTCAACTCGCACATTTCTGGTAACACAAATACTTCCAATATTCTAAGAGATCCAATAAGATGTCACTGGTATGAATTCATGACACATCTAGGACTGAGGCCCCTTCAGGCATCGATCCCCCCAATGTATTAGGTGAGTGTATCTCGCCTCATACGGCCGAGGCTGGCGGCAAATCTTTTATTCGTCGCATAACTCTACGCGTGACAATTACGGCTCCCAATGAATGACCAAAGCTGAGGATTTCAGCCTCGGATGTGCCATATATAAATCTATGAATATACCGGGTTGACTTCAGTTGCCCATTCTCGCTGACGGTGCAGCTTCGGTTATTGGTCAGGGTTGGCGAGGACCATCAGCTGCGGCTGTGGTGTATGCCCACCATCAGCGAGCTGGGGAAAAGGCATTTGCTTATGATCTTTCGCTAAGGCTCAGGCAACCAAACCAGTCCTGTCTATTCTTGTATTGCATGATACTACCCGGCAAGATGGCATCTCAAAACGGGGGCTGACTCTAGTTGGAAATGGAAATTTTGATACAGAGAGATATAAGCCATGTCTTATTTATTGACTCCAAAATGTATTCAAACACACCCTTTTGCAATATGTAGATTATTCGCAAAGGCTATGGCAAGAACCAGAACTCAAGCAAACATTAAGGCTAGCAATAATCAATATTTCGTAGAACTATCTCGAATAGCTGACTCAATAATCAACTCCCCTCTTCTGCTTCTTGACATGCTTATCCATGGGCCCTTGCTTCTGAGGCTTTCTCTTGTGCGCATGATTGTCTGCATCGTCTGCATACTCGCCATCATCATCGTGATCACTACCCTCGTATTTCTCCACCTCCATCTCCGTCTCGCCCGCCTCCTTAAACAATTTCCTCCACTCGCCATTCTTCACCTGTTCATCGTTTCCATGCAGGTTGATGTGATAGGCAGTTTTGAGAGCAGCAATGCATACGCCCCGCCTCTCTCCAAAATCCAGCATCGGGCCCGGATAAGTGCCCTCCTTGTGCTCGCCGAGGCCATTTCCCTCAATCTTGACGCCGGCCTTGTCCAGAGCCGCCTTGGGGGCCTTCCACGGCTCATAGATGTACTTTGCGTCCAGTTTCTTAAGCTCTGGCACATACTCGCGGATCAGCTTGCCTTCTTTATCCCACTTCTGACCAAAGGCGACCGGGCTGTAGCAACGGTAGTACTGGGCAAAGAAGGCGGTGCAGCTCAGCCACTGCCAGTTACCGGCATTGCACGCGGGCTCGTGATCAATGAGCAGCTCCTCAAAAACGTCGGCGCCGCGCTCCCAATGGATGTAACAACCACCGCGCGTCAAGAAGCAAGCGACCGAGTGCCGGCCCAGGTGGTGTATCCAGCCTTCCTGGCGCAGTTGCCGCATGAGCGCGTCGATCCAGGGGAAGCCCGTGGTACCCCTTTTCCACCGCTGAAACCACTGTTCTGCCTCTTTCGAGTCAATGTGGTATTCGCCGCTGATGGCGTTGGTGCCCGTCTCGGTGCCCTCTTCGACCTTGGACGGGAGGTGCCATGGCACGAAGCGCACGTACGGGTTATTGATGGTCTGTAGGAAGGGCGAGCCGATTGCGGCTTGGGCCGCAAAGTACATGTCGCGGAACAAAAGCTGGCCAGTCAGGCTTTCGGGCGGCGTGGAAGCACCTTTATATTTGTTCACCAAATCTTGGACTCGCCAGTAGAAAAGCCGCACAGAGAGAGATCCAAAATGCATGTGCGGAGATAATAGTGTAGTGGCCTGCGGTCTGAATGCTGCCGGACTTGTCTTGGGCTTTTGGAAAGTGGCGGCATACTCCTCATCAGCAATAATGTGCTCGAGGGTCTTGAGCGCAAGCGTCTCCCCTCCGCGATGAGGCGTTGTGGCAGCCGCGAAGCCGAGTTCTTCGAGGGTCTCAATGGCAAAGTCCCCCTTTGGCCCGGCTATGCTGTTATATGCATGTTCTTGTCCGACGCGCAACGGAGCAATAAGATCTGGCTTGTTCTTTGGTCGATCCTGACTGAAATCTACTGGCATCTCACCCGGATCGGGGAGTGACTTTGGAGCTGGAATGGGCCGTGGTATATCTCCGACTTTCTTACCAGCCGATTGAAGTTGTGTGATTGACATGGTAGCTTTCCCGCCGTTCTTTTTGACTACGTCGTCTGAATCCCATAGTGTCCGGCCATAAGGGCTGATGACTTTGACTCCTGCCTTTTCGGCCAGTTCAGTGACGATCTTGTCTCTTTCACGAGCATAAGAGTCGGTATCCTTCTCAAAGACAAGATGCGTAACCTTCCAGGCCTTGAAGACTTTGGGGAGGACAGTCTGCGGGGCCTCACGCAAGACGAAGAGCTTTGACTTTGGATTCAGTTTGGTTATGGATTTTGACAGGTCATTCTGACAATCGAGCCTAGAGCAGAGGTCAGCAAGATGAACTGGCCATTGATATGCATCGATACACACAAGTATTGCCATCTATTCACGCCTCCCTTTGCCCTATAGACATAATGCGGATCCCATGTAAAAATTGGCCATAGAACCTCGGGATCTAGGTCAAGTGCTGCCTTGAGGGCGGGCGAGTCGTGCAGTCGCAAGTCGGTGCGAAACCAATACAGTACTCTCGCCTTTCCCATTTTGAAATAAAAGGTATGAAATCACAAACCACAATCGTCAGGGAGCGGCAGGGCACATAAAGACGTGAAGCAATTCCCGCTCTCATGGTGATAGATGGATGGCTGGCCTAGCCCCCGGCACTAGCTCTAACTCAAATCCATGATGTCAGTATTCAAGCCACAACGTTTGTTCCAGATGGAGCCCAGAAGTATTAGCATCCATGCTGGATGAGCCAGGTTTGCTAGGTTCCAAATTGTTGTAAAAGAAAAAGCCGAAGTTTGTGTACGAGTGGCTGTCCGTTGCAGCTTGGTAGTGAGAATGAGACACCGTTGGCCGTTATACACGGGACCGTTATACACACCTTTGTCGGTACATTTCATTGGGCAGTGTAAAGTCCTAGCCAGATTTGAAGGGCATTGCGTTTCTCAAGTCTGGGCAGAATCCTTTGGGGTAAGCCAAGAAACGCGCAAATCCACCCCGTTTCTGACAAGAAGCCACAATACGATTTGGAATTCAAGGAAACAGTCAGCAGTGTGATTCAGATAGACGTTTACACCTTTCATGATGTGTTTTGATTTCGTAGATCTCACTCAATGCTGGTGGTACAACTCGGAGCTCTAACGGGCCAAGCCTTTTCAGCTGTCCGTGGGTCCCTCCGAAACCCGTTCCACCAGATCGGACGACGGTTCGCTACATTAGTGCAAGGTACGATCGCGGGAAGCCGCAGAACCCCAGAACCCTGGGAAGTAAGAGAAAGAATTCATGTATGTACACTGAGATTTCAACAAAAGTTACGCACACGAGCACTGAAAACTGATGGCTGGAAACTTGTCAGACATTAACAAGAAATACAATATCTCGAAAAGAGTGACGGTAGTTCAATAACATTCCATCTGCCTATGTCCATCTGCCTATGCCCATCTGCCTATGTTGCATTGGCAATGTCGAGAACGTGAAGCGAAATATCATGCGCCTTGAGGATGGGCAAGTATCCCACGGTCTTCGGCATAATAGCGTTGCTGACTTGTGTCACCTGAAGACAATGCAATAGTTCTGCCATTACAGGATCACCCCTGGGCAATCATCTGGCTGGGATAATCGTTGTTGTTCTATTTTATGCACACACGAAGTGCTAGTCACTCTCGAATCGAAAGAGGCTTGTGCCGTGTCGGGTTTGAGGTGCTGTTTAACAAGCCAAATTGTTACTGCATTGCCAGTAGCTGCATGCTATTATTGTACAGTGTAGTATCTGACGCAGTGAACAGAAGAAACAGTATATATTTCCCTCCCCCTTCTTGATTTTTTTTACTCGGGTTTTGCAAGGGCATGGCAAATTACTGACTTGCTTGCTTCACGCGGAGCTGGTCCGGTCACAGTACGTACCTGACTCGTGCTGGTCTAGCTGGCACTATGTTGGGAGTGATCGGCAGAATGATGCACATTTTAGATCGCGTCAAGTATCATTTTGCTGCTGCCAAAACTCATCCGTACTCATTGTGCTATCGTTGCAGGTAGTGATCCGTTGTTTTTATATTGATGGGAAAGTTTAGTCGTTATTGATACGTGTAAGATGCACGCTTCAGATATGCATGTGGATTCTTGCCATGGAACGAAGCATTTACTCGCAGCTATTCTTCTCGTTCTCGACTGTGGCACTGAGAGATAAAACACCGCAGGTGCAGCATAATAAGAGGCCTATACCCAATAGGTAGCAAGCACACCGGGGCTAAATTGTTCGCTGCATATAGCAGGCGGGCGGTTTTCATGCAGTAAGATTAAGAGCTGCCGCATATCTGTCAAGATCTGGGTAAACGGACATGATAGCGGGTGAGCTGTCGGAATCTTGTTGCTTCGGATGACACACTGACTCGATGGGGCGAATATTCTTCTATTCATCTTCCATGCGTGTAGTCTAGGAATAGAGTGAATACCGTCCTGCACTAATAATAAATGGTCAAATAGCTAGGTATTGCCTCTCAATCCTGCCCACGTGACTTTACTTGGGATCGCCAGAGCTCAGTCCAACGCGCCCCCAGAGGCCAGAGGCATGTTGAACTTGCATGTGTGCCTGACAGCAGCAGAGATGAAATTGAACAGGCAGGACACGGTCATGATCTGGACCCCCCAAATCAGCAGGGCCAATTTGGTGATGATGCCAGCATTGTGCCACCTTATGCCCGCGTCCGATGTGTCTAATAACAGGGACTGTCTCCCCGATGAGCAGCGTGGGCCGTCCGCAGAGTCCACCAAACTTCTTCTGCCCCTGCTTGCCTGCTTTCTCAAATGCTCCAAGAAGCCACCAGACCTTGCCAAAAACCATCATTGCCATCCACACTTTGTCCATTGCGCTAGTGCGCTGCACGCTAGCGTACACTAAGAGCGGAGGTGAGGGTCGCCGGGGGGACTGTCAAGTGCACCGTGCACCCTCTGAAGCTCGCGCCACCCCATCGTCAGGGCTCGGCTCCACACCTGCTACTTTTGAGCCGGCCAATCATCGCCCCAGTTGGAAATGTTTCAAGAGACTCCTTTTGATGAATTTCTGTCCCCAGAACGAGTGTCTCTTTCGCCCCCCCTGTCTGTCACTTCATAACCCAAGTCCAGTCGGCCTGACGATCACCTTGCATGGCAGCACCAGAGAGGGAGGACCAAATCAAATTTACCTTAATTTTTTCCCAATTTTGTTTCTCATTCTTTTTTCTGGCCTGCCCAGCTTGAAGCATTCAAGAAACATGCTCTTCTGCTGTTCTTGACCCTGCGCGAGTCTCTTAGTTCGTACAAGCAGTTGGTGCGGCACTAAATTTTTGTTTACTGTTTCCCGTCCGCCGACCTGTTTTTTTTTTGTCCCCTACTACTACGAGATAGCTCATAATACAGCTACAGACCTTCATTCAAATCCATTTCATTTCCCGCCTTGACCATAGTCTGGGATAGGGCCACCAGTCGGCCAGGTCAGCCTCGAGAGCTACGGTACTGCAAAAACTTCGGCCATTGAAAGTTGGGAAATTTCGCACGGAATTCAATCCGGTACTCAGCCCGCTAGCCAGCCAGCCCCTTTGCGCCCATTCGGCACTCTGAGATACCCCCCCAAACCCACACAGAGAATCAGAGAAATCGCTCTGTACGGATCACTACTTTCCCTTACCGCGGTACCAAACTCATCGACTGAGTGCGACGTCGCGGATCGATTGTCTTGCTTTGCCTGCGGCGATAGTACAAGGCAAACGGCGAGTCACGGGTAGCTCCTCGCTCTCTGGTAGCAAAGCCGCCGTATCTCGTCCGCTCAAGCACGCGCATCCCGACGACCCACCTCGTTCATTTCAAATTCGATTTCGCGAGCTCCCTGTCGTCGTACATTCATGATACTGTCTGGCACGAGTAACAGCGGCCAAGATGACGAGACCGCAAATCATCCGCGCCGGTACGTTGTGATACATGGATTGCTTCCAGCCCCCCGCCCCCCTGGAACGGTACCTTGCGTGGGTACCAAGAAAGATCGCCTCATATCGCCTCACCTCTTTTTCCGGTCTTTGATTGTTGGATACTGCGTGAACTTGTCTACGATACTCTCTACTAACCTTCTTCATATAGACTCGATTGATCTTCAGGATCACGACACACCCTCGGCAAAGGAACACAAACACCCAGCTTCCAGTCAACTTGCCAATGGCCAGTCTCTAGGACCACACCAAGCCGAAACCCTTCGAGAGGTTGCTGCCGAGACAAAAGAAGACCGAAGAGTCTCATGGACGAATGGGGATATTGGCGATATTCATCAGTACATCGACGACGGAATGCAGCAACAAGATGCCTTGGCCATTGCCCAGAATGGCGGGGGCACCGACGATGGCCAGTTGGATACTGACGGGGAGGATGACCTCGATGACGATGACGACGATGATATGATGGACAAGATTTCGAGTTCCCCTTCAATTGAAGATGGTGAGGACGCCCCTTCATTGCCGCCGCCTTGGCCGGCTCGCATTGATTCTTTGCGCAATCAATCGCCACCCAAAAGCTCTCCGGTATCCAGCGAACCGAGATCATCGTCGCCGTATCTTCAACGGCCTGACTATTTACCCATCCCCTTTCATCTTCCCAATGAGCAGTCAAGCAAGGCTTCTGCTCAAACAATGAAATCTAGTCATCATCTATCTGGTGAGTATGCTGGATTGGACTACGATAAGTCCGACAACGACGTTTTCTACGACCATCTGCCCGACGAAGACCCATCGAACTAGGAAACCGATGATTCGGAAGGATCGGACGCCCACAATGCCGCAGATGGCAAATCCCACACATGCATAAAAAACAACGGAAAGCAAAGTGATGAGAATTTCAAGCATGATGAAATTGTCGATCCAAATGAAGCCGACATATATGAAGCCACCGAAAACGACCTGGCAGACCCAGACGAGCCAATGTCGCCATACGACTTTCTGATTCCCTACGACGCATCAGATGATGACTACGATGACTTTTCCTTGACTGATGAGCCTGATTTTGTTGATTCCGGCTGGGGTGCAGAGTGCTTACAAGATTTAGAGGACATTGACTTCGAGTTTGTTTACGCGCTTCATACATTTGTCGCTACCGTCGAGGGACAGGCGAACGCCACAAAAGGAGATACCATGGTCCTTCTTGATGACAGCAACAGCTACTGGTGGCTTGTGCGAGTTGTAAAGGACAGCAGTATCGGTAAGTTTCACTCCAGATTTCATGTGGAATGTCACAAAACTGACAGTTGTATCAGGCTATCTGCCGGCGGAACACATTGAGACACCAACCGAGAGGTTGGCTCGTCTTAACAAACACAGAAATATCGATTTAGCACAAACGATGCTTGGAGATACGCCAGACAAGGGCAAAAGCTCACTCAAGACGGCAATGCGGAGGAGAAAGAAGACAGTCACTTTCACAGCCCCTACATATGTGGAAGCTTCCGACGTCGACTATTCCAGCGACGAGGAGGATGAGTTGGAGGCAGAGGCTACCGCTCAAGATCAGGCCACGCAGCAGGCACAGGCCCAGCAAGCAGCTTCAGATGAGACTGCGGAAGATGAGTCCGCCAAGGTTGAACCACTAAAGCCGCGGTCGCAGAAGCAGGCGGGAGTCGAGGCTGCTCTTGACGAAACAATTGCGGAGGACGATGCCGAGGGACGGGCCAGTGAGGAAATATTTGATAACAGGAACGAGGCACGGGTCAGGACGACGAAGAACGGCACTGTCAGGAACACCGATTCGTTCTTCAAGGATGAAACCATTGAAACCAAGAAGATTTCCCTGACTCCAGCTCTGTTCCGAGACGACGAAACGAGGGACTCTAACTCGCTGGACTCGCAAGGATTACGCTCACGGCCAAGCTTCGACCGCTTGGAAAAGGAACTGGTCTCAGACAAGCAAAAGAAGAAGGAAAAGGAAAAGAAGGATAAGGACAAGAAGCCCAGCGGTATCCGCGGCTTGTTCTCTCGCAGTAAGGATAAGAAGAAGAAGTCCGACGACGGTGACGATGAGTCCTTGGGCAAGCGGTCTCTGGAAGCAGGTACCGAAGCCGGCGATGAAGAATCCAAATCAGCGGATGCGGAATCGTCGCCAGACAAGAGCCCAGGCCCTCAAAGGAGCTCGAGCAAACTTCAAAAGCAGCAGAGGGGAGATCCTTCGCCCACGAGGAAGAACAGCAATGCTCGGGATACGCAAGCAACTGCCCATGAGGCTGCTCAGGCAATGGCAAAGGCCAAGGAGGCTTCCGCTTCTCTTAGAATGGTGGAGTCGGAACCCATTGATGCCATAGAAGTGTTACCACTGAGCCAGGAGAAATCGAAGATTTCCAAAATACTGCACCCGCCTCCAAAGGTCAGCAAGGCCAAGTCACGAGTTGAGCTGGACGATTTCGACTCCTCCGATGATGGCGAGATCGTCTCTGCCCCAGAACCCAGCAGGGCAGCACCTGCACCAGCACCAGAGGCATCGCAGAGACCTGCCCCAGCGCAACAGCCATCACGTCCAACGTTACCGGGCGCCTACCCAGATAGCTATATTAGCACACAAGTCCCGACGCCGCTACAGGAGCAGCCGCCGTCCGCACAGCCTACGCAGCGTTTGCAGAATGCTTCCGGGAGACTCTCAGAATCGCCCGTACAGGTGTCTCCGATCACGTCATCGCATCCTCCTGCTCTCGTAGGCGACACGTCAAGTCAAGAAGACCGCTCCTCGCCAGTCTCTTCGCCCTCACCCGAGCTCATGGATGGCAGCAACCGGGGCCATCATAATCAAGATTCCATGACGTCTACCTCGGCTGCAGGTTCAACGACCTGGAATGACAATAACTTGCGCGCCTTTTTCGACTCTAGCACTGAGATCCGAGATCTCCTTACAGTCGTCTACGATAAGTCGGACGTCCCGCCAGCTGGCCCGGATCATCCTGTCGTGGGTACCTTGTTCAAAGAACAAAATGCCAAGCTGGCAGAAATCACTTCGGTAAGCCCTCGACCCATAGTTACCACACAACTTGGACCTGTACTAATTGAACCCCGTAGCAACTCGATAACATGCTTGGTGACTGGCTAGCTCGAAAGCAACGCCTTCGAGGCACCGTCTAAAACTTTCACAACATTCATCATTTTCATACGACACTGCATTCGCCATGGCAGCAAGTACAAGCGATCGATACCTTGCAGCAGCCGGGCCTGTACTACTTTTTGAAGCCTTCATTCTTTTAATTCAATCTTCTTCTTCTTCTTTTCAGCTGTTGGGTTCATCTGCCTATCAGTGGCTGGCGCAGGGTGGGTTCCTACGGATACGACGGAAATTTGGGTCGGAGTGTGTAGGAACACAAGAGATATACCAACGGACATTGCTCCGGCTTTTCGAATGCTTCTTTTTCTTCTTGTTTAGAGACAAATGATTCTACGACTGTACCCAACACAACATGGCACGAACGAGGCGGATTGGAGTCTTTCTTCTTTTTCTCGACTGCGATCTTTTCTTTCTTTCAGACATTCGGAAGAAGTTACCGGAACCCAGTGCCGGAAACCAGGGTCCATTCATATAAAGCGGCGTCTAGAATACGTCTTGCATATCAAAGCATAGCATAGCAACTAGGATGTATATATATTGTGTTGCCTACTAGTTTGGTTGTTCATGTTGCGTGGCACCATGGTGCTCTTAAGATGTTAGCACTTAAATGACCGAGATACTATTGGGTTGTAACACTGCTGGTAAACTGCTGACCATGATTTGACAACCCAAGTCTCGGATCTTTAGTTTCTCCTGTAGAATCCATCTTCATCGCCAATGTGGTTACAATTGGCTTAATGTTTTGTCCATTT